GTCGTCTAAAAACAGTTAAAGTAAAATCAGTCATTAATCGTCATGGGAACCTAATTGAAATAACTTTACGCATGTCAAGCAGCGCCGGATTAACCATTAAACAATATAAGCACGTGCTTAGGGCACCAAGCAAATAGGGGCACCACAGAAATATTTATAGCAGAATTTTATATATATTATCAGTGTTTATTTAAAATATTACGAGTTCATCATACAACTCAAACTTCAAAATGTTCGCTCATTTTCCGTCTTCAAGTATTATATTATTCTTCTTTACCAAAAATAAACACTTAAACTTATTTATTGGACACGAAATGGGCCTATGAGTCGTTTTGTAAAATTGTTGTTGTTTTTTTCTTCCTAGTATTCTCCTTGTTGCTGCATTTTGTTTTAAAAAAATCTTTTCGCTTCAACAATTGGACCAATGAACTATTTGCACTATGTGGAGGTTCCACGATCGCATTTCAACGATCTAGGGGTCAGCGAAGTCGGGAGTTTTTTGATAAGGTAGACTAGGATGGTCCAAACCCTGTCAAGCTGATACATTCCGTGCGGCCCACAGAACAATTTTAGCGTATATTTGTATCTAATAGCAGAGCGTTTTTAAGTTTTTTTAAATATTCCAATTGGGGTTGGAATCCCGTGTTTCAAACCCCTTTTTTCTAACGCTTTGTACCTTTATTTTAGTAAAAAACACTCCTCTGTTTCAAGCGTGGGCCATGTGACAGTAGTGACGAAACTCAGAACCGACTTAACGCCGCGCAATCCAGTTTTTTTCAGCAAGGTCCCGAAATACCAACTTAGACGGACTCCGTGGTTATTTGACGATGGCACTAAGCTTGCTCACGCTGCAAGTTTTTAATTACTCAAATATAATAATTCGGAATAAAATGCTTGTCCCAAGAAAAGTGGCATGAGGAAAACACGACGGAAACGTATTTCCTTGCCCATCACACAGTGTCTGGTTTGATTTCAAGTAATATCTGTCACGAAAGAATATAATTTGAAGCGACATCAAACGCGAGATGCGGAAAATACAACGTTAATTTTAGGGAATTTATTTTTAAATACCTGAAGGCTTTATATATCATCTTAAAAAGAACGCCAACCATGCAACATAATAATGATCTGATTAGAACTGTAAACTCTCGTTGTTTATTAAATTAAAAGTAAGTAAATTCGCGATATTTCGATCACTTTTGGGTTTTCTCCGACTTGCGGCCCGCGAGACCTCCTCAAAAGTTTTTGCGGTTTATCAACCTAGCACCTTGAATCACCCTGAGGTAGAATACTAGGTACAGGTAAAATTGCAAAATACAGTTGTGACTTGTAATATTTGATATTTCGATTCACGTTGAGACTAGAGGCATGAATCTTTATTGTCACACTCCTTCAGAATTAGAGCTCAACCGTTATATAAGCCCGATGTTATGTGTTTGCCGATATATATAACTGTGAAAAAATCTAAAAATGTTCGTAAAAGTTGTTTTATTTGCTGTTGGTTGTGATTATTTTTAATGGATAATACACTTATGTGGTTTATTGTTTTTATAATTAAATTACACATAAGAGGGCACCGAAGTCTTCAGTGCTTAGGGCACCAAAGGGGCTTAATCCGCCCCAGATGTCAAGTACTACACCGGATTATGTCGAGGGCTCGTTCTTATTCAGGGATCAACGTCAGAATCAAATGCGGGTTATCTTCTATTTCTGACGGGAGATTTTAGTAAGTATGAATTAAAAATAGAATCCGAATAGTCCGGGATCTGAGCTATTTTGATAAATGTGCAATACATTGTAATCATGGGTGGTCCTATGAAATTTTCTTTATTCGATTTGAGACGATTGAAATGAACGTTCATAGTTTAATCACCACGCACGCTATTCACTGTATACGTCACGGGGGATAATACGCGATGATCACGTATGACGTATGGACCAATGTATAACATCTACCGGCAATGTGTATATTTGGCCCACAAGTACATAGAGTTAGCCGAATATTACAGTAAATCCATACAGCCCAAGATGACAGCAAAACGATGTCTTCTCTTGCGATATCTTGAAAAATACTTTGCACTTAATTTGAGGGATCAGATGGCCTTATTTCTTCGTGCAATCTTTAAGCCTGCCATAGTCGACACAAAATCACGTCCCATTGTTCTTTTCCCCCGAACTATTCGCTAAACTTTTTCATTCTGGCACTCTGTAGTCTACGTGGCGGTGAATGAATTGGTCTATCTATGTCAATAGAAAGCGAACATAAATCAGTCCTACCACGTCATATAGGCTTAACGAAAATAAAATGCTTCTATGCGCTCTGGAATCAATTTGATCTTCTTCTCACTACTCAAATTCATACATCGCAATACTAATACTAGATAACGCCCTTATTCCCTTAAAAAACGCCCTTAAAAAATCTAAACCCAAAATAAATTCTTCAGTAAAATTTTGGCAAGGATACATTTCAAATTCAGCGTCCATACCGCCAATCTGTCTCCGCATTTCAGCAATCCCATCCATTGGCAGCCGTAAACGATAGAGTCGGCGATGCAGGTCGTTCACGGCTCGAGTCGGTGTTATTGATTGATTCGTTTTAAATCATGTCAAATTACAGATACACCAGCTGTATTACCCGGAGCACAGACTCGTTGACTGTCAACAAAGAAGATATTGTTGAGAGTTCAGGGCACTCGCAGATTCTCTCACGCGATGCTCCAACTTATCGAACCTCATTTCCATTTCTTGACGCATCTGCATGATTTCTCTCCTGATAGACTTTCTTTCTGCACTTTACCTACAACTAAACACTTTACCTACAACTAGACCTTTCAGTTTTTGACCCATTCACAATCGCGATTTCGCTATTGGGCTCACTATCTCCGGTTTACGAAGTACAAGTACCTGGCGGCACATGAAAATGTATTACCCTTTGCTGTTGTGCGTCTGTGATATGCGCAGAGATGTGATTTTTGATACCTCGGTGGTAAGCCATATCGCCAAGTTCGGTTAAATTAAAAATTTACTTTTGGCTACTTTCATTCTCCCTCTTGAACCTATCAAAGACTTCATCAGCTATCGTCAATTAATAAAACAAGTAATAAGCATATTATGCTTTATCAAATCTGCTGACGCGTCCACACCGACGCAATAAGAATCGAATCGCCTCAAAAATTCAGATTTTCCATTGACCATTCTCTTGCTCTCTTACTTGGCAGTTGGGATCAAAGGTTGGGATGTAGACACACAATTTGGAGAATTTCCCACGGCGCCCTGACAATATTTATTTACCGCACACGGCGACGCCGCTTGAAAACACAGCGGTACCGGTACGATAACGTTAATTTTTAGATGACAATGGTCGGGTCTGCAGGTGGTACCGGTACTGGTAGTTAAAAATAACAGATGCAAAAATTGTTATGCAATTCCCACTGGACAGCTATATCTCACATCTGTAAGTTTACAATATTTTATTTTCAATTCAAAATGTTTCGTTTGAATATTTCAGAATCCAGGAATCTGATTCTATTTTTTTGTAATATTATCGCTAACTTACTGGTACATGGTACCCGTACCATACGGTAATCAATGATTTAATGAAATAGACCAGGGTGGTCCAAGGTTGTGGGCTTCGCGGGCCACAACATTATTTTGGTATTGTTCGCCGTCCACAATACTGCAATAGTACTAAGAATTGGTAAACAGTCTGACAGTGCAGTATAGAACAAGCACTTCTATTGTGTCGACACATAGTTATCAGGCATTGCCAACCTAGGCTAATGGAATCCGCATTTGATTTTTAGTTTTCTATCATGCCTATATTCTGATATTGTTAGCATATATTCGCAACCAAAACGATATAAATTCAGATTAGAATTTAGACTGCCAAGCACATTCAACTTTGCTAGTTGCTTCAGTCACTAGCTAGTTGCTAGTAGCCATCATACTAGTCAATTCAGTCACAATAGTGATATACAGATATAACAACAATATGTCGAACGATTTTTCTGATTCATTTTATGAGAAGCAATTTAAAATACAATATTTTGAATATTCTCTGTATGCGTCGCGGGCCACAGATAGATAATAAAGCGGCGGGCCTGGGTTTGGACCACCCTGAACTAGACTAATAGGAAAAATACATTCATACATACAGACATACCGTTATATTAAATAATTAATTGCATCAAATACTGGAATACCATACCTTTTCTTTCAGCAACAATACCGTATATTTATGACACATAACCTTAGAATTTTGTTTGTGAACAATTTCAGAATTTGGGTGTGAAGTCTGAAAGTGATCATTTTTTTCTGAAGTTGACCTTCAAAATTCATTTAGGATGTAATGTTCCTACATTCTGACATTAGTTAAATCAAAGGTATCTTGATAGCCTACCGCTTGTGCTAAGATTGTAAAACAGTAAAAGGAGTAGGCTACTGCAATGAGTGATTGACCTCCAAAGGTGACTTAACATTTTAAAAAAGCGTTTTTAATACCAGAATACAGTAATAATAACATACTTGTAAATCTCCAAAGCGTTTCAAGTGGTCAAAGAATTTCAACTAGGATATAGGTGCCTTCAAAACATGAAATATGACAACCCCAGGATTGTTATGACTTACAGTCTTCATGGACTTAGGAATGACTATAAACACAAATACAATACCGTAAGCAAAAAGATGCTTTGACTGGTGTTGTAATTACAAAATCTGTAGTCCCGCAGCTGAACATTCATCTAATTCTGTAATTTGAAAATACCCTTACCGGCATGGTCCACTTGCAACAAAGCTTGCTGTGCCATGTAATCTTCTCTTGTTGTTTGGATTAATAATTTTTTAGGTAAAATCAAACCACGTTTTCTGAAATTGTTTTAAATTGACTTCAAAATTGATTCAAAATTCTTAAACTTCCATCCCTAGCTATAACTGTATGACTTAACTAGTCGATTGATATTGTAGATCTGTATATAACATTAGAGTAAAACACTGACGAATTAATGGAATCGAATGGAACTGCTGAAATTAAAAAGCCCAACACTCTTGAGTTGAGGCATTCTAATAATACTATGATCAACAAGATTGTTGTACCACATAAAAATATTGAGTCTAAATCTGGTGTCCAAAACGCAACGTCGTCTAATGTGGACAATGTCAATAACTTTGTTACAATTGTGGATGAATGTAGTATCTCAAATGAGAGAGAATGTACAGATGCTGTAGCAGATCAAACATGCACAATGTTTGGTCAAATTATTGATAATGAGATGAAACATGGAATTGCTTTCTAACGCTGCATCCTGGGAATCTTCGTTTCCTAAGGAAATTCTAAGTGATTATGAAGCCAGATTGCATCAATTTCACCATTGACAGAACTAGTGGTGACGAGCTTCCACCTGGATGGAAAAAAGATTTTTGACTCCTCTGGAAGTTATTACTGGAATGTGATACAGGAAAACACAAGACATTTACCAGTTCTAGATAACAGCAATACAGATTTAAGGAATTTATCATCTGAAAATGAAAACTCTTTTCCTGTTCTTGGAATTCTGGAAAGACCAACAGTTCAAATAGATGGTCTGGTAACTCTCGAGATGGTCACATGTTTCTTGTTCGGTCTCTTGGTTGGTTGCCTATGGAAAATGAAAGTTTGAAAACCTGACATAAGCAGTTCTGCAGTCAATTCATGTATCCGTCTTTTATCCAACAATCGATCGCAAAATCATGGATGGTGTTGGTGTAATGGGGTGAGGGGAAAGATCTTATGCTCCTTATTAATAATGATCATTTAAAAATAGTAGATTCCACTGGAAAACACAGTTTTGCAATCCGAACCTATAAAACATATTCGTGTATGGGGTGTTAGGACGTTGATAGCTCCCGAGATTTTGCATATGTTGTCAAGGACCCTTCCACAAAAATCTATAAGTGTCACGTTTTTCGTTGTGATGCACCTGCCCAGTCTATTGCCAAACAGCTTCATACAATTTGTACTTTACTTGTGAAGCACAAAAAATTAAGTAAAAATGAAGCTGAGAATGCTAATGCTGATAAAATTCCAGTTGCATCAGCAGAATCCTGCCAAACCTTCTATTCAAAATATATTGGCGTCACAAAGGTATCGAAACCTAGTGGTATTGCTATTTTAAAAGCGGCAATACTCGAACTTATGAAAGATTTAGATGGAAATGGAATGGATGTGAAAGTTACAGTCTCACCATCAGCTTTATCTGTTACTGATAAAACAATACACCTATTGTTAATTGTCGAATGAGGTGCTTGAGTTTATGGGTGTAGGTGATGATATACAAATTTTTGGCTTTATTTGTGTAATGGGTGGTGAAGCTAATTGTTATGTCTTGCAATGTTCACCAAATGCTGCAAACTAGCACTTGCTGTACAAGAAGCTTGTATGTTGAGGTACCAAAGCTATAGACTCTAAGCCTTCTATAAAATTGGTCAATGAAACTCCACAAAATTCTAAATCGTTGAAAACTAAAGTTTCTAAACTTTTTTCTGGCTGGCGTAAGAACAAATCTTGAAGCTTTTGAGGATGCTTATTTTATTACTTGAAATGTTTCTGAATATAGTTTGTTACATGGTAAGGGACTCCAGCAATGAAATTAGAGATTATAAAATATATTCATTTTATTTGAATATTGCAGTTCTTATTACCTAATAAGGTGTTTTGTATTCTGGATTCAATAAATTAATATATATCGTAATATATTGCGATAAGTTTTATTTCCAATTATTATGACAGCTGGGCAATTTTTTCTCCATTTTATATTATAAACATTGATACCAGTAATAGCTTGCAATAAGAAATTTCAAAGATGTTTGAATTATTTATGTTTTTGCATGATTATTAGGATACTTGAACCTTCTTGTAACTCTTTTGCATTCACTCCTTTCATGTCTTTCTGCATGCGACTTATTCCACAATATTTTTTTTAATAGAGGCTTACTGGTTGTAGATAATTTATTTTTTCAAATCCGATCATGAATGCTTTTCTATGTCGCTTGTAAAATATTATAATTGGATGAATGCTGTATTCTTGTGTTCATAACTCATCAATCATAACATAATGACCATTAGGCTGCTCATGATATAATAAAACTGTATCAATCATGACCATTCATGCATTCTGTATGAATTACATTCCGTCTGTAATACAACCATATCATTATTGTACTTTAATAATTAATAAGGAGAGGGATCTCCTTATAAAAACCAATTTATATCTTTATCATTAAAGTAACTAAAACTCAATTCTCATTGTCGTTGATTGATGTTTAGTATTGTCGATACCGAAACATTATAATTATATTAATTACATTAAGAATGCAATTCTATAAGCATTTTGAAATGGTACATTTTGTTAACAGTTTCAAAAAATACTTCAATAACTACATGCAGCCCGCGGGAATTTCACACTATTTCAGAAAAAGCAGAATTTTTTTTGTTTTTCATTCCATTTTCCTCTCATTTCCCAGTATTACTATTAACCTCATGATATCTCAACTTTTTTTATTTTGTTTATTATAAATTGATCTGCAGTTGACATTCTTTGTGTGTTATCATGATCAAGTACTACGTGCTCTTAGGATAGTAAGAGTTTACATTGATTAAAATGTCACTGACGAAATCATACTGAAAGATGAATTAGTCATTGTAAGCGCATTTTGTGATGTTACCATTACCATCACAAATGGTTCAAACATAGATCCTATTTCTAACTTTTACAACTGAGTGACAATGTTTGCATACTGATTTTAGTTTACATATAATGTGTGAACAGTGAGAAAACGTGTACTGTTGTTTGGATTTCATTAAATTTCTGCCTTATTTGGATATTTGTTTGCGGTGCATGCCGGATAATCCCAAAGTTTCAGTATTGTGATTATTATTTTTCTCTCTATATCCATCTGAATATTACGGTATGTTCTTATAAATATATTTTTGTGCAGTCAAAACATGATATATTTGATTTAATCTTTCTGGAAATATTCGTGAATTGGTATTCATTCTAACATTTTTCTACATAAACAGTAGTGTAATGCTGTTATGTTAATCCAATGTTCTATTTTTGGCTAGTGCTTTCAGCTTGCCCTGATATTTTATTGCAGTCTTATACTCTTTAAGTGATAAATTGTGATACATATGTACAGGTATTTATATTAACATTATATATATATATGTGACAGGTGTCGACATCGACATACTTGAACCAATTTATGGTTTGTGTCGTTCATTAATAATGAAGACAATGTATATAAATACAGCCCATCGCCAATAGTATATATCGGATACAATAAAGGTGCATTTCATAACAATTTTATCAAAACTTTCAGCCACCTTATTTTGTCAATTCATTGTAATTCATATGAAAAAATCTTTCTTTGGAGCTTGGCAGGCAATCCAAAAGTTTCTTTTTATTTGCCTCTTCTAACTATACTTTGTTCACCCCCAATCATATATAAAATGTTGCATTGATTTACTGGTGCTTTTTATTTGTTTATTGTATTTTTGTGCTCGCTATTGCTGTCAAATTTTCATCAAATTCATATTTTTGTGTTCTAAGATTAATATTTGTAAATTGTGCACTTATTTTTTGTCACACTAATACACTGTAATATAGATGATTGATATGAATATTCCTGTGATATTAGTGGTTGGGACTTGCTGCTTGCTAGGGTCTGCGGAAAAAGATCTTCTCTCACTGAGATCTATTGTGTCTGAGGAATACTACAAAGTTGTCAAATTTAGCAAATTGGTAGACCAGTCCAATAATAATATTGAGGGAAAGTTGTCGGACTTCCCTTTTCAGAACACGTCATTATCTTTTAATGAAAGGGTGGATGACCTGGTAAGGCTGTAAGATATACAATTTGTTGTCAAATAATCACATCTTTTGCCATATAATGTATGAATTGAGGATGCCAGAATTCAATTTAAAGTGAAATTTATTGGTTTAAATATGTGTGAATGAACCATCTTAAAATTACAGCAGAAAAGTGACTATTTAATGAGTTTCAAAATTAAATATTTGGTTTTCTATGCTCAGATATCCCCATCAGAAATATTTTGTTACTTGCGACATAAATGGTATTCTGGCATGACATGACTCTATTTTCCAATGCTGTAATATTGAGATAACCCATGAAAAGTCACTTTGCCAAGTATATGAAAATAAAATATATACCATGGTTTAATATATACCTATCATGTTCAATTCATCAAGAAACTATGCAGAGGTCAATTAGTGCGATTCAATAAATTTCATTTATTAATTATTACATTTAAGGTGAATCGATTAACACTTGATGAACTTGTGGAACAACTTTCTATGGGAGGAGCAAACATCGATGGACCTGCTCCAGCGATATCTCATCTCAATGTAAAACCTTATCAATGGAATACAGAATGTTTACGTGGTTATGCTTTTGCAGATGATGCAACTTGCTTCCCGTCACCAATCGGTTTTGGCAGCAACTTTTGAGTACGTTCGTTTGTTAGGTGAATGTTTCAAATTCCAAAAAATAATTTTGATTAAATTCCCTACTTGTTCGTTGATAACAAACCAAAGTAAACTTTAAGCAAGTAAAATTGGGCTATTTTGTTATAACACGTACTTTTTCATGATAAAGAAATTCGAGTATATTGATTATATTATTCCTTTTTAAACGTCAATGCCAAGTACTTTGATTTGAATCTCATTTTTGGGAAAGGATTTTGTGTAAAAATGCAAGATCAAACTCAAAGATCTGCTTGATTGTTTTTCAAGTTATGTTATTAATAATTAATGAGTGGACAGATGGAGTGCAGGACGTGGAACACTTTTGCTACATTTTGCCCTTCAACAACTGTTGTAAATGGAACTTGCTGATTAATCTTACAGGATTAACTTATTGGATTAAATTATCTGCACCTGAAAATGGAGTTCCTAGACATTATTAAAGATGAATTATTAGGATTGAATTCGATTTAATATTCTTCCATACAATCCATGATATTATCATACTTTGATTCATTTTAATGTATTCAAAACTCGTGAGAAAAAATGGGAAGATATTCATGAGTTTGAAAGATTACCTGTGTAGATTTATATTCAATAATTGTCAATATTTTCAAATAGTCCATCATTGATTGAAAACATGGCAAGAGCAGTCAGTTGGGAAGCAAGAGCTAAAGTGAATAACTTCGAATCACATGGAAAATATGAAGATCATACTGGGTTAAGTTGTTTTTCTCCTGTCATCAATATTATGAGGCATCCACTCTGGGGACGGAACCAGGTATTTTTGTGACAATTTCGTCAAATTATGTGTAAAAAAATCTTGAAGCACTTAAATTCTGCCTCAAACCTTCGAATTTTCTTTTATATCCCAAAAAATTATCAAAAGAAAAGATAGTGATTCTCAGACTTCAGAAAAATACTATTTTTTCCTCGTTAAATATAAAGCAACCATAAAACAATTTTCTTAATAATAGTAAAGTCTATGAGCCTCATGTGCATCAGGTCGTGTTGCAATATTTCATGTTTCCTATGCATAGCACACTTGTGTTTGGGGTAGAATGACACTACCGCTCAGCTAGAGAATTGTGGAAGAAGTTCAATAAAATGGTTTTCCAGTCTTAATTTGTTCACAAAACTAAATTGGTTTCTTCTAAAGTATTCAAGCATATTGTTCAATGCTACTGCTAAATGCTTCTAATTAGATGTAGCTGGGAAAATACAATGGTTACATAAATTTTGATGGACCAATTTATTCGAAGTTGAATGACAAGAGATTAGAACGTCCAGAGATATGCAACTTTGAACTGTTATTCAAAATCCAACCCAGCTGGCTTACAGCAATGTAAAGTTTTAAGGATTAAATTTCAGGAAACATATGGTGAAGATCCATTTCTGACTGGAATATTTGCCAAGCATTATGTTGAAGGTTTGCAAGGTTACAATGACAGATATGCTGCAGCAACTGCAGTATGCAAACATTTCGATGTACACGGTGGACCTGAAAATAATCCAAACAGGTAAGGTACTAACGTAGAGTGCATATCAGTACAATCATTTTTGTATGTAATATGTCGTATGGCAACAAATATATCAACTTATGATATATATAATTACCGTATATATATCTGTCCTTGAGTCAATTTATTTAGCATGATGGGTTTCTTGTGAAAGGCTTCCTAATATTATACTGTTAACATAAGACATTAAAAAATTGTGAAGAAAGCCTAACTACTTTGATTGATTTCCTATTTCAATACAGGCTCTCTAATATTCCTACCATATGGTTAAATTTATTTTCTAGTCCCCAAAATTATATCAATGATAATGCATTCAATGATCACATTGTCTTTATCTTTATGTTCCATTTACCAGTTTTATATTCCATTTTTTTAATACTTTACCAGATTTGGTTTCAATGCAGTTGTCTCTGATAGAGATTGGCAAATGACTCATTTACCTGCTTTCCGAGCTTGTATCGAAGCAGGAGCTTATGGTGTTATGTGCAGTTATAATGCAATCAATGGAGTCCCAGCATGTGCTAACAAGAAGTTATTGACAGGTTGGTAATTGATCAATCAATCGTCACATTTCAAAATTTTGATATTGTTTCAGCTTAGACTTGAAAATTGTTGAATATTTTTTTCTACACCCTCTTCATAATACCTTGAAATGTAGTAATGCGAGAGCCAATTCAACTGTTAATTGGGACAATACATCCTTCCCTGTTCCCAACTTCAAGAAAGAAAAATCTGAAATTTTTTTCAAATTTACAATTGAATCCTATTGTTATCTTCATTTAAATCTGACTGGCATGCTATATATTGCTCTCTCGGTAATCTTGTTTCTGGAATAATTATGGAAGCTGACGTATTCAATAGCAAAATTGATTAACAGTGTGTACTCTTCTGTGAAGTAAGATTATATTTAATATAATACAGGGTGTCCCAAAATAAATGAAACCCATTATTCCGATTACCAATTTTGTGGGTTTTTCTTCATTTTGGGACACCCTATACTTGTTTACCATAATCTATTGTGATTATGTTCTCGTTTCTAGACATCCTTCGAAAAGAACTTGGCTTCACTGGATATGTTGTCAGTGATGAAGGAGCAATTGAACACATTGATTTGTTTTTTAATTACACAAGTAATTCAACAGAAACTGCCATAGGTGAGCACTTGCAACTGAATGATACTGGCCTTTTTCGAATACTTCCTAAAAAATAATTTTGTATCTGGAATTCTGAATACAGTTTAGTATCCGACACAAATCTTCAATTAGTATATTAAAATATAATAAATTAGGAATTAAGCTTTAATGATACTATAGTAAAGCAGGTATAAATGAACATATGGCATGTCTGATGTGATTGAAGCTGAAGCTTTTTCTCTTCTGATAAAATATAAGATAATCAATGCAAAGTATGTTCAATCATACTATCTCCAACAATGGAGGTGAGTATGTGTCTGCCCTGGTCGGGAACAAAAATGTGTTATTGTTCGTATTAACACTAACAACCGTATTAAGTTGTCAGGTATCAGGTTATTCGATTCGATTTCCCAATTTATTTAGAATGGCTCATCAAATTCCTGAAATTTATTAGAATCGCTTAGATGAATCGCTCTTTAAGTTTTATAAAATGTATAATAAATTTCCTCCAACAGCTGCCATAACAGCAGGAGTAAATCTTGAATTAACCTATGTTGGGCCGCTCAATCGATTTTTCAAGTTAAAAAATGCGGTTGACCAAAAAATGATCGATGAAGATTTGCTGAGAGAAAGAGCCAAACCACTTTTCTATACAAGATTTAAATTGGGTCAATTTGACCCACCTTCAATGAATCCTTATGCCAATGTTAGCATGGATGGTAAGATTTCTTTTAAAAACAATTTAGTATTTACAATATCCTCATTTATGGAAATCAATTATACTTTCATACTCAGGACCAAATTTTTTAAAAAAGAGCATTTTTTATTGTAAGATGTATCCGTGTCAATAGAAGAACACAGAGAGTGGTATCAGCTTTGTATCAGAGCTTAGCAATATTATTCTCAATTTGAATGTTTTTATTGAATATTCTGGTCTCCATAGAGTCTAAATACCTGCAGAATCGCAATCATTTAATTTCTGTATCATTAGATATAACCGAAATGAATATAATTCATGAATAATAGTGTGCAAATTACTAGATATTCTATGATTGGAAGAATGACTTGTTAAACTTTACCCGAGATATATAATATATCTTAATTTTGCTTTTATCAGTTAGAATTACATTTTGCTTTAAAAGCTTATTTTTCTATTCAGTTATACAGAGTCCAGAACATCGTGAGTTAGCATATACAATAACTGCGAAATCATTTGTTTTATTAAAAAATAATGGAGTTCTTCCGTTAAAAGAAACATTTGACAGAGTTGCTGTAAGTTATTTATACTTGCTCAACACGAATTAATGTGTAATATACTGATGAGTGATGAGTGTGGAATAATTAACATTTAACATAATTGTACAATTTCATATTTTCAAATCAAACTCTATTGTAATAAAAGAAGAATATTATAAGTTTAAGAGTTTAAAAGAAAAATTTCAGTGAACAATAATTCACATAAATGTAATTAGTAAAACTTTTTAAGGCTGACAAGAAACTCATCAAATTCACACAACTGACATGTCATTCATTCATAAGTCATCCATTTTCGGTTCAACTCAAACATTTGGTCTGTCATGCTGAAAGTGGCATGAGCATATTATTAACTCAATGGTTTGTATATGGATTAACAGGGAAGTTTTGTTACATTTACAATTTTGATATATTTTTACAGATTGTTGGTCCCTTCGCTAATAACAGCATTGCCTTGACTGGTGACTATCCAGCTCAATTTAGCATGATACATTTTTCATCTCCTTATGACGGGATACAGAAGTTTAGCACAAATACTGCAACAATCCTGAAAGGATGCACTGGTGATAAATGGGATGAAAAACTACCAAAATGTGCTCAGTATTCTGAACAAGACATTAAAACCAAGATTCCAGGATCTGATGTTGTTATTGTAACATTGGGGACAGGTTTGTGAGACTTTACCATGTAGATAAGATTCGTTTGTTTCAATATCTCCTTTATTTGATCAGTCATGAACTCAGCTTTTAGCCAGTGTACTCAATATTCTCATTTGTTACCCTTTACAATACTTTATATACTCTACCTGTGCATATATTATTCTTCATACATCTGTATGAACCATATTAATGATTTTGAAGAAAATTTTTTGTTCTCCAACATAGCCTGATTTTGAAATCATCATTTATTACTTATTCAAAAGAACAGTTATTTGGCTTACAAAGTTTGTGGTCAGAAAATTTCCTGTATGTTATCTTTCTTTGCATAGGTGTGGGAGTGGAAGCTGAAGGAATAGATCGTACTGGGATCTCATTGCCCGGAGAACAACTAAATCTTTTGAAGTCTGTAGTGCAATATGGTAAGTTGAGATAAAGGAGTGTTCTAAGTAATATTTTGATATCTATTCAAGGTATGAAGAATTTTGAGATATAACCCAAATGCAAAACAACAAAAAGTTGTGGTATTTTGTGGTTTTTCTTGACCCTGTGACACATGGAACCTTGAAGCATGGGGACAGACTAATTTCAAATATATAGGCCATATGATTAGACAATTGTTCACAATCTTACCAGTATATAGACATTTTTTTTGTTATTTACAATGAATTTTTTTTGTTATATAGTAAATGATAAAAAAAATAGTTTTTCATATAAATTTTCTTTATCAGCTGGAAAAAGTGCTCGTATCATAGTTCTTTTGTTCAATGCTGGTCCATTGGACGTTTCATGGGCAAAAGAATCTGCAGAAGTTGATGCAATAATTGCTTGTCATTTCCCTGCACAATCTGCTGGTGAAGCAATTTATAGGGTGTTATCAGGACAAGAAAATCCTGCTGGGAGATTACCAAACACTTGGCCAAAATCATTGGACCAGGTCTGTTTCCATCGAAAAAACTATTTCCTGCAACATTTATTGCAACATACCGAATAAAACAAATCGGTTACAAAATCGTTGGCATATTCAAGCTTTCGTTTGTTTCCTTTTGAGAATTCCAAGTCAACTTTATCTTTTTGAATTTCTGTGGAAAATTTTGACTTTGATTATCATTATTAAATTATGGAATTCCTACTCTTGAATCCAAAGTCATGACCCCAGCCTTCGACAAGGGGACTTCAAATATGGCCTTTTAACTCCGATATCATTAAAAATAAAAATAAATGGTGTACGGCTCTAGAGTCAACTTCTAGAGAAGTTACACTCAACTAAATTTTCCAAGTTATTTGGGAAATGACTCTTGACTCCAGGTTGAAGGAATTTTGACTTAGACTCCAGCTTCAAGAAAGTCGAATTTTGATATACGGTAGTCAATAGAATACATATTCAACCTGATGCTTATTGTTGTTTTTTTCTCTGAACCTTTAAAAACCCTTAATTTAAAAAATTTTTAAGTTTCAAGTCCCGACTACCTTTCCATTGGATTTTTATATGACCCTGGCTATGACTCTTTCAGTAAACATATGCCAAGCTTTCCTGATTCAATTTTCTTTGACCATCACAAAACTATCTGTGAACATGCCTGCATAGAATTCGGAAATCATTTCTAAGCTTTATAGAATTTAATCTTTGTTGATACTGGTACAGATATATCCAGGATTTTCAACAGTGAATATAATTTGTATTTTTAAACCATTTTAGTTGTAGATGGAAATATGACATTTCATTTCAGGTTCCTCCCATTACAAACTACAGCATGCACGAAAGAACATACAGATATTCAACGAGTGAACCTTTATATTCATTTGGATATGGACTTTCTTACACAACATTCTTATACAGAGGTTTAATTGTTGGAGGATCTGGATTTGATGTTTGTGATGACGTTGGAATATCTGTGTCTCTTACAAACACTGGAAAATATTATGGAGAAGAGGTTTGAAATATGTTGTTGCTCTATCATTCTTGTTTGATCCAAGCTTTAGCCTGTGATAATTGAAAATATATCTGATGGCTACTTTTTCAATTAAATCCTAAATTTGCTCTTATATGCACTTTTCAAACTATTCCTATAAATTTGTTGATTGATTAGCCCCAATCATTAACTAGTCTAAAAAGTACTGTTCATTGGATATAGATACGTATATATAAGGATTTCAGTGATCATCCATTTGAGAGAATTATTTGATACATCATCAGGTTTAATTGATTTCAGATACTATTTCAAGAATTTCAGATTGATAAGCAAACTTCTGGTTATATCCAGTTACCATATAAGACACCTTACCAACAATTTTAACTAAATTAAGTTACCCACAATATAATATGTTATTAGAAATAGAATGTGCCTTTTTTATTTTGCTTTCATCTCCTCCAGGATAAATATAAAAATCATATATCTGCTATTTGATATTAAACTCACATTAATGCTTAATGTTTTCCCATTGTGCAGGTTGCCCAACTTTATATTAAATGGTTGAATTCGACTGTAACTACTCCTCATCTTCAACTTGTTGGATTTAAGCGCATTGGTATAAAACCAGGACAGACAGTTAATGTACATTTCACTATCAAACCAGAACAACGAGCTGTGTGGATTGGTATGCTATTTTTCAATAAAATGAATATCAATTTAGTTGTTGAAGTGATTCATCTCGTGGCAAGTCCCTTTTGAAATTAATGAGGTCAATGGATGTTGAAACATTAATATTTTTTTTATTTAATTGGAAAAGAAGAGAATGTTTTGGTTAATGCCCGATAAAAAATTTATAGTTTACTTACCAACTCGTGCCACTAGGTGATATGATATCTGCCTAAACAACCATTTGCAAGCACCATTTTTTTAATGCCTGAAAAAAGTTTGTACTTACACAAAATAAAATATAAAGATTCTGATCTTGTACCAACTTGTACATGAAAATACCTTTTAATCATCTTTGCTTAATCTTACAATTGTTCATTTGATCTCGTGCGTGCATACCTTCTGAATAATAATATAACACATTTACTAATTCAGAATTTCATATTTTCCTAGTTGTAAATATTTCGAAAAATACACAATAGATGGTAGATAACACTTTTGCTTTCATCAGTGAAATTGATATACTTAATTTTGTTCAGATGATCTCATGTTGGAACCTGGTAAAATGTTTGTATATCTCGGTGGACAACAGCCTAGTCAATCAACTTTAACATCCTCTGATGTTCTTACTGAGGAGTTTACAGTTTCCGGCCAAACTATTCCTTTGAGTAAATGTTCATTCAAGACTCCATAAAATATGAAAATTAAGATATGACTTGTGCCAGATTATGTATAAATACTGGTTTAATAAATTTGACCAGGATTATATGTTTATAATAAAATCATATTTTGATCCTTTCATGTGACTAATGCTTATGCTTGATATTGCTTTGCTTATGCTCCTTATTTCATGCGGGTAACCAACAAACAACTTCATTTAGGGGCTTACAATTGCCCATATCCAAATGGCCTTATATTCCTGATTTTTTTCTATATGTTTATTTGAATTTATTCATTTTATTTGAATACTTCTATGATGAAAATACTTAAATTCAGTATATATGTTCCAACCTTCATATAATAACAAGTATCTTATGTTTTACTTAGCAAAAAAAACTTCAGCATTCTAAGATGACCGTTCAGCATTCACCACTAAGCTATTTTTTAAGTACATCCTTTTTTAATACTTATCTTTTTTGCCACCAACCAGTTGCATAATTAATCAGCAAAAGTTAATCTAAAATTTTTTCAAAAGATGATAAAATATTCAATCAGTGTTGCAAGTTATGTAGCTTCTTGGTTTATTGATTGCTATTAAATCTGCAAAATCAATTCATTGAAATTCATGAATTCATTGAAAATATGGGGAAAATACTGTATAAACATGTTAAAATCACCAGTCTGACAAATTTAGTTTAAATAATAATTACACCAATAAATTTACAGATATTTTATTTGGAACTGTTAACATGAAATCAGAGATAAGTTTATTTCGATTCAAGGTACCGATATATCGTCAAATTCAATATGATCATGAAAAACTTCAAACACATGGTTTACATAGGTTAGAATGTGCAGCAAATTTATGAGAAGTAAACTTTTGTGTGTTGTTATTTTTTAGACATATAAACCCACTAAACAAATGTGCCTTTGTGAATAGTACTGTAGTAAACTATTTGTAGAATAATCGGTTTCTGTACCATTTTTTTCTATAATTCTATATAGAATACATATTTCTATATGTATTCACTCTAAATGCAAATGAGATTGTTATTGTTAAAATGTTGTGCAATAATATTTGTCATCTATAGGAATATTATTCAATGATTCATTGTATGCATTCTTATTCAGTTCATATTTCATACTTATTCATACCTATACCTATGCAGTTTTAACTTCGAAAATGGAATTACATTTGGATGCAGCTTTTCTGGCTATTTTCATCACTGTGCTCAACATTTATAATGTTCTGGCTTTTGAAGAAGATCTATGTAAAATTGTCAGATTCGACAAATTTGAAGATTCACAAGACAAAGCAAAGGATATCAAATATCCATTCCAAGATACATCATTATCATTTTCTGATAGAGTGTATGACCTGGTATGTTAACAACTTTTCATACAGATGTAGTTTTTGGGTCTCATTCCAACAAAATACCATAGAACATGTTCTAGTAAATCATTAGTTAGCAATGTGATTGAACACTAAAAAGAGGTCATGTTATTGAAATTTGCCCTACATTGGTTAATCAAATGTATTCATGACTTCATTTCCTATTACAGAGAAAAATTGTTTAATGAAAAACATGATTATCGTTGTAGTAATTTTTATACCTATTGCTGCATATGTTTTATAGATGACACTTCTATAATAAAAAATATTATTTTCCGAAGGTTGACCGCTTAACTCTTCAGGAAGTTGTTCAACAGCTTGCTATGGGTGGATCTGGGGCCGATGGACTGGTACAACATTAAACCTTATCAATGGGATACAGAATGTCTTCGAGGTTATGCATTTGCTGGTGATGCAACTTGTTTTCCTTCACCTATTGGTCTAGCAGCTACTATAGAGTAGGTGATTTGCAAGATGTGATTGTTTGTTAAATTACAATTACTTATACACATATTTTTTGGTATTGTTCGTCTGTATTACTCTGGTTTTAGTAATATTTTCACCTTATTATCGTCATCTATAAAACACCTTTTTTCCAAGTCAACTAAACTCAAGTCAACTTTTGTACGAGTCAAACTAAACTTACTTTAGAAACAAGCTGTTCAATGTCTCATAAACTAAATTAATTTCAATTTATCATATCCGCTGTTAATGAAACATTAAAAGAGATGCTAGTTACTGTCCAAGTTGCAATGGCCAATATGGTTGACTGGAATTCGGTAGTTCTTAGCTACTCATTTTATTTATTTTTCGGATCATTCAGACTTTCTCAGAGATTAATCACTATGTTTTTAGCACATTATTCCCTTCACAATATGTATTATTTGTTTAGTTCAAACCTGATTGAAAGACTTGCAAATGTGATAGGATGGCAGACCAGAGTCCAGAGCAAAGGGAAATTATTTTATGGCTCATAATGATTATGATACTCACATAAGGAATGAGCTGTTTCTCTCCCTTTATTAATATTATGAGACATCCTCTGTGGGGAAGAAATCAGGTTAGACTTCAAGTGTTGATATTTAGTTGATATTTTATAACTTTTTCTATGCCCAGGATTGTGTCTATTTTTTGGTACTTTCTGCACCATTTATTGTAATACCATAATGATTTAGTTTCAATTACCCCTGATGTTGCTGTTAGTGAAAGTACTGAAAATCAAGTTATCTTGTGTGAAAAGTTTACTGCGTTTCATAAGTGGAACTTGATGTTTTATGGTATTTCCAATGTCGTTTCTCTGTTCAACCACTTTTGCTTAGGGATTATGATAGATCTAATGCTAATTATCAACGGGGTGATCCCTTGTGCAATCATGTTATTTAAAAGAGAACTAAACTAAAAGGCAAATATATGATTCTTCGTGGTTGGTGTTTGATTGGATTTTCAATAAGTGTAACATTAATTGTGTATTGAAAAATTTTATATTTTTTTTCAAGCTTGCATTAAAGCTGGAGTGAGTCTTGAGGTGACATATGTTGGTTCTGCTAATAGATTTTTCCTTCTCAAAGAAGCCCCTGAGAAAGGCTTGGTTGAAGAGAAGTTAGTGAGAGAAAGAGTGAAACCATTGTTTTACACAAGATTTAAACTCGGTCTGTTCGATCTTCCTTCAATAAATCCTTATGCAAACATATCATTAGATGGTAAGTAGCAATAAAATATTTAAAGAAAATTAGAATATAAAAACATGAAAATAGACTTTATTGGTCAAATGTGCTTATATCCTTCTTGTCTGTAAAATGTAAAACAAAATCAAAATCTTATAATTCTTTAATTTCAAATGTCGGTTTTGATTATTACACCATTATAATTAAGAATCACAGTTTATATTATGATAAAATTTACTGTTATATTTTCAGTTGTCTCAAGTCCTGAGCATTTGGAGTTGGCTAATACTGTTGCTGCTAAGTCATTTGTTTTGCTGAGGAGTGTTGCCTTTGAAGAAATATTTCGAGAAAGTCACTGTGAGTTACGGTATTTGATTTGGTTCATTGTGAGAAATTGAATTTCTAATGTTTCTCATATGTTGGATGTAAATCAGATGTAATTCAATAAGGCTTTCTCTAGTGCTTATATCCTCTTTATAATAGGACGTATAACAAACCTGTGTTCCTTTTGGTGTATTAAATTCGAGATATCAATATGTTTAGACCACCACTTTATCATTTTTCTCTGAGATTAAAATTTTGAAAACTGACTTATTATTTTCAATTTGGATTATTTTCTATTTTCTTCATTAAGGTTGTTGGACCTTCCACAGATAATCCGGAAGCTTTGACTGGTTGGTATCCTGCTAAATTTTCCATGGATTCCATTTTTTTCAGTGCTTATGGCACCAGAGGGGCTTAATCCGCCCCTGCTCATAGGCCTTGCACTCCAAACAAGGCTCTGGGCACGCATAAAAACTTAACTGTTCTAACCCAATAATTTTAATCTGTAGTGACAACATAGTTAAGTTCATTATGTCAACCAATGGCTCGCCACGACATCAACTTTTGTAACAATAATCGTCCACTTTTTGTGATGGCATGTGGCCAAATACACAGCGAAACTGCATAATAAGATGACAATTACATTGAAATCAATGTAATATTTGTGTTGGATATATTGTGGTTATATTTCCATCATTTATAAGTACTCTAACCTTAAGAGATAAGACTGTATCATGTCAATAGCATGATGAAGTGTTTCATGTCACTGTTGAAACTATGTTGTCATATATTAGAATAATTCATCTTTGTTCACCACTTTGAGTGCAAATATACTTAAGAATCCAACTTACAAAATATATCAGCATTGAAGTGCTTTACCATCAATGTTCGATTGGTATTCTTGTGTCTCATTTAATGCTGTTTAAAAATACCAGAATTTATTTTGCAAATAATGTTTCCAATGTTGTTTTATGTAATTTTGAAATGATTTCACTTGTATATAAAGTTTCAATTTTGTTGTCTCGGAGTTAGCGGAAATGCCAATTTAGTCAAATATCAAAAAGGCAATCTCAGCCAGACTTGTGTGTGTGTTAAACGCTTCGATTTATATTGTTTCAGATTCACCGATGCTGGAGCCAGGTACGACGACAATATATGTTGGTGGTCAACAACCTCACCAGGAAACTAAAGCATCGTCCAATGTTCTTACTGGAGAATTTGTCATCCATGGTACACTGACACCTCTCAATAAATGTTTATCTTATAAAAGGCCTTAAATTATATATTATTTCTATCGATTAAATTGAAATTGTTATATAAAATAAAAACAAGCAGCAGCCAATCTTGATATTTACTCTTTGTAAGAAAACTAAATTTGAAGACTTGTGTCTTAATATGCTTTTTTTGTGTCACTTGTCACGCAGTTTATGCTTGATTTAATATGAGCTTTATTGATAATTTTCGAGTATGGTACATACCAGGGTAACACATGCGTGGTATATGTTTCACCATTATCGACGCGGATGGAAGCTATATTTTTATCCAACAGTGGCAATGTACCAATACAGATATTCTGATACATTACAACAGCCCATGATATTGTTACTGACATTTTATGAGAAATATGATACAATATATAATACTAATGCTTTTTATTCAGCTGTTTGTTAACAATTTTCGAAGTTGAAGAGTATCAATCACATCAATTTTTTCCGCACAGTACGAACCCATCTTCAAGAATATTTTGATAAATGAAGAGCCATTCTCGTTTAATATTTTAATCAAATTTTCAACAGAATGCAGTCCAATTAAGTAATTTATTATCTGATTGATGCCCTTTTGGTTCATTAGCCACGAAATCATGTCACATATTAGTTCATATCTATGGAATAATATGGATACAACTGTACACTTTCAGTATTGAATGACATTATTATATATCTGAATTTGTGTAAACAAAATATATATCACTAAGCAATTGGACCCTTATGCTGTGCACCAGGGAAAAAATGTTCGTGCCAAAATACTCATGAATTCTTATGTACAAATATTTATTCAGTTGGGTCTTATATATAGCTACTCAACTATTTATTTTATGATTTGATGACTACAATCGAAGTATGCCTTGATTTTTTCAAATATGCAGTGTCAAATATATGCATGCAGTCGTGACCAAAGATTTTTATATTAGTTACATTGGGGGATATTCAAATATGTTTTCAACCCTGCAATGGTCGCTCTAAATGACATCTATATAAATATTGATGCTTAAATTTTATGATAGATTATGAAATCTTATTGTTCGTTCACAGTGAACAAAAAAATATGGTTAGTTTGTATTTTCATGTAAATCGATTACCATATTATAATATCGACCGCACCCTATTTTTGAAATATGAGATGGACTGTTCTGAAAATTTTTATAAATATTTCATAGCGTTATGTTTCTTGTTTCACAACTAGGGATGTAAGTTTAAGAATTTCGAAGCGATTCGAATCAACATCAATTCGAATTGAGGCAATTTGAGAAAAAACGGCTTGATTCTATTTAAAAAAAATAATAATTTAGATAACACGGGGCGATTGCACGACGCAGCAGCGTTGTCTTATCATCGAAAAAAAAACGTTCATTTTCCCTACGCTTACAGCGTTCCCAAGTCGTAACACTTCGGGGGGTATTATATTTCATATGGGTCACCGCTTCAGAGTTACGTTAAATTGTTTTTAGACTATTCAAAATATTAGAAAGTTCTACAAATATGTTAATATATGAACATGCTCTAAATCATAGGTTCTCAAAGTGCTCCGTACGGAGCCCCAGGGCTCCGCGAGATAAACCCAGGGGCTCCGCGAACTATTCTATTACTTTTTAAAATACCGACTTGGCTAATTTAAAACTATTCCTAGAAGCAGTAACAGCTTTAATAAAATTTGACAACAATATAGCCTAGAAATATGGCAAAGTGGCGGAATTAAAAAATGACATTATTTATAAGCAGGAGCGCAGCCAGGATTCTTAAGAGGGAGGAGGTTAAAAATTGGAATCGGAAATTTACGCGTAACATTCTTGGCGATTCAAAAAAAACGGATAACGAGATTTCTGTTGCGTAAAATATTCAATTCATGTCCGATGCGAGCATTTGAAGTATCTTATCGTAATAATTTAATTGTGCTCATCGTTACTCACGTTCGATTCGAGATTACTGTTAGTGTTAGGATTACTAAAATGAAAAAATACTATTCTAAAATAACATAAACTGCCAACTACAAATAAATTGGAGTCGTATTTTTGGGATTTGTTAAACTTGATTTTTTCTTTCGCACTCGATATTATTTTTAAGCAAGATATCGCCGTTTGAAAAATCACAAGGTCTTGGAAAAATACGAACGATTGAAATTTATTTTAGCGCATGCGGCTCCGTCGGTAGTTTCAGAATGGAAAAATGGTACATCGCGCGCATAATTAATTGACTGTGTTTCAATTTCGCAGTTACTACGATGCATAACCGAAGAAAACCTAACATAACACCAAATTTTGTGATTTACAATGTCTATAAGAGCGTTTTTTTTTCACGTGAGGCTGCTGAAACAAAACTTATAGTGCTATCTTCCATTTTGAGTTTGGTTCTAATATTTTAGAATGCCGCTTTTCAATCAAGAAATTTGAATTGCCGATTTACCTCTTTATTAACTATTATTTTTAGCATTTGGTCGGCGATGATTATAATATGGTTACATGTTTTTCACATTGAACTCATAATTCCCCACGAGAACGAAAAAGCAATTATCGTCGTCATTGTGGAACAATACATGTATATGACGAAGGAAATTTTGATTCATGGAGAATAAACACCTGCGTAAAGATGTTTGAGGTTTAAGTCTTCCAAAAATGTCAAGAGGGGAAAAGATTCAACCCCTAATTTATTAATATGTTTGTCATGTGCCAAATTTACAGCTTCAGTATATACAACTTATCTTTGAAATTTAGATTTATTTATGACTTGTATTAACCTTATTAAAAGGGTTTAGTATATAAATTGAGTAAAGTACGTTTAACTTACTCAGGAATATTAATCGGAAAGTATCAATTTTAACATTATTCTGGGGCTCCGTGAATAATAGTCAACCTTTTTAAGGGCTCCGCAACACCAAAAGTTTGAGAACCCCTGCTCTAAATTACTCAAGTTTTATAATGTTATTATAACAATAATATTCCTCATTAAAAATAGGTCTGCGATGCTTCCCTCGTTATCATTTGCTTTCTTTAAAATCATGGTGCAAGCGGTACTATCGCATAATTCACTGACGTTCATTATTTGGATGAATTTCAGAAGAAACCATCACTATACATTCGGTATTGTTTGCGAACATAAATTAATGTAAAGAGTAAATATAACTGAGTGTAACTCTATATACCAATAATACATATTCTCTAATTATAATATATTATGTAGTTGAAGCATCAATTTAATGTTTCTTCTACCAACTTCACTCATTCTTCGAGTTCATTATTGTTATTTGATCACACTTTATGCTATAGTTCTTTCAAATCTAAGGAGAGTTAACGATATTAAGATGTTATACTAAATAGAATCATGTTCGAAAATAATCGAATCGGAACATTCCGATTCGGAATTTGATTCGAAAATAAAATATTTGAAACTTACATCCCTATTCACAACCTGAAATCCATTGACATATATTATCAATTTAGGAAAAAAAAACTTTTTTTCAATCAAGAAATTAGAGATTAAATAATAATGTATATATAAAAAAAGTGTATATATATCCTCCATTCATTCCTGATTGGTGTTGAAATTTCAGCCTGTACAAAATCAAAGTGGAATTTCTATCGATTTATTTGCAGCACTGAATGTAATTGAATTTAAATATATTTTTTCTCTTTCTAAGCTTGATTAGAGTAAAATGGAGGATATTGAGCTTACCATATATGCTCGTTTTACCGCCCGATCTTGATTAAGGGTCCGTTTGAGTACCGCCCGTGTGAACAGAACATAAAAATAAATAAGAGCCGGTGCTTGAATACCCGTCCAATGTAAAAGCTGATTCTTCAGTGGTAGAGAACAATAGGAAATAAGAAGCGCTTTTGTCACAACGCTGTTGAATTTTGAGCGCTGGTAGATAACACTCACGCCTTACATAAAAGATAGCATTGGTTACGTAACGTCGTAACAGAAAGCAGACTTTCCTGCCAAAAGCAAAGAACTGATAGTATGAAAGGTTTCGATTTGTTTACCAATCATTCATGCAGAATATTGAACCCCACATGATGGCCGATGACAGAAGAAGAAAGCGTGACCTATCACCAGTTGATGAAGATAACAAAAAGCGCAAACTGCACAGTTACACACTTGAATTCAAATTGAATGCTATCGGTGAAGTGAAAAAAGGCAAATCAAAGGAGGCAACTGCTAGAAAATTTGGTGTTGCTCCAAAAAGAATTCGGGAATGGTGCAAGCAAGAAGAGAAGCTGAAGGCCATGACATCCCATTCCAGTCAACGTAAAAGACTTGATGGCGGAGGTCGCAGACCATTGTTAGACACACTGGAAGAGAGAGTGTTTGAATGGATAGAGAGCATGCGTTCCAGAAGGCTGCGTGTGACCAGGAAAATGGTGAAAAGAGAAGCATTGGAGATTTTCTCCAATGAAGGTGGTCAAGACTATGATAGCAATCCCGAGTTCGTTGCCAGTGATGGCTGGTTGAGAAATTTCTTCAATCGTCACAGGATCAACCTAGGACAAAATACAACTGTTTGCCAGAAGCTTCCAGATGTCCTTGCCCTAGAAGTCGGCTCCTACCTATATGCGGAGTAAACGGCTGAAATTGAACTTTACACTGCAGAATATGGGTGCGATGGAGGAAACACCCATCTGGCTCGAAATGGCTGCAGACAGCACCGTTGATTTTATTGGTAACAAATCAATCCCTATCAAGACCACTGGCCATGAGAAATCAAGGGTGACTGTTGTACTAGCTGCCAAGGCCAATGGTAGCAAGCTCTCACCTTTCATAGTATTCAAGGATAAACGAGTGGATAAAGGCCTTCAGAAACTAAGCGGTGTTGTGTGTGCTTACAGTGGGAAAGGTTGGATGAGTGAGGACTTGACACACACATGGCTTAACAAAGTTTTGGGGGACCTTTCTCGCCGCCTGTTGTGCTGGGATGCGTACCGATGTCATATCCAAGACTCAACCAAGCAACTTCTATCCAAACTGAAGACAGATGCTGCTGTCATCCCCGGTGGCTGCACAAGCCTTCTACAAGCCCCTGATGTGTCTTGTAACAAACCATTCAAAACGTACTACCGTGAAATCCACGAGGACGAGGTTGAATGCTGGTGAAGAGGCAACAACAAAGGGCGGCAACATAAAACCTCCTACTCGTGTTCAGCTTGCGACTTGCGTAAAGGCAGCGTAAGGCATAATAGCTTTGATGAAGAAAATAACGGTACACTTGCTGAATAAATACAAATTTTGATTTGTTGTTTCTTGTTAATAATATAAACCAAGGGTAATATGAGGGAATTACTCATAAGTAGGGATGGCGGATTCGACTACAGAATCGATTCCGATGCATTGGAATCGATTCTCGAGGTTAAAACTTGGATTGAAAAGAATGTGTAAAGTTTTGTGGCAATTCCTTCACATATATGTATAAACTGCTTCACTGCTATGTTGAGTTGCTACGACGACGAAAACTTCACTATATATAATATTTCAATTGAAGGCTTTAACGTTTATTTATTTTAAAAATCTCTGTGGGTTCTGAGGGATTCGGTTTTTCGTGCGATTTTGTCTCCTCTGACAGATTGAATACTCATACTACTTAGTTTCAGCGCTCTTGGTAGCCCAGAATTTGAACATCGTGCTCTTGTTTGATTTCATATGGTATTGCTTAGGTGGGTATGTGTTTTCGGTAAGATATGTCGAGGAATCGAGAATCGGAATTGCCAGTTTAGGAATCGAATACTTGTAAGTACTCATACTTGGCATCCGTACTCATAAGACGTGAATAATTTGCGTTTGGCGTGAATAAATTGACATGGAAAAAGGATTAATGGCGTCAAATATTTGTCTTCAAAGATTTTGTGTATAATAACAAGCGCCCGTGCTTGAATAAGGGTCCGGTTAGTAAGTTTAGTTAAAAAAAATATGGACCCGGGCTACAAAACGAGCAAATACAGTAATTATAATTTCTTCTCAACACAAAATTTGCTGTAAACTGTAATTTATATTAAGTGGCATGATCTGGAATTTTTCGCGAGGAAAGTGATAACGATGACGGGTTTCACAAACCTTAATTAATGAAACATCGCACATCATAATTGTAGAATTTTTTAAATTAACCCAGTTAACTGAAAACCCACAAATATTGTATGTTTCCAAGTACGCCGATATTCCAATAGTATGTAATTATCAGCTTGAGTCTGCAGGACGAACAGAATAAAAAAAAGTTAACCGTAAGCTAAAAATTAGAGTAAACATAATTCCAGCTGGCAGAGTGGGTATCCCAGCACATGAGACATTGATATTTTTAATTCAGATGCATAAATAGCGTGTCACTGAAGTCACTTCTAACGTTTTATTGAGATACTTAAATTAGTTACATTGTAAAATGCTTCGTACGTATGCAAAGGTGGCCTCAACACCTTCATTAAACCAAATTATGCTAGTGTCTGCAGACGTTTCGATGTGCGGAGGCGCAAGGTATCTTGATGTTCGATGAAAAAGTTCGTTCAGTCATAGTGAAATGAATAAATGTTCACCTATCCTATATCGGTCTATTTTAAACCCGTATATATATATCGAAAATGGCCGATAGCGATAAATCGGTACATCTCCAGTTTGAACCTTGCTAAACTTCTGGGTGACTGTTCTAGTGGTTTTTTTTTTAACTGCGAGAAACTGTGCAAGGTCTCTCTTGGGCTAGGCAAATGTTTCTGTTAATGATCATTGCGTTGAAACTGATGTCGCAAACGTAGGTTAAATGCCCAAAGACATTCTAAACAATAGCTTTTTAGTCAATTTTATCATGTCACTATATATATATAATATATTATATAATTATATATATATATTATTATATATATATATATTATATAAATATGTAATTAATAAATACATTGCATCCATAACTAGAAAAACTTCAATGATATGACATTTAAGCTGCATCTGATCCGCTCTTGCGATTATTGGTTGCTCAAACCTCTTTGACTGAATTCAAATAGGAGTTATGAATGTAGTTGTCGCGAAAATGCGTGAAAATTGACTTAGCTCACTTATTATTACGGACTTACGGACTAATGTCGACAGAGCTGAAACACTTTTAGGAATGGCGGATGCTATGCAAGATGCAAGCAAGCTATGCAAGTCTTGCTTTTCTTTGGCCATACTACTGTGTCAGGAAAGGTCTGGCAAAATCCCCGCGGAAGTTCTTTAGAAAAAAATGCAATTAGGCTATTTTTAACGGATCAAACACCGCGTAGAAGTGAATAGTAAAGTTCAATAAGATTTAATAGTCAGTTTTTTTCGTTTGTTTTTAATATACCTTTAACAGATATTTCCATACTCTTCCTCAATCCACGAAAAAATATTGCCTGAGCGGCTGGCAATGTAATGACCACGACTATCGAAATACACATTATGCTTTTCCGGATTGTGTGGGGACCAGTTTCAAACCACTTATCGAGTTAACGTCCGCTACGTGTATTGGAGTAACTTCTATTGAATAATGTCAAATTTATTTTTTTCATTCTGTATAAATCAATGGCGGCGATTCGTGAAGATTTCCACGGCTGGTCAGTGATGTCCATTCCGTCAAAGAGAGAGAGATAAATCAATGGTACACAATTTAAAAGAAAAGAGTAAGCACGCGGTTTTACCGGGGAAGGGAGGCCTCACGTGGAATCAGAAGCTGCGCCCGAAGTTCCAACAACTAATTAAATATATATATATATATAATTTCTCGCTACTATTATTGTCGGTAAGCATGGTTCTGGTGTTGTTGGAACATAAAATAACTTTTCTATTCAGCTACTCAGTCGATCGCTTTTAAATTTTTATTGGCGCTGCTCTATCAATACTCAATAGTCGACTTCCTCGTGTCCATATGTTTGTTTATGGTTTGTAGTGCTTGTTATGAAATAACGATAATAAATACAAACATCTACGTCAATATTTACGACCTAAATGTGCCCCGCTCAATACAGGCCAACGTTTGTGTAAACGATATACTGATTGCACCGACGCCAATCTTCATTTCGTGCCAAAACGGTCCTACAGAAAATAATAAACATCTGCTGGAAGGCCTTCTTACATAACCCATGTACATTTTCAGTACGTAGGCGTAGGACGTCTGATGGACTATCGATTGCGCCTGCTTTCTCGAGGTTCGAAAGAAAGCTGTACGCTTGGACGAAATCTATCACAAACAAATTTGTCTCTGGTAATTTTGATCTTGACTCATCTCGTGTTCCACTTTGTGAAATTCCCTTCAGCCTTCCTTCTTTCCTTGGCAGTACAGACTCTAATGGTTACAAGTTCCAAGAGATCTTCTATCGGTGTTTCGTCTTACCATAAGTCATTGCCACTTTATTTTATTTCTATCTAAAACTCTTAATTATGTATTATTTCATATGATTCAATCATGCAAGTATATATTCGTAAATTTACTCGGAATGTGAATTTAAAAATAAATTGGAAAGCTCAAATTATAATGTCATAATACGCATCGCAAAACTACCGTGTTTCCTCGAAAATAAGACCTGGCCTGAAAATAAGATAATAATTTGAATTTTCAAAATGATTTTAATTAAACCCTACCCTTAAAATAAATTTTGAAATGTGTGGGAGAGGAAAGGTTCATTGGCCTGAGGTAAGGTGAAGATCACACCACAATTCAAGATTGTGTGATATCACAATTATGATATTTGTCACTTGATTTTTGTATAGGAAATACAAATATTTTATAATGTTTAGTAAAAAATCTTGTGATTTTCTACAATGTAATTTTATTTTTGATAAATGAACGCAAAAGACCTCTTCCAAAAAAAAAACATAGTGTTATTCTTCAAAAGAAAATAAATCTAAATTCTGTCTAAATTTCGGGGAAACACGGTAAGAAGTGCTGTAAACTGCTATGCGTAAAAAAGCCACATGGTCATTCTTTGAGTATATATAGCAAATTTTTGTTCATTTGAGAAGATCGTGAAAAGGAAACTCACAGATTAGAATTTCAATTTAATTTCTTTTGTTTTTTTGAAGATTTACGTATTCGAGTTACGCCCTAGAGTTTAAGCTACTGTATAATACAAGTAAATATGGATAATTTTTAACAGTACTTTAAAGTATAAAAGTCGGAAAATATCTAAACAAAAGAAAACAGGTGGTCTTTAGAGTCGCGTAAAATAACATTACGAGGACAGTTTGTTTACTTGGGCACAACGCAAGGATTTATCGGAACAATGCCATTTGAGTGGGACTGGTACTCGTGACCATAAGCCAACTTTTTGTATCAAAATAAATCAGCTTTTTGAAGAGCGGTGCTAATATAGACTTTAATCTTATAACTATTCAATAAATAGAATAGGCCTATGTCGACCTCTCAGCGTTTGCGTGTTTGCCCGAGTACCCATATATTTATAGAGTAAATATTGTTTCGGAATTGTATAGAGCGCATCAATCACCGTAGGTGGGGCTAAATATGAAATAATACACCTCAACATTTGTGTCTCATTCGAAACGTTGTATCAAGATGGTGGTATACAACACTTCAATTTCATAAGAGAGGACGTGTTGAATGTTAGTTATATTTCGAATAGTTAGAATTCAAGGTTCAATAATTTAAAAACAATCGAGTTTAGTAGACTATAATTTAATTGAGGACTTTCCATTGATGCGCATTCACAGATAGTAATTTCAGATTGACTTGTTTGATATAATTTGTGTCTCTCACAAGTGCAATATATATATGTACAAGTGCATTTGTTATTCCTATTTATTGACATTCTCGGAGTATTTAACTCTTATTATAATGTCGTTATACTTAACGAGAGGGAAAGTAAATATACTGTAACATATTACGATATTTGGTTACCGGTGCAATCGTTTGAACTGTAAATATTATTAGGATTAAGTGACGTGAAATATTTAGTTTACGGTGATATTCGGCACTTCAAACAAGTAGATGTAGTATCTCCTAATATACTGGTCCACTACATAGAGGCACTAAAAGAATAAAATCAAGAACGATTTACTCTTAACAACGCGAATAATAGCTTCGAATGTGACTCGTTTTCTATGGGTTGGGCCACATCGCTTTTCTGAATACAGACAACGTATTTCTCGTGGCATTGACTAATTGTGAAATAGCGATAGCAAATAAAAACGTTTTTTTATTATTTAGTATATGTTAATAAAATACTAAAACATGGATAATCTTTTATTTGATAAGAAACCAATTAAATAACATTATACCCTACTTCTACAGTGGTAAGCGTGATGTGGAAAGGTTTAATTTTTCATCACAATGTAAATCATAAGAGTATGCTGTAGCACCAAAGGGCACACGACATTGTCGAAGTATTCTATTACATATCTACGTAATTCGAAACGATGGCTTCGGATATGCACATTGTATCGACACATCTTACACCGTTAAAAGACAGAGGACTCGCTACTGCCCTTTTGCGTATGAGTGAACGAAGATCATTGAAAGATGAATTTGATGTGGAAAAAGTTGTCTACTGTGCAGCTGAAGAACCTTTCAAAGGATGGACGAACGCCGCTCCATCTGCTAGGTAATAGTTATGATATCTTATTCCTAAACTTGGAGTTGATTCAAAATTAATATGTCGTGACAATAAAAGAAATTTGCCCGGAAACGAACTCTTTCTTAGTCAACGCATTAACTTCCTGATATCAAGCAATGCCGCTATACCACCGGGTATTGTCTCTTTTTGTTATTTCGGAAATTATCGATTCTCGCCTGTATTCTAGATTTTGTGTCGTAATCTAACCTAGGTTCAAATTTCAACCATACGTCGTCAATTGCATTATATATCGAAAGGTCAATAATTATTGGATTATGGAGTTCATTACTTATCGATCTTGACCGGTAAGTATGTTGACAGGTATTTGTCTGTTTGTCCGTATGTTTGTCTGTTAGATACACGCAAAATCTCACGAAAACGAGGTTGAATCCGCTCCAAGTTTTGCATATGCATTCATCATATCTCGGACCAGAAGCCTATTGATTTTGGATAAATTATGTCATATAATTAGCGAATTAATGAGTAATTAGTGATGGGACACGCGGTGTCGCTATTGAGTCAAAGCGAAGGATTCATGCCACTAGATCGATAGGTCGGCGGTCTCCGATCGCTATCTCGTTTACTATTAAATGATATCGATTTAGGTCCAGTGAGAATCACGGCTAGCCAACCATAAGATATTATCGTCATACTTGTGTAGGGCCTGTATTGTAACGAATTATCTGTTTCAAACTGATAAGGAATCTCATAAACTCTGTTTAAGGCCAATGTGATAAAATGAATTATATACAATACATTATTTATTCACTTCAATATCGGAATTATGAACTGGACTAAATTTTATTAATGTAGATAAATATAACTTAAACATGAAATGCAACCTCATTTATACTTTATACCTGTTTCTTATTTAGGTATTCCGTAGCGAGCAGACCTAGAGAAGTCGGACAAGGATTGAAAAAGAAGAGAGGAATTCGAAAGTCAAAAATTCTTGAAGCGAAAGACAGTCTCACTGACTTATATGCCGAAATTGTGGGAATGACGACAAGAGCTGATGGACATTATCATGCATCTGCAACTATACAAGAATTATATGAAGAGTACAAGGTTATTAATATTTTTAAAGTATCATCAGAATAAATGCCGTTGTATATTGCAAAAATGAGTCACGCCATCAAAATTGAAACAAGGTTTAATTCAACTCAGTTATTTATTTGCATATTCATTTGGGAAAATACCCAACGTTCGAATCTAGCCTTTCAATCCTTCAAAGTTGTAAACTGCTCTACAACCCAATCACAGACTAGCTGTATCGGGCAGAGGGTTTGATTGTGTAGTTTGGGCGGCAGTACATAAGGGAATATTAAACATCAGTTGTTTGTAGTAAAAGTACTCTATTTATTACAGAAGAGACAGGGAATTGAAGATCACATAAAAATAAAAAGTATGATCGATCCCATAACTTTTCGATACATACCAAGAGATGAAAGAACAGACGAAATTTCTGACGATGGCTCGATCGCAGATATCAAACTTCCCGTACTAAAGGTTAGATTGTATTTATCTATCCAATACTCAAGAAAACAATTCCGCTGATGATCTCTAGTTGCGACAATTTTTGTTTATATCATGCATAACAAGACTCACACGCATTTTCACTTCCCCTATTTGAAAGTATTTATAAAATAAATACATATATATATTGCGAACGGTTATGCCAAACATCGTTGTACTTTGTCAAACCAGACCTGATATGACCGACTAAAAGATTCCTCTCACAATTTTACACACAGCTGATTACAGCTTGGATGAAAGTTGGATATTAATTCTGTGCTAGTTAAATAAAAACAATAAAGTTGATACAAAGACAAGGTTATATCTCACAATAGTATATATAATATAAATAACGTCATAAGAACTCGAACATTAATTTTAAATTGAAACCAGCTACATATTGTTATTCCTCGGTAACACAGATGACACATGCAAACAAACAGACAAAATTGCTAGAAGTTCTTGAAAATTTTATGAGCAGAAAATCAGATGAAAATGGCAAACGAATAGACACTGAACAATTTTCAGTCAAAGGAAGAGATGCTGCTTCGTTTTACGATAAGTATGCAATAGAAACTATATTTGCAAATACTTTCCTCACTTACACATAATATGACACCGTTGAAATTTTCACCTATCGGATGATATGGAGAAGGCGACCAAACTTGGAATTGTTATTACCAACTGGTATCACTAGGCTAACCTTCAAAGAGCAATGAATGCTGATTGCTGAGCATTACTAGCCACTACAGCCTATTCTGTTAATCGTGTGTTTGGATGTAATCTAATGATCAATATACTTTAGATACAAGTGGTTTTTTAAAGACAAGCAAGGAGGTTTATCACGAAACATAAAGATAAAACGCCCAGGGAGACATCGAAATAATAAAAGAAGAGTCGTCGATGGTAAGACCTATTATTCTGAAAGTGGATCTGAGGAATCGATGAAGAAAAATCGTCGTCGAAGAAGGCATTCGTATCCGCCAACTTATGTAATTAAAGTAAAAGATGAAAACAGCAAGACAACTGCCGAAGAAACAATAACCTTTGAAAAGAAAACGGATTATGGATTAAGTGCTCCCGGAGCGCCTGGAATAGACCGTTGGGTAGCCAGAGTCGTTATTAGAGATTCACAAGATCAAGATGACGGTGAATCATATACATCAACAACAGCTTCACAAATCACAGAAAATCCCATACACAATAAAACAAATAAACTTCAAAAACGGACCACAAAACAGTTCACCAAGAACACGGATAGTGCAAAACAGCCAGATTATAGACTCCCCAGCAAAAGAGGCAAAAAACGTCCAAATAAACGTCTTCCAAGAAGTTTTTATGATTTGTATCATATATCAGCTGTGGAAACTGCTAAGGTTTCAATGAAATATAATGTTTCTGTGGGAAAAAGACAAGGAACACTGCCAGAACTAGAAACCGAACAACATTCGGATGATATAGTTGCTACATCAAACAAAGATATAAAAAGCAACAACATTTCAAAAACTTTAAAACCGACTCCCATTCATTCTATGAAACACGTAGAATCGACGAATACATTGAAACTTAATTCTAGGAAAGTTGTTCCTGTGTCTAAAAAGTCAAACGTCCTCGATACGATATCTGACGAAAACGAAGACGCGCAATCGCAAGTAAATTCAAAAAATAAATCAGACATAGCCCTTCCGCCATTACAAGCAAAACGACCTCCAATAGTTTCTAAAGACTCAATCCACAAACCAAAGAAACGAAAAAAAACAGACAGTAAAAAGTCACAAAAAGACGACGATGGTATATTTTCTTTACCAAGGTAAGTTAGGCATGATTGTGTAATACTAACACAGAGTATGGTAAATATGTGAAAAATGTATAAAGGTCATTCTGGAAAAGCTTCTTGAACTTATTCTACGAAAATAGGTATTCCCATCCACAATTATGCTACGGACAATATATGAAGATGATCTAGTATAGTGTCATTCAGATCAGAAGTTGGTAGTATTGTGCAATTAAATGGTAGCTTAGATTTGTAAATCGGGTAAGAGAAAATTTAATTAACGAACTTTGCAATGAAACAATTTGCAAAAAACTGTCTTGAGAAATTGGTATGTTTGTGTAAAATTTCCCATCTTTGCAGTGGAATTATCTACCTGAAATATTAATCTACATTCTGCTACTGATATATTTATAACATTTTAGAGCTAACTGCAAAATATAATTGAACTTGAATATAAATATAACACCTATACAACAAATACAGAATTGGCCGGGGCAAGTAATAATGTCTATTGTATGACAGTCATCCAAGCAATAATACCGTGTTTTCCCGAAAATAAGACTTAGCTTGAATTTTGAATATGATTTTAATATAAACCCTCTCCTTAAAATAAGACCTAGTCGATAGTGAGAAAGTTTTTTGACCTAGTCGATAGCAAGGAGTTACTCCTACACGTTTTAAATGATTAATCTAAAACGTGTAAAAGGAAAATGTGTTATTTATGAGTAAATGGATATCGGTTTTCATCTTTTATATATTTGCAAAATCTCTTAATTCTCTAGTTTGTAATTTTGTTTCTGAGACATCTCCCCAAAATAAGTCCTAGTGTTATTTTTCGAAAGAAAATTCAAATAAGACCAATGTGATTCTCCAGTACATCAAAATAGGAGACATATTTGCGATGATTTTAAAACACTCCACAATCCGGAAATATTTAATCGCTACTTGAATTAAACATCATTATGATCAATTCAAGACTTATAAGCTGCATAGCTAATTTAGTTAGTATAAATGAAGTATTATGATAGTTTTGTCCTATGTAGCAATAACATTTACAATATTTCAGTGCATTTAAAAAATCAAACAATGGGACAGTAAATGTTGCCAGCGATATGCTACCTTTGATAGATTTTCAGTTTTCCATACAAATTGAATCTAACTGTTTAATGTCGAGTTTCTTAATTATATAATTTGACCACAATTGAACTAAAATAAATTATTGCACATAAAACATTTCCTAGAACCCTGGAATCGTCCGAGGAAAGGCAAATAAAAACACCGTCTTCTTCCACCTTTAATCCCGACAGAATGTTCCAGCAAATGCGAGATACTGCCGACTTTATAACCAAAGCATCGACGTTATCCAAGTCCAGCAAGTCCATTCAGTCATCGCCCAGGGTGAGTAGTAGCTCGCTATCTGAAATGGCTTTACTTGACTGGACAACCTGATATTCTCTGCAATTATTCACAAGCATTTAGTTGCAAATACAGGGTGAAGAAAAACATCTCCCACATTTCACTTTTCAAAGAAATAGACGAGAAGTCGTCCTTTAATAAATTTTTATTATATACTTAAAAACGCATATAATTGTCATTTTGTTTAAACTACTTTTTAAAAACAAGCTCTTCAAGGTGGCCCCTCCAACTACAATACATCGCTGTATCCTGAAGTTTTCCATCAATCTCTGTGTGATTTCTCGTGGAATTTCATTTAGTATCCCGCACATGGAAGCTTTCAGTCAATCAATGGTTGTTGACATCGGTGCTTGTACACTTCACCCTTGAGATAACCCCACAGAAAATAATCACGGTCAAGGTGAAAGGTCAGGCGAAAGTGCTGACCATTTCATATCACAATGCAAGAAAATGAAATACGTTGGAAAGGGTCGTCGCAAAACATTCATTGATTTTTGTTACGTGTGGGCCGTTGATCCATCTTGATGAACCATACCGTTGCATTTACTATAATATTTTTGAGTTTTGGCATCGAAACGCTTTGCAGCAACTGCGCATGGCGAGCTGGAGTGAGCAGCTAGCTATAGAGCCTACATGTTATAGTATAGATCAGTGATTCTCAAACTAGGTTTTGAGAGCCGCATGCGGCACGCATGCTCAGCAACTTTTCCTGCGGCTCTCGTTAATGCTTTAAAAATTAATTATTTTCAAAAAAAAATGTTCATTGAAAGCTAATCATTGACTCGAAATTAAAATGTTGAGGTCTATTAGTCGAATGGATTCCCCCGTGTTTATTTGCGTAGCGTTGACTAACCTACAAGATGCAATAGTGACGCAACAGTGAGCGTTTTCACGGCCACTCGGACACTTTTCACTTGGAAAGATTTTAGACATGGCTGTAATCATTGGCTTGCTTCCGTGGATTTTCAGTGTTTGTCGCATTCCCGGATATTATGCATAAATCCAATAACTCAATGATTATTTTAATTCTAGAGCATTTTAATTTTGTTCCAGTAATCGAAAATAGTCCCGGAATATCTGGCGATCATCTCAAGCAGCTACTGCACTTTGCATCCTCCACGATTACGACCCGCTTCGACAAACTTATTAGAAATCAAAGCTGAATTAAATGGCTGTTAGTCTAGGGCGGGCAAAATCGAATCTTTTTTCGAATCGAATATTTTTTATACATAACAGGGATCCAGAACGTCGGAGGTCGATTCGATACACCATTTAGAAATTGATAGAAACATTGAAAAGTCGACAAAAAAGCGTTTTTTTACTGGTTAATGGTTAATTATATCATATTCGCTGATTGTCACTACGATCGTTTTGGCGGCGATATCCTAAAGTTGGTATTCTATATTCCCGCCCTTTCTCGTTTTTTGCAAGAATAAGCGGTCGGCGAATTTCGAAGTTTCATATTTCTAATATCCCCTTGCGTTCACATCAGCGACAGCTGTTGAATACATTAAGGGCTGATTTCAAAACCAAATTAATTTTATTCTGAGTTTTATCCTCTGCCTTGGATTTGATCTTCCTTGTCACCGCTTGTAAATTAACCGTGCATGTTTAAAGTGAACGGTAACCGAAATGCAGATATTTAAAGGATAATTGAGTTCTCATGCTTTTCTATGGTGTTCGTGTTATTTTAGTATTAGATAGATAAACCTAGCAAATTTACGATTGCGTGAATCCTGAGTGTTGATTTAAAATAGCGATTAAATAATTTGGCAATAAAGGCATTTCTAAGCCTTCGTGCCTAATAGAGGGCCAGACGCTAATTATACCTAATTCCTCCAAGTTTTAACATTTTTTTTTTTTTTTTAACAAAACAACACCTCGATGGTTATTATAGCTAAAATACTTACCGAGTAATGCTCAATTTTCTTTACGGAATTTGCAAATTCAGCACTTCACCTAATGATTTTGATTATGTCATGCAATAAGGCTTAATTATTACCACCCAATGCTTCAAAATTTACCAATTGTAATCATTTTCGATGATAATAGACGCAACAATTCGTGAACGAGTCAGTGTGCATTGTCACAACGAAATTCACTTTGATTTTACGTTCTACTCCTGGCTCAACGGCCATGCATGGTCGATTACAATGTTACATATTCAAAACATTACTTGGCCAAGGATGGAAGGGATCAATAAAGAGCCAATACAAAGTGCTTTAAGATAGTAGGACAAGACATTTTTTATCTGGTTACAACTTAATGAGTATTTTTCATACAAGTAACTCATACCAGCTTTTGAAAAATTATTTGGTCATTTTTAAATCCATGCTATTTACTTAACTAGAGTTTTCTAACGACCTAAAATAGCCTTTTTCACAAGTAAACGCCGAAAAGTCAATTTAACATTTAATTTCAATCAACTTTATGTTCGGTAATGCAAGAAACGGCTAATGACATGACACCAAGCATGCGGAGTTTAAAATCTGAGAAATTTATTTTAAATACCTAATCTGGTTTGATGTTCATAAATTTACGGAACGGTCGGTACGTTTTTTTTTTGCAAAATAATGATTTGAGACGATACGTTAAGTGCAAAGATAAGCATATAACACCATAACACAAAGACAACGACTTTTTTTCTGATAGCGAGCGCCGTTGGGAAATCTCGCACGAATCACGATTGAGTTGGAGACGCGCGAGTTCGGTGTCCAAGCAGAGCGGCGCAGGTCACGTGGTACCGAATATTCGAATAGTAAAATGTCAATCGAATATTTTATTATTCGAATATTTTGCCCAGACCTAGTTGTTACGTGTGTTGTTGTTACGATGACTTGGTATTTTAAATACGCGCTTAAGGTTTGTTGCTATTTTACCTTGCGTTGTATTTGTGCGGCTCTTCATAACTTTGAGGTCTGAAATGCGGCTCTGGGTCTGAAATGCGTCTCTGGGACTAAAAAAGTTTGAGAACCACTGGTATAGATGGTTAGCAAGTATTATATTAAAATACTCTTTACCGCAAATCAATACTGAAGGAACAATATGAAATAACCAAGCAAAATGAATTTACTTTCGGCGTGCATCATAATTTATATTTTACTTTAGTTTTTGTCAAAAATTGAAGACGCAAGGACAAGCGATGTTACTTCCTCCAACACAAAATACGAAGAAGGATCAAGAAAACCACTGCATCCTCGACATAACAAAAATAGGGCTCAAGATAAATTGCAACAACTTATCGACGAAGAAAAATTGTTGGTCAGCCAAGTTATAAAACAAATTAACACAAGCTTGCAAGAAGAAAATTTAAATTTCCAGGTTTGTAAACTATTTCTCACTATTTTTTTTTAATTTGTCAAATCAATAATGATGACCCTACAGTTTTATTGCTCCTTTTAAATTCGACGAAGTCTTGTGCTTAGGATTTCACCTAAATGATGCTATGTCTTTGTTCAGTACATATTGTTAGTAAATAAGGGAGATGTGGTTTGCCTGTGAAACTTTCAAACTCAGTATGTGAACAAATTAGGATTGGTAGTTTGAGCAGTTTCAATACACGGCTTACTATACAGACTTGTATAAATGCACACGCTGTCAATGTTTCGAACTTTCAATATGTCTACTTGAATCCGGTTTGTTCGTATAATGACTTTAGAGCAAGCGGAGGGAAAGGATGATGCGGATGTTCATTAAATTCATTACTTAACGCAAGCTCAAATTGTTAAAAATGACAACCGTTACTTGTTCAAAGTTGGCACCAGCGAATAGAAATTTTCCAATTGAATTTTAATTACGGTTATTCACTAATAACTTCACATATTCAGAAAACTCCAGTTCCAGAAGTCATTCAGGATGCATTATCAACTGCGATTGCTAAAACAAGATTAGCCGAGATTCATGGAACTGCATTTCCTGTGAGTTACTCATAGCTTTTTAATTAATTAAAAAATTTAACAATCAAAAGTACTTAACATTTGAATTCGATTCCGAACTTACCCATAAGCTCCGAAAAAATTGTTCGCTGTATTGCCGTGGCCCCATATGTTTTATCACGGTCTCTCAAATCGATCTCTCGGTGTGTTGCTTCTTCGGTTGGATTTGTTCACTTTTAGATGAGTGTTTGTTACATAACTATGGACAGTTTAAAAACACACAATGTTAATTTTTAGGGAAATTCTGGATCACGGACTCTGAATATGCAAAACGTCATTAAAAGGCGTGTTGTTCCTCCGGTTAAAGGAAAATCTTCAGTTCCCACAGCCATGGTCGGATCTGGAGAAAGTTTTTTCATCACAGACACTATAAAACATGCCGCCAACAAGCCGACAATTTCCACATTACGACAGAGTGGACTGAACAAAAAGCCGGATGGAAAAAAACCTCAGATATCAAACGCGGTTCGGTCATTATCTAAAGAAAGGAATGAATCTTTCAAAAGGAACAAACTTCAGCCTGGGGTTCGATTTGTTGCCGAGGGCGATTTGTTACTTGCTAATCGCCGTGCATTTGCGCCAGCAGTTCCAGGAATTTTTGAAGCATCAATTTCATCAATCAAACCTGCGAGAAGAATTGCAAACGTTAATCAACCATTTGATATTCGACAAAGGGCTTGATGAAACATAGTAATAGATATAATCAAAGCATTGCACAAAATATCGGTCTGTTACATAAAGTCATAAAGCATAATTTAAAATACATTAATATTATTTTTGACGTCGCTGATGCCGAATCGTGTTGTGATCCTTATGTCATGACCTCAAAATTAAGTTGAATAAGAACAATTTGAGTAAACAAAATAATTTTTTGCGACTATGCCATTATATTTCACCGTTGCTTTTATTTTGATTGGCTGTGCATATTAATGACGTAACAGTAAAAATGACGTAAAAGTGAGAATACAATTATAATATATATAATATAACCGTACGGCCACCCGTCATTTACCCACAATTACGGGCCAGTGGTGTCTTGTCCGAATTGTTTTTTCAATTGTCGGACTAGGATTCATATTTTCAAACCTTCTGATATATATAAAAATTTCGAGTTCTCGGTGTTCTGAATTTCATAGCGTATGCCGTCACATAGGATGAGATTTGCCAATGCTATAATATGTAACATTTAAATTCCATAAACACATAGTCTAAAAGGAGAAGAAGCCAGTTAAAATGGAAATAGTGTAGTAAAATATATACAAGATATAGCCAACACATTTTGTTTATTTCATTTGCAGATAAGTTGATTGAAGTTTTTTTCAAACTATCATGGCTCGTGTTATCCAACATTATAAAAAGTCAATGCTAGGCATTAGGCAATAATATTATTTTAAATATATTATACAAGAATCAGCAATTAACATAAATTCTTTAACATTCCTCAGTTTCAGCGCGATGACAACACAAGCACGTCGTTTAACGGTGTTTATATTACAAGAACATATCTAATCCGAATGAATGCTATTTATATATCATTTAATATATTTATTCCTACATAAGCGTATTTAGAAGTATTTTTTGAAATGTTACGTTTTATGGCTATTACAGATTGGAAGTTCACTCAGCGATTCGTGAATATGGCCTAATGAGTGTCATGTAAAATCGTTGTAACTTTGACAAATCCCATAACTATTTTACGCGCAAACTACGATAGTATTATCTAATATTAAAACAACGCCTTCTAATAGAGACAACGTGACCTCTAAGATAAGCTTAACTATCACGTTACTGTTCAACTAAAACAGCAATTATTAACAATAGGTTCGAGGAGTTTCTCTTGTCAGATGCATGAATGTAATAAATAAACTGGTAATTAAAGATTATTACATAATTTGCGGTGTCTAGAAATCGACCGCCAGACTTGAACGTGAAAAAAGGCGGAACAAAAACGGAATAGAAAGACACTTCAGCCCGTGAAAGTTTTTAAACCCCCGCCACGGAGATTTTCCATATCACTTGTTCCTACTGTCACTGAGAGAAGTGCAGAATAGCAGAAAAATCGAAGCGTGTGAAAATCACGTGAAAAGTTCCGTTGACGTTTTTGTTGATGAGAGTATAGTATAAACAAGTTTGAGATTGTATGATATTATAAAGAAGTTGGAACGATAGCTAGCTGAATATCTGAAATAAATTTTTAAATTGACGTAATATAAATATGAGGCTGTGGATTGCAGCATTGATGGTTGTCGTAACGACAAACAGCGCTCTAAGTTGGGATGAAATAGAGGTGAGTGAATTACATCAACAATTTACATAACATTTTTCACCTGGGCGTAACAACGTAATATGCTTTATTCACAATTATCATAAGCATGCATAATTATACATATCTATTCGATTACAACACAGGATAATATTTAAAAAATGCCCACCCTATAACGTTTCTATTATATACTATTTAAATGTACACTACAGTTTAACAATAGGTCAAACCAATTTTACCTCAACTAATTGAAAATTTTTTTTAGACTTCGATTCAAGCGGATAGAGAACATGACATTGTCAAACGCCAGGCTGTAGTTGAGTGTCTTGATCTTAAAGGATATTGCAAACAATGGGCAAAAAGAGGTCATTGTGCTAGGCCAAAATATCGTGCATACATGAGAAAGAATTGCAAAGTTAGCTGCGGATTGTGTAAAGGTAAGGGGCGCGTCTACGGCTATTTCCACTAATATAAAGCATGTATATATCGACTGATATGCAAATATTACCATTACTCACTACATCTTGCTATTTTATGGATAAACTTCCGAATCTAATATTACGGAAGTGCCCATTAGTGATAACCTTCAAACTGATTTGTTGAACTTGGTTTAAATATTTTTGTACAGAAACAAAAGTTATTGTAACTACCACGGCACCAGAAGAATGTGTTGACAATCACAGGTCGTGTGCAAAATGGAAGGAGCAAAAATATTGTGAAAACGCCAAGTACAGAACTTTTATGAAGCAGAAATGCAGAAAAACATGTCAATTTTGCCAAGGTAACTAGGGTATCTTTTTAAAAAACGAATATAAATAAAGCAAACATCGACAATGAAATGCGTGCCATTACACATAGTTTCGGTCAACAAATAAATTACTGATAACTAAACTTCTTATATATATACATTTGCATATAAACTATTTTAAATATTTTAAACTAGACACATCGGTAAGTACAACAAAAATGTCAAAAGCATCAACGATAATTCCAACCACGACAGAAGACACAACTCTTGTATCAACGACCACTGAAGGTACAACTATGCCTGCGTCAACCACTGAACTCCCGACCGCTCAATCGACAACTGTTGAACCAACCAGTAAGTTTATTTTGAAATCTTTGCATTAGCGCCGTCGGGATTATGCGCTTTTAATTACACAATATTTTTATATAATTTAAAATTTACATGTAATTTGAATGATCTCCAGCATAACCACTCTACCAAAGAATTAGCTTTAAAGGTTTTTCTGTATCGTTGTTTATCTGTAACATCGTTCTGTTTGATCTCATGCAGCAGAACAAAGTGAAACGTCAACTACAAAGACAACTACGCCAAAACCAACTACAACCGAATCTTTATTAGAAGAAACAACGCTTCACACTACAGATAAAACTGGCACGACAGAATATGTCCAGACTACTCTGCTAGATATTACAGCAGACCCCACAACAGAAGCATATGAAACCACTCCAAGAGATGCAACAACAGAAAGCGAGCGAACCTCCACACGCACGACTGTCGTAGAGCTAGAAGAAACTACGCTATTCGAAAAAACTACCGTCGTTGACCAAACTACTTATGAACAACAAACGACCGGAGTCGTCACAACTGGCGCAGAACTTACCACAAATTTTACTTTGCCATTACTTAGCACCTCAGCAATGCCAACAACGACGGAAGCCACTCCAGAAATTACCCCCATTTGGCAAGAGGAATGTGAAGATAACCTTCCTCAGTGTGGTGCAGTCGCTTCATATTGTGGGATTTTGGATGTTAGGATACAATGTCGCAAGACTTGTGGATTTTGTCAAACAAGCACTGCTGCTGCATTTGTGACTCAACCTCAAACAACTACTTCTGAGAAACAGACAACCACAGAGATGACAACTGAGTTTATCTCTACCACTACCACTGATGCAACAACGGAAACCTCAACAAATGTGAAATCCGAATATACAACGCCAGAACCAAAAGAAACCACACCTGTGATCACTGCCACTCAAACTGTGTGTACGGACTCGATGCCAAGATGCGCTGCATTTGTTAATTATTGTAAAGCATCAGAATATGTCAGAGAAGTTTGTCCTCTTACTTGCGACAATTGTCAAGGTCGGATAAAAGTAACTGAAACAACCGAGGCGACTTCATTGACTTCCGCTGTTTCGACAACCCAAAAACCGGTGGATTTCACAACAGTGAACCAAACAACTCAAACTGCAGTCGTGACTGATAACAACATGACCACCTCCATCGAAGACTTAGCGGAAGTAACAAAAGGCAAATTGAAGAGCACCGATAACATTGGTGACTTTTCTTCGACCGTAACCAGCTCAACTGAAATTATACCTGAAAGCAAAATCACGGTAAATAGCACGACCATCGCCACGACTGGCAATGCAATCAATACATCTACTCTTCCAGAAGAAGAATATGTGTCCACAGAAATAAACCTTGGAAGCACTGAGGTCACATTTTTATTATCCACTCAGGGTTCGACAGATTCTAATTCGAAAACCACTGGTGCTGCAGTACCTGAAATCACAACATCAATGCTTGTTACTGTAACAAGTTCAGAAACTCAGCAACCCACAAAACGCCCATCAATATCATCTACACTTGATGTCAACATTGAAAACGATACAGAAGCGCTCACTACAATGCAGGCTCCAACAACTATTACCATTTCAACAACCGCTTTTGTTAAAAACTCAACCATAGCATCCACGACTTCAGCTGGTACAGAAGAGTGCGCTGACAAATTTGAAGTGTGTTCATCATACTCGAAAGTGTTATGTGCAACAGCTGCTTTCGAACGGAATTGTCTGAGATACTGCGGTGTGTGTGATTCCCTCGAAGAAGGTATATACTTATTCAAAAGGCTTTGCCATTTGTTAGGCAAGTGTCCATGAATTAATCTACAATATCATTTTTTTCGTTTAGTTCTCACCACAGCAATACCATCGTATTCAAATTTGAGCACAATTAGCCCAGGAAGCTGTGAAGATTCGGGTTCGAAATGCTCAGAGTATAAGAAATATTGTACAATGTCCGAAGATGTCCGAAAACATTGTATGAAAACATGCAACAGCTGTGATGAATTTGGTAAGATACCATTCTAGATTTTTTGTATTGAAAACTTGTAATTGTGAATTGTTGCTGATTGTATGATATGTTACCGCTCCCAGACAAAGCCATCACTTCACCAGTACCATCTTGTACCGATTACTCTACTGAGTGTTCAAAAATGAAATCGTATTGCATTGGATCCACGGTTTCTGAGGACGTTCGAGCGCAATGTCCAAAAACTTGTAGTCTCTGCGACGAAGAAGCGACAACTTCTCAAGATCAATCTGACGTAACAATAACCACTGCTGTACCGAGTGTCAAAGAAACAACAACTAAAATAGATGTAACTACTAAACCTGGTGAGTTGTAACGAAATATTTTCTGGCTTGTTAATTTTAGTGCATACCTTGCAACTCCCAATATTTTTAATTTATAGATTGCCGAGATCACTTTGGGCAATGCGACAAATTGATATCTTTCTGCGGCACGAGGGAACAAGTAAAATCTTCCTGTCCGCTTACGTGTGGAATATGTACGCCAACCACATCCACAAACCCAGTTACATCAACGGCGGAAATAACACACCTGGCAACTTCTATGCCTATAACTGCCGTAACCTTCCGTCCAACAACAACCTCACCCCAGATAACGACCCCAGAGCCAGGTAAGCTATTAAATACATTATACATTCCAAAGTCATTATCAAAATAGTTTAGCAAACATTTAATTTTTATTTTACTCGTCAAAATGCAGAAATTGAGAAGTGTGAAGACAAATTTGCCCGTTGTGGCGATATATACAGCAAATGCAACGAACCTGATTCTATAGAATATCTTCGCGTTTCGTGCCGTAAAACATGTGGATTTTGTAAAGTGAATGCTTCCGAAATAGAACATTACCGTAAGTCGAATTTTACTAAATGATTAATTGTTTTCAACATGCTTTGTTAAGCCTTTTATGTGACCTTTGTGTGGTATTTTAACTCGTTTCAGGCAAAGAATGGGGCGCTTGGGGTCCATGTTCCACAACTTGTGGCCAAGGAACACAAACACGAAGACAAGCATGCGTCGATTCTAATGTTATATGCCCGCGTGATATGCCTACAGAACAACGCGGGTGTCAACTGAGAGAATGTATTGAATGTGAAAACAGATTAGCAGATGCATCATGCGAAAAGTATAAGCGAAGAGGTGCTTGTGGAATGCCAGCAATCACTGGACTTTGTATAAAAACATGTGACCAATGTGAAGATTCCTCAATCACACTTCCAGTCCAGGAACCACAGCAAGGCAATTATAGCCCTTGGTCCAACTGGGGAGTGTGCAGTGCGGAATGCGGGCAAGGAATTGTAAATCGCAGTCGTACTTGCCAACCACCAACACGAGATGTGAGCTCTATATTTTGCAATGGACATCCAGTTGAGGAAATGCCTTGTATCGCCAAATCTTGTATTTCCGGAAGTAAGATAACACGCAATTTTAATAAATTATTACTATATTTATTAGTTTTTTAGATTATTTATTTATGAATTATGTTTTTTTGCTTACAGATACTACCTCAGGAGTATGCGAAGACAAACATGAGCGTTGCGAATCATGGTCAAAGAAGGGGTATTGTGAACAAAAATATACCAAGTACATGCGCAAGCACTGCGCTGTTTCTTGCAACATCTGTGGAAGTAATTGATTTTTTAAATTATATTTGAATTATTCCACACATTAGTCAAAGTATATATATTATGATAATTACAAGAAACAGTTTCTTAGCAATATAATAAGCAAACCCACATGTTAATATTGATGGTGAGAATCGTGGGTGGCAAGCAAAACAGTCTGTTCTACAAAGACCCGAAGCGTCCCTCTTTAAACATTCCTAACTAACATGCTTCTTAATATTTTAGGATGGGGAAATTGGAGTGATTGGTCTCCCTGCAGTGTATCGTGTGGTGGAGGAATACAGCAACGGACACGTGTATGTGATACTCTAGGCTGCGTTGGTGACTACAACGAAATGGCATCTTGCAATCCACAATCGTGTGAAGTAAATATATGTGAAGACATGACTAGCTCTTGCCTCAGAATCGACGCTACGACAAAATGCAAAGAAGCATTTTACTCATCCGTATGCGAACGCACCTGTGGATTGTGCCCCGCCTCCGGCCCAGGAAGAAGTGCATGTTTCGACAGGCATGAACAATGCACTGACGCAGCCGCAGACGGTAAATGTAATGACGTACGATTCAAGGATCTTTGCCCAAGGTCATGCAACGCTTGTCCAGGTGATGCTAATACTGGATCTACTTTGCCGTGTACTGACAAGATTGCTTCTTGTAAGCAAATGGAGCAAACACTAAACTGCCGAGATGCCTACATTCAGCAGAACTGCAAAGCAACGTGTGGACTTTGTGAACAAACTCAAGCAATTGCCACCTGCGAAGATTTAGCATCAACATGCGCTGCAATGGCAAATACTGGACAGTGCCGAAATCCTACTGTAGCCGAGTCTTGTCAAAAATCATGCGGGTTTTGTAGAATAGCACAGTTTCCTATAGGACTGTGTGTTGATGACGCCACAGAATGTCCGAATTATGCAGCCCAAGGACGCTGCAGAGATGGAAGGGTTGCGACACAATGCAAAAAATCATGTGGTCAATGTACACCGTCAGCTGCAGGCAATGAAGTCGAGGTATGTGTCGATCAAAGCACAGAATGTCCCACATACAAGATAATGGGATATTGCCAAAATCCAGCAGTTCAACAACAATGCCGTCAATCGTGCGAGATGTGTGGAGGACAGTGTATGGACAAACTGGCAAGCTGCAATCAGCTTGCAGATCTCGGATACTGTGACAACCCAGATGTGGCAAAATCCTGTGGAAAGTCATGTAACATTTGTCAACAAAATGGTAAGTAAAATTAATTAGGCTTGCGCCTGGTTTTGCATTGCCTAAGCGAAACTAAACTTCATCATTGATAACGTTAATTTCTGAATTTTTTTTTCAGCTGCTCTGAATGCTCTATGCAAAGACGAATCAGAATTATGTCAAACTTACGCCGCTCTGAGGTACTGCGAACAAGAACAAATCGCTTCAAGGTGCAGAAAATCATGCAATACTTGTCCCAAAGTCACATCCGACATCTGCACCGATAACACACCCAGTTGTATAATATACAAAGCAACGAATTTGTGTAACAATACCGTCGTTTCAAAACTTTGTCCGCTGTCATGCGGAACTTGTAATTGCAAAGATTCGATGTCACAGTGCCCAATGCTTGTGTCTACTCTGAAGTGCACGACAAGTTTTGTTGCTCAACAATGCAAGCTCTCATGCGGAACATGCCCTGGAATGATAAAAGGTATGGATCATTCGAATACCAACCCCGTGTTTTCTAATTCTGAGATGGTTAAATGCAAAATAGGCTTTCCATAAGCCAATTCCAAATTTTACTATAATATTAACATTATAGTCGTGTTCCAGAGAAACTTTTTCAACTTTGTATTATCCGATGTAATGATAATGTTATATATATATACATTTTTTGTTTTCAGCCGATACCTGCAAGGACAAGATAAGAGACTGCTCTTTGATTAAAAATTTGGGGCAATGCCAAATGCCACAATGGAGCTCAATGTGCGAAAAAACTTGTGAATTATGTGGCGTAAAACGTAAGATGATATTTCATACATTGCATTGCAAAATGAGAAAATTATATAACTAAACAAATGCGCGGGTTTAATTTCACAATATTGAATTCTGTCTCATGCTTTTCAGAAAAATGTGAAGATTCGTTGAGCGGATGTTCAGCAGCTGCAACCATGGGGCTTTGCAATACCGGTAACATTAACATGGTTTGTAGGAAATCTTGTCGAATTTGTACCCCGGTAATAGAACCTTTGTTCGACGAAGAAGACGGAGAATCAGAAGAAGAAGAGTGGGATTTGGATGAAGTAACACCAGGTAACTTCAGCTCATTCTTAGCTAAATTTTGAGTGTGTATTAGACGCTGCAAGCAACTCATCATTTTTGTTCAATTATCTCATATATATCTCTATCTTGTATTGTATAGTGGAAACTTTGATGTGTGAGGATGAAAATCAAAACTGTGAATCATTACGTGATCAAGGTTTGTGCTCACAGAAGAATATCCGTGATACTTGCAATATGACTTGTCGAGTGTGCGTACCGGTCAACCCAGGAAAACTGAAAGGTAACACAAGTTGTTCGGATATTTATGTTTACCTAGATGTTTATTTATTATTATAAATGTCTCACCTTTTTCACTTTTGCAGTTGATGATGAAGTGTGCATTGATGGTACCGAGGAATGCAAACTTCTAACGCAAGGAGACAGTTGTTCGACAGACGAGAGAATTCGATTTCTGTGTGCGAAGTCATGCGATACTTGTGTTTCAGTTGTAGGAGAGAAGACATCCAGTAAGTCAACTTTTTGAAACGTACCCCGACAATGAATAAAATCAGGACCGTGTTGACTGAATGATTCGGCGAAATTTTCATTTTCATCGTTACTTTCTATATTTAGTATATTATACAATATGTTTTCATTTAGAATCTTCCGACTGTAGAGATACTATTGACTGTTCTGACAAATCAGACAAATGCGACGTGCCAGAGATCAAGAAAACCTGTAAAAAGACTTGCGGTGTTTGTGACACCGAAGGTGCAAATCCCAATCCCGGCGAATACGGTATGAATCCGATCGAAAATCAAACTCCTTTTTATGCTAAACAAAGGATTGCAACAAATTTACCATGTTTTATTACATTTCAGTTATCCCAACGCAATACGGCCAGTGCAGGGATCTAATGAAGGGTTGCTCAGAGACTAAATGCAAAATGATTGGATACGAAGTTTACATCAAGAAAATGTGCGCAAACACTTGCGGATTCTGTAATGTAATTCCAGGTAGGTTGTTGACATTAAATGATTATGGTTACTACCAAAAATGTAACACAACATTATCAAAAAAAAATTAACCCCGTGTTATAAACAGTTGTTCCAGATGAATACGGCGTATGGGGTAACTGGGGCAGTTGCACTGTGTCCTGCGGCAGAGGCACCCGTAAACGAAATCGTGTTTGCAAAGAAGGTCAAATTTGCCGAGGAGACGGTCCTGCAGATTATGGAATTTGTGGAAAAGAAGATTGCGAGGGAACGGAAACATCAGGAAGTTAGTATTTGATAATAATATTATTGGCTCGGATATATTTTCTAACTCCTTCTAGTCAATGTAATTTATGAGCAACAAATATTTCTTCAAATTTTAATTCTTGACGCATCTTACAGGACGCGTGTGTAAAGATTACCGTGAAAAGTGTGCAGAATGGGCTTTAGTGAGCAGATGCAAAGATATAAGATATAAATTTCAGATGGCTGAGCAGTGCCGACTCTCGTGTGGACTGTGTGAACCAGGTTAGTCTTTACCTCTTGATTTGAAACAAGATCGTGGACGAAGTTGCATTCTCCTTTTGTAGAAAAACAATTTGTTCAAAACCCAAAAATCTTTATATTGTTTTTTAGAACAATTGGGTGAATGGTCGGAATGCAGTGTCCCTTGCGGTGGTGGTACAAGAACGCGAACCAGAGGCAATGCAGTGGACATTGAAAATTGTAACACGAACATTTGTCAGTACGGTTGGGATCAATGGAGTCAATGGTCTCAATGTGACGTTACTTGCGGTAATGGCGAGAGCATGAGAACAAGAGAATGTTTGGGAGAAAACGAGGAAGAAATATGCGACGGTCCCTTCGAAGAAGTTATTACATGCAACTCACCCAGTGTTTGTCCCGATGTTGGCGAGTGGGGGCCGTGGGTGGATGGCGCATGTGATACTACCTGTGGCGAGGGAATTTTGAAGAGGTAAGACACTTATTTAGTAATTCTATAACATGACTAAGATAACAAGTATTTTATATATCGATTATGCCGGTATTTTATACATGCATTACAGTCACTGAAATTTAGCAATCTTCTTATATTTTAAGAGAGAGAATATGTCGCAATGGAGTTCCAGGCAAATGGGGATGTCCAGGAAAAGCTATCGTAACGGCGCTATGCTCAATGCCCGCTTGTCCAACATCCTGGTCACTGTGGTCATCGTGGAGTTCGTGCACAAAAACTTGTGGGTCCGGCTTGAAATCAAGAGAAAGAAAAAGAATTATTTATTGCAAAGAAAATGTGGATGGATGCCCTGATGAAGACGAGCAATTTGAAAGATGCAACGAGCAAGAATGTAATCCAGCATCTTGGGGATCGTGGCAGCCGTGGACCTCCTGCACTGCTACGTGTGGTGGTGGAAGCGCACTTCGTCAAAGATTTTGCGAGAAAAAGGGTATGTATTAATAAACGATTGATAAGTATGCACCGAAGTTGTATAAAATATGCTTTGGACGCAAAAAATCTTCTATTCATACAGATTTGTCTAAATATTTCTAGTTTAATATTTCAATATATATATCCTCGTTTTCAGGTTTAAGAGTTCGGTATACAAGATGCAACGGAACTGCTCAGGACCGTTTTGAATCTGGGGAGTGCCATACACAACCATGTCCTGCTTGGGGATCGTGGACTGCCGCATCAGAATGCAGTGTAACTTGCGGCGTAGGCGTAAAAAAATACTTGAGAGAATGTTTGCACGGAAACGTGGGCGTCGATGGATGCAGCGAAGGCGATGATGTCATGTATGAAACCTGTAAAAACGAAGATTGTAACGAAGGTTTGTCCATTTTCCCATCTATATTGCATTTCGCTGGCCTGATGTATGATTCAATAATTAATTTTAATATATTTCAGATTGTCAAGAAGCATCTGTACCAATTAGTTATTTGAACGCCACCGCATTTACGGAATCAGCGAACGATAACATGAACGGATGGGATGGTAGAAAATGGTGCTTACGTCCCGTTGCTGAAGATCAATGGATTCAGGTAAATCGAATTTAATTTAAACTAAGTTGCAATATAAACTTGGCTATACTAAGAATTTTTAATGATTCATATTTTTATATCAATAATAACAATTTTTTTTTGTTATTCAAGGTGGATTTCGGTAAAAACATGGCAATCAGTGGAGTTGAAATGGAAGGGGTTGTTTATGAAAAGTACATGGTCGTGAAGTCATCGATAATGACTTTCAACGTCAGCCACTCAACTGAGCCGTCGAAATTTCAAAATCACTACGTCATCAGCAAACAGAACGCGACGGGACCGACAAAGTTTAGAACCAAAGTTACAAGGTAATTCATCTGTTTCTATTATAAAGTTCGATTTATAAATAGGGAAATAACTTTCAACGGTAAAATAGTGTACAATTAAGGGCCCTGGTAACTAGTCTTTAAAAATTCTTAAAAAACATATATTATTTATTTTTTATGAAGTCAACATAAAATTATTATTTGCAGATCATGGAAACCAGTCTATGACAGGGTTTGGAGGATATCGACGAAACTGCCGACCGATTTCACTTGTTTTTACATCAAATTTTATTATTGTACTTATCAAGAGAAACTAACGAACGAGAATAATAAAGTGGATGAAACTTTTGAAAACGGTTCAGGAGAAATGTTTTAACTTTATTACTTTTCGTCTTTTTTTCCGACATTTTTTGTTATTTTTTATGTAACATATTATCTATATTGTTATAATTAATGATATTGTACGACAACGCCAAACAGCCGTTTATTTTGCAATCTATATTTCTGATTTTTCCATTTTCTCACCGTGTAATTATAAAACATATCGCTCTTCTTTGTATATATCACAAGTCTTAATCGTTTGAAGCAATAATTCTTTCATTCAACATTTTTCAACATCAAGTACTTTTAAATGAAATTCCCGTCCGCGTTACATTTTTCAAAGAAGAGTCTATACACGAATCAGAATTGCTCAAAATATGTAAATAATAAAATATTTTTTATTCTTGTACAGTTTTTTACCACTGTTTGTTACAAGATATTTTATCTCTGTGTATATTTTTTAATTAATGCAAAATACACATTAAATTTAAAAAGTGTTGTCCTGGTTGTAACTAGGATTGCCTCATGCGGAGTTGTTTGGGTTTGCGTTTGATAAAATGCGTGGTCCGACTCTAGTTTTATTAGTACTTGCGTTGAGTATTTAGAAAAAAAATTCTAAATACTGTAATCTGCATACTTCTGCGGTCATCTGAAATCAGATATCTTGTTGTCTACACGACTGGCCGCATGTACATTTGCGATTGATCGATGAAAAAATCTCCAATGCAGCGTGGGAATACAACATAGTAAGAATGTTTTTTACATCAAAGATATAGATAGACTGCATTCAATGAGAAAAATATTATATAACTAATTTTGTCCAGGAACGAAAAGCTGAAAAACTCGGCAATATCACTAAATTATATCCTTCTAGATCGTTTTGGTGCCAAACAATGCCACTTTCGACTTGATATATTGTTGTTATTGATAATCTGTTTTATGAAGCCCATAACATCAGTGGTATTTTGCGTCATTAACTGATGCGAAAAATATATATTATACTATTATATCATAAAATATTTACGAATGAATTGAAATATATACCAATACAGTGGGATAGAATATATTAAGTAATTCATCTTGACTAACTCTGCCCACAGATTAAAACAAATTGTAAATTATGTTCACGTTACTAAGCAGCTCTCCCAAAGTCAGTTCCAATTTCAGTTTTCTGGCATCACAAACTACTGTACTTTTCTGGCGGTTACATTGTTGCAATGTAGTCAGATGCAAAATACTGTTCGCAATATCCGTTGGCGTGGCAACCTATTTTGCGTAGATAAGCATTCTAGATTCCTGGTTTGCAGACGAATAGAAAAACTTGCTGTGAGCTTAATTTTTTCTGTTTATTCGCATATAAAAGGCAGCCTCCGGGACCGTCTGTGAGCATTTGCACAGTTGAGATATTCTAACTCGCAAAATGTATCAATGGAATTTAAAACCAAAATCATATATCTAGTCATGTGATATATACGAGTTTCATCATCTTGGCTATTGCGTGGGAACATATAGCGTCATGCACGTATCAAAGCGGAAATATACAGAATTCAGACTATCTACTGTTTTAGATCGTTGACATGAAATAGGAAACGTTGTTGTGTAATACTATGAACGAATGCAGACCGTCTATAAGGTCAGTAGATTCGGACTTACAAGAATAATATTCTCCTAATTGTTATCTGCGAATTTGGCCGAGTTATCTGTCAGAAATATACAAAAATAATTAGATTACGCACAGGTTAATCGCGAAGAATTTATTGCATAAGTAAACACAAGACAAGAAATAAATTTGCGTACAAGCATTTTCACCTCATTGGGTAAGTAGTAGTATTCTATCAAGCAAGGGCAATATATGGTGTTTGTAACTTACTAATCTGACAAAGTAACAGTGACAGTACAGCACAGCTATTTTCACACTGAATGACAATATTGTTATTGTATTTTACGTCATACCAGTTATGATACATAGCATACAGTTTTAGGAATACAGTATCTTGTTTTATTACTCACCCGTTTTTGTTACCTTTCTCGATTCTGGACATGGCAGCCGAAGATACCGACAGTGTTAGAGTCATGGAACAAAGCAGAGTAATAACCGAAGATATAAAAACATTAGCAGACGAATACAATGACGAAACCGAACGATTAATTGACAAAGGAGAAGGAAATGACGTCGAGCGTAAATTTGCGAAAATCGGATCCCCTCATGTCGAGACGAAGTCTGCTTCGTGCTGCAGTGGATATTGCCTACAATTTTGTTGCCCGTGCTGTTACAGTTCACAATCTCGATATGAAGAAATATAAACTTCAATTATGTCGTCACGAGTAATTTTCATCACCAGTGCTACGGGAATAGCCAATTGAACGTCGTGACACGTGATACAGCATTATGATTATTCATCTTCTATACGAAACTGAACTTCATTATGGATACATTTCAATGCGTTATGATAATAAATTGTTTCTCTAGTATCAGCTATCTGCTACTCACAAAATATTATTATTATTATATAGGATTATTATGAAAAATCATGCAAAGGAGTCATATTATCTTTAAAAGTGTTTATACTATATATGTCAAGATTGACAATATATTCGCCGCGCTTGTTTTTCAGAATCTTTCGTTAAAATGTAGTTCAATATCGCAAAAATCGTGCATTGGTCAAAACCAATTATCTACCTACCGCATTGTCAAATGATTGTGACGAAATTTTATCTGAAAAACTCAGTCGTGTGTCAGCAAATCGATTGATTTTGGAATGAAATCACAGCACGGGCATGTGACATTATTTTTGATGAAGATACCACGTATATTGCATCTGACTGAAACGCTGAGCAATGTCTGGTCTTGTGATCGAATGAGCAATTGATTTCTTTGAACGTAATGATGCGCTAGATATTTTTGTCAAACAGGCAATACATTGTGAATACTATATGAGCTATGAGTGCAATGCATTTACGTTGTGTCGAAGCATTTATGCATTATGTTATCGGATATATATATATTTTTTTTGAGAATGATAGATGGGAATATCAAACTGGTTGAGGTAGCAAATGCACTTTATACAGCGAATTTTTAGTAAACCGCAAGTAACAGTTGATGTGATATTTGATACTGCTATCAGAAAGCTATATATGTAACTAGAGCCTCATAAATTTCGAATTTATATGATTGTTGCTTGTCAGCAAATTGGGAGCTGCTTGCAAATGGTGCCAAGGAAAGTGTCAGTAACGCATACATGAATACAAATTTGGGCAATACGTGACAGTATAGAATATATTCTGAGAGATCAAAGTTGCGACAACATTTGTACCGTGTAGTCGCAAGAACAAATATGAATTTTGTTATTCGCATGTAAAATCGTTATTAATATCAACCGAAAACGAGATATATATAATTTTCGCAATGATTACAGTTCAAAATTGTGAACAAAAACAATGTTCAAGAGTCATATATTAATTTCAGAAATAGGCATTTGGAAAAGAGGATCATCTAATATTGTTCTCAGACACAGCATTACACCACAGAGACGATTGATTATTAAATTGTCCCGAACAATAATAGACAAATGCGATGGCTATGTTAAAAATAATTGGTTGGTCAGTAACTTAGCAATCTTAACTTGGTAAGGCCACACTATGAAGTATGAAGTTCAAATCACCACACCATTCTCAATTGATCTGTATTGAGTGTGAGTTTCAACTTGGAACAATATTATCAGGTTGAGAAATGTCACTGTGTATTTTACCCTAATGCCAGACATTATACTTCAATACAATAACACCTTTCCGGTTTGAAAGTCACGTAAGGAAGATTCTCAAATAAAAGTTGAAAGGTCACTGATAAAGAGCAGATCACCACTGGCGTGCAAAGAAACTATATGAAAGCATACATTCTTTAAAAATGTAATTGTATATACTTAGATTCATTTAAACCAAATGGTTCACCCGTATAAATATCGAAAACTTACAGTCAAGGAACTTTGCCACAATTCTCTTAAAAGTATTTTAATAATGCTTAAATATCGATATACCATTTATTAACAGTTATAGAATCTACAGTTAGTAATCAGAACGGTTCCGGAGTCGAACTGATGATTGTACAGCTACAATTGGTAAAAATTTGAACAAAGCAAAACATTGATGAGATGTCAGCTGAAAAAGAAACTCCTATAGCATATAAATACGAAAGAATTTCAGAATCGGAGGTATTTATAATAATATGCTAAGATAATGTCACACAGTTAAAGAGCAAAGAAATTCATTCCGCATAAATACTCGTAAACAACAGTACATATGAGTATTTCAGGCACACACTTACCTCGAATACTTATTATAGAAAGAACATTTCTCGAATGTATACTTGAGTTATCACAAATCCCTTTTTCACTATTTGTAGCCAAAGGAACCATGGAAGAATCCCTTCGTACAGAGCACGAACACACAAACTGGATCAAGTCGGAGCTTTACAAATGGGAAAACATCAAAGACATTATGGTTTATGTGTTGCCCATGCATCGAAACCCCGAAATACGACGAGGTCTGATGTATTCGCCATATCCAACACTGAAAATGAATCCATAATAGAAATTTCTATTGCAAAATTTAGGTGCAAAGACATACATTTTTGTTTTAGGTCATGACCTGACAAAAATTTGTGTTATATTATGATTTTAAATGGCAGTTACAGTAGCAATAAAATCGAACGTTTATCCTGCCGATTTAGTCCTAATGCCTAATGTTCTGGGGAGATAGACGTCACTTATGTTTGTTACTTGGACAAAGGTTGCTATTTAATATTTGTTGTGAAATGTATTATAATGAAAAAATGGACTGTTTAAACGTACATATTTTTATATGAATCAGCTTGTAATAAAATTTCTTGTAATGTATGCCAGTGGGGGCCAACACGACGATCGCGATCGGCCGGTCGATCGCCACGTCTCAAATAGTCGCTCGCGTCTGATGTTGAGGGAATGTTAATAACATATCCCAAAAATTGACTTGAACCAGTTTCATGTAGCGTCTGTTGTGTGTTTTAAATAGAGGAAGAATACAGTACTGTACATGCGCAAATTACGATATACACATACAGTCCTAACGGATTCAAGAGTCTTGCTGCAGACTAACACAAATGTATTTCTGTAACTGAGTTGAACTATGTATGTCTGAGGGAGTCAACCTTAGTCAGACGAAACGTTACAGAAATCTATTTGTGTTAGTGTTCAGCAAGACTCTTGAATCACTTGGGATAGTTATCTTCACTCTTGCTACAGCATCCTTGCATTTTATACATACAGATCCACCAGCGCAAAAGCATAGAAGAAGAGAAGTAGTTAGTCTCGTAAAAACTAGAGATGTACCGAGACCACTTTTGTCGCCGATACCGATACCAACTAAAAACACCGATACCGATATTATGTAAATGTTACCTCAAGTGTGCAGACGGATTAAAACACTAGTCTATGAGCATTATTCTTATTCTTGCACATTATTTCAGTTTGAAAAGGGATATGATCGTAATTATATACTACTAAAGAAATTGATGTTTGGGATATGTTGCGTTGATTGATTTAGATGCATTGTGTACTGAAGCTAGTAATCTGGGTATTCAATTAGAAAACTCTATGACACTCGCGCTTGACGATAATCAGACAGAATTTGTAATCGTGCCAAAAAGTGCGCATGCTGTTAATAAAGACTTCTACTCTATTATTTAAAACTGGGAGCCTAGTTGCTCATATTTCCGTGCTTTCAGTTAACACCACAATTTATAGATATAAATAATGTAATGCTCAAGTCTCTTATTTTTAGAGACAAGAAAATCACAATTTCATTTATATCACACATGCCTTATGACTGCTTTACAATAATAACATTATCAAAGCCTAATTTCTATGTTCCTGGATTTTAGAAAAGTGAATAGTATTTATGTGGGGGATTTCACAATGTATTCGGAATTTCAGTATCGAAAATATTTTTTAGAATGTATTCGAAATAGTCGATGGGCAAGGTTTTGTCCCAAAATCCATATTAAAAACGTCAATACAAAAATTTGGCAGTAAAAATAGCCAAATTAGTTGAGCGTTTTGCTGATAAATAACTAAGAACAGGTCAGAATCCCATTCCCGTTTCTACTCCAGAGGGCGTGGACGTGCATGGCTTATAGACATAGTCCACGATTCCTCCAAGCAAAAAATAATTTAAACATCAGAATTCCAACTTATTTTTTTAAACATTTTGGATCATATCAAAAAGGTGAACATATTGCAAAATATCGGTCTTCATTTGGCCGATAACGATACCAAAAAATTGGCCGATAACGATATACCCGATACATCGGTACATCTTTAGTAGAAACCCAATCAATTACACATACAGTATTTGAGTCTGGGCAAGCCCGATAGCGCATATTATTACGTAACAAATGAAAGTTTCACCGCTGCCAAGGTTTAGAAATGACCTTGCCGAATATCGTGTGGTTGAGTGACAAACGATCCTACAACAACTTCTGCAGCATGCAAAAGTTGTTGTCTCGCTAGTGTGATAAGTTTTGTTCGCAACGGTTATAGTTGCATCAGAATGCCCATTTTTTTTTCTAATTCCTAGCAAGCGAAGAATCGGACTTGGAGGAAATTGTAAACTAGATACTGAAGTTTGAGCAGTCATGTAACATTTAGGGTTTGAGAATATTTATTTTTCGCTGTTTGGATAATATGAATACTTGGCAAGGTTTATTGAGGAATTTTCAACTTTCGCATAAATCTTAAATAAATGATGAAACATTTACTCCGGGTACAATCACATAATCAAATTAAATGGAACATAAAAAATACACATTTTGTTGGCGATATCTTTACAAATGCGTCCACAGAGCCGAGCTTATTGGCAGCGGTGGAATTTTTTATATGCGTATATATGTGCAGTTAGTTATCTGCATATTCATTACTCATTCGTTTTCGTGTATGACCTTATCACCGATCAGTCGATCGCGAGCTGTTTTAAAGATTTTAGTCGATTGCGGTCGAAGAAGGTTGGCCACTTCTGATGTATGCGAACAAATCACAAAGCGACGTGCTGTTTTTCAATAAAGAAACCACCCATGAATACAATTTTGAACTCATCATGCTTGCTGTTTTGATACAAGCGCGTGGCATTGTATTGTCCGTATATGTTATTCTGAAAGTAGTCCAAAAAGACTAATGTGGTATGAATAGTTTTCATACACTTTATATGTAATGCTGTGACGTGTTCATTTCAATCTTTTCAACTTTTGGTAAAGATTAATTTATGAAAGGTTTTATTGTAAAAACAAATGAATTTTATAACCTCGTTATTTAACAAAGCATAAAAGTTAAACCGGATGACAACATGAAAAAACTTTCTTCTCTTAAATTTCCAACAAAAACGTGATTTACTGTTCTACTGATCAAATAACATACATTTGTACACTGTTGTTACAGATGAAATTCGATTCACGGTTGCATGATATGATTTTTATTTCAAAAAATAAACTCAAATTTTATTTCAAATCAAGCTCGAAACTAAAATCATTGTCAATTATTATACTTTGCTGTTGAGTCATTGTGTATCAAGAACGTTGGTACTTCTCTTTATTACAAAAATCTTATCCAAAGAAAATCCCCTAAGAGTAGTGAAAATGAAAACAATAACGAATGCGGTGAGTAATCGTGCAAAGTCTTTACAGCGCCAATACAGCAGTACAGAAATAAACAGTTTGCGTATTGCAGATACTCGAAGTTGAATTGACGGAAACTTGCTCCGATGATGCATGCATGTCAGAGGGCAAAAAGGCACAGTTTACTGTTGTGGTCTTACAAGTCAACAGCGAGCGGAGACGTGAGTCTTATGAAGTTTAATATTTTTGGAAGACCTGTGATTGCCATTTGCTACAAACTTGAAAAATTGCATAAATTTGTTAACGATATTAGTATATTTGCAAATCTGAGCAATCATCGCAATATTATGTAGCATAATAATTTCCTAATAATCAGTAGTTTTTATCACACTTGTTTGCAGTATATATACTTATCTTATAGAATAGCACAACTAACACAAAACAAAAGTTATCCACTATCCACTAAACAACAGAACTTTAAATAGGTAATTAAGCTTGTTTTCATATTTTCATATACGTTTGCTCGAAGCAAAGGGCTTAGTCGTCAGTAAAAGTGGAAAAGTACTGACAAAAACCTAGATGCACCCACCAACGTGCTTAAAACCATTGAACTATCCTTGCTAAAGAGATGTCAGTAGATAGCAATTGAGCAAGTTACAGATCGGAAATTACTGGCAAAAATGAAGCTTTCGAACAAAATTTATCAACCTGAAGGTGGTCTTGTAGCTTTAAACAAATTATATTCATACCTATCTATTGAATTTGGACATACCCGATTAAAAAGTCATGTGAGCGCAATTCTATGAAAGGACTGTACAACTGGTATTTAGCATTTTTTGAAATAAGCCCCCTCGCCTTAAAGGCAACAAAAACATCTAAAATCTGCATTTCTGTGGTTGTTATTACACTCACATGAGAGAGAAACCGCGTAACAGCGATAAGGAACTGCATTCATTTTTGAAGCATTTGTAGTATTGCTTTGGTTAATTTACTATATATATATAAACAACAACAACTCCTCAATGACAGAAACTGAGAAGATAAATTCAAATGAATCAACCAAAACTGAAAAGTCTATTCCTAGACTGAAGTTCAGGAAACGCCATAAAAAGGGCTCTGATATTACAGTAAAACCATATAAAGGGGACACCATCGAGGACCTATTAAAATCGGTTGAAGAGACGGAAAACATCATGAAGTGCAATGTGGAAACTATGATAAACGAACGAGAAAAACGACTGGACCAAATGCTCGAAGCATCGGAAAACTTGGAGGAGGCAGCAGAAAAGTTTCAAGTTCAAGCTAATAAAGTCAAGAAAAAATACATGTGTAAATATTATTGTCCATGTTGCTATTGTTGTGTTGGATGTTGCTTGAATACGAAAAAGCCAAAATGATCATTTTCACGTTTTGATACTTGCAAGCATTCCTTATATCTCAACACGGATTTAATAATTGATGAAAGCTATGCAATACATCCCAACATAACTATTTTACCATACTAATATTAATCTTTCGTCTGAATGAATTACTTGAAAAATACGAAGTTCTCTGCTTGTTTTAATTTAAAAATAAAAGTCTGTTTATGAACATGTGGTCTGTTTCAAAACAACTTATTTGTTTCTTTTGTTTTTTATTGAGTAACAAACAACAGCAGCATCAAAAATCTTGATAGACGGTGTTCCCACGTGTCTGAAACCAAAATCGAAACAAAGAGTAGGCTCCATGCGGTACCATTTGATTTTCGTTGGGAGTTGGAGCAATCGAATTTGTGGTGTCATGGAGGCAGACGTATACATGCGGCCGATAGTTTAGCATACATCTTCCTATCTCAATTTACTGTCAGCGTTTAAATAAGAAGATTTTATAATGTATACAATATATATATCAGTGTCAAATAACTGGTCTATTCTGTGGGCTTTTCGTTACACGGAGTCTGTGGTAGACCAAAAAGATATTGGAATGTAACACACATTAGCCTATATATACTCGTCATCTTCTCAGCGATTTGTCTGAGTATTCCACAGTAGCAGAGTAGGAATATTTGGGCCATGTCGCCTTTGTCGGCACGTGGGTCGTCGTTATCTTGTCGTAGCTTACTTAATTACAAATACTTATATTGTTTTGAACTTTATATTCCTCAAAATCCCAAAGTAAAAGAGTACAGAAAACTCCAGAACAGAAAGGTACATTTAAAAATTTAGAATATCCTTCAACGACAGAAGAGATCACGATATACATGGGTTAAATATCGAACAGTGCGTGCCTACGGAAGCTGGAAACAGCGTTGATAATATGGTGATTTTATCCTAAGGTAAGCTTGAAGTAGTAATTGACCTACATGTCCAAATATCTTGCCATTGCTCGTTCGTTTTACAGCAAACTGGTTTTACTCACCGCCGCCAGATGTATCACAGTAATTTTGAGCCGTCAAGGACTTTGTTAAACTGATTTTTTGACGTATAAAAGCTGATATCTATGTTTCTGGAGGTCGTGATATTTTTCCTTCTCTATGGGGAACTTTATTTGTTAATAACCTAGTTCATTCAGCAAAAACGGAAAAGTTTAATCCTATTTGTCAGCGCTGTGGTCCCTCTTATGAGGTTGTGGACTCATTTAATTAGTATATGTCAAACTGTTACGTAGAAATGGTCTTTACAACAAATATCAAAGCTTTACAAGGAAACCATCCTGGCAAAAATTTCTCATAAGACGAACAACGTCAAATGTTTTATTGAACTAGATTAGCGTTTCCCAAACTGTGTTCCGCGGAACACTAGTGTTCCGAGAGCGTCTCAATCAATCAATCAAATCGTTTTTTATTAGCCATCCCGGCAAAGCATAATAAAAATGAAGTAATATCACTAAAATATTTGCACCGAATGGCAGAATAACCGTGAAATGACCATGTGGTCTACTCGTCAGTGGCAACCTTGAAATAGCTTAAAACTTAAACACAAAATTTGCACAGCGCGAAAAGTTTTTATGCTAGAACAGGATCGCCCCAAGATAGCGCTGCAAGGCAATAATACACCTTGTTATTTATAGAATTGGGGAATTCCCCCTATATTATTCCGAAGCAGTGCTGTTCCGGCACTTTTAGGTTAACGTTTCTGGGAAAAGTTAAACAATACATATCGGGTTTAGTAATAGTTCGATACCAAAGAAAACCAGTACTGAAACTGGTAGTCAACGAGAATTGTATTATAACATGAAAAAATAGTACAGATCAACAATCATGTCTGGGAGACAGTGAACACTGAAATAAAACTATGATATTGGAAAATGCACTACACATTTATGAAGAATATAAGGATAGTAAATGGTTGCGTAACTGAATTTTAAAATTTGGATATGTTGAGTCTTTAATACTAGAAGGTAAGTCATTCCAAATTTTTACCCCGGTATATCTCAGAGTACTTTGTGTGCGCTTTGATTTACATATTGGAACAAAAAAAGACGCTTGGGCTGATGATCGAGTGTGATGGCTATGTACATACGACTGTGCCGTGAAATAATTATCAAAAGCTCTTAGTTATAAATTTGATGAGTATTGATGCATTACTTTTGCAACTTCAAAAATACACAAGTCTTTGAATTTGAGAATTTTTTGTTTAGCGAACAAAAGGGTTCAACTAGAACGAGGTGGAGAATTAGATAATATTCTTACAGCTTTATTTTGTAGAACTTCTATTCTTTTTGACAAATTTATTATTTATTAGTAACTGAGTATCTCCATGCTATCAAACCATACTGAATATGAGACTGAAAGAGAGCAAAATATATCATACGCAGAACTCGAGAGTGGAGGAGTTTACGAACATTACTCAAAACTCCTACAGCATGTGATAATTTCCTTAACAATTCTGAAATATATATGTTTATTCCAGTTTAGGTTCTCATCAATATATCGCGTCTTTCGAGTGTTCCGTGAAAAGGGGATCAAAATTACGACTAAATTGGTCGCCATGGCGATCTCGGGATCGTGAAGTAATGACCAACTGGTGACCGTTCAATATCGCGTCACCGTCGACCTAAAGCGGACTCACTTTTTGAGGGTAGTGGCTTTTTCGTTAACCGTCAGCATAGAAAGGTAAAATGAATTTATCGATTCATATACACAGCATTTAAAATAAGAAACAACATCATAAATGGAATATGTAAAATATTCAATCATAATTTAGTTATGTTAGTTTTCGCGGCGCAGTTGGCAACTCGTCTCCCCTTCGAGAATCGCTGCACTACACCAGTTTTCTTTATCAATTTTGCTCTTTTATTTTTTGGTGTTCCGCGAGGCGAGATAAAAATCGTAAGTGTTCCGTGGCCAAAAAAGTTTGGGAAAACGCTGAACTAGATATTTAGAACTGTAGGGTTCGTTGTTATTATTGTTTCCTAGACTCCGCGTGCCAAGATTGCGCTTTCTTTTGTGTCCGCCTCAAAGTCTCCAAAAACGTACAAAATCCTTGTTGTATTATAATCATCAACGATAAAACAGTAGAAGATAGATAAAACGGTATAATAACTTAACTTGGTTGGTTGAGTTGCGTGATGTCCGAGAGTCTGCAGTCGAGTGTCCTAATTTTGTAAAGAAACAAGAGCCAAAAACGTGGCCAGCGCATCACGGGGTCACATAACCTGGGCTTAGGTGTCGCTATGAATAAAAGTATTCGTTCCGATGCGCCAGATTTGGAGTTACTCGTCGCCTAATTTATAAACCTGCCTTTGATTCGCTTTCATAGATGGGCTATACACCACAATGGCGAGTAGTTTTATTTGACTATCTTGCACGCATAGCTCCTGAACCCATCAAAATCCGTCTGGGAACCCGCGGTCCATGAAACTGCGGTTAGGAACTGAAATAGGCACAGAAAAAGTTCCACAATTTTGGCCTTCCTGCATAGGTATATATGCCGTCTACAATAGTTAGCATATTATATATATATAATTTGACTTACTTTTTAGAGTCCCGAGATTGCGACCGTCATTCATTACATTGAACTTGTACCTGGATCAGATTAATACATTTTGAGGATTTACTAATTACAGGGTATCCTTTTTCAAGCTATGCATCAAAAGTCACAAAAGTAAACAAAGGACGAACCAAACTAATTTTAGGCTAATAGACCAATTGCCATTCAGCAGGCGTTAATTATATCTATTAATTACGCCATAGGCAATTTGGAGGCTATTCGCCATCTTGAACGCGAGGTTGGTGTGTTGATTGAAAGCTGTGTCATATGTACGTTTTCCTGGCGCCTTCATTTGATCACAGTGTATAGCACTACAACGTATGTCAGTGTGATCCTTGCCTGTTTATTGAGGATATTTGCTCCAAACAAGGTCACGAGTAGTCAATAAAATTTAAGGAGAAAGATCCAAAAGTGAAATTGCGGGCGTACACTAAAGTGTCAAAAGCGACCGAAACTATTTGGAATTATGACAGAGAATTTGAAGCAGCAGTTCATGTCAATATGACCAGAAAAATACCAACTATGAGTAATGCTATGTTCCACATAACTAAAATTGTTGGAAAACTTTGGGCACAATTAGTCTAGCACGTTGGTTGGGATTTATTCGTGTACCCATAATAAATAAGATCTGAGTCCAAGCACAGGCGAATTGCAACCACACACGAACGACCTGTTTGTTGGCGGCTGCCCCTCTTCTGGGGAATTGTCCTCAGATACACATGTTTGTGGCGATGGTTTTCAGTGGGCCCTGCCAATGGTGCAATTCAGGCTTGAATTTTCAGAATGTCTTTGAACCAAAGCGTTGTCCTTACTTTTAGCCGCAGCCGTTTTGGGTTGAAGCCATAGCCATCTGTTCTATGTGAGATCTGGCTGCCTAAATCTGTGGCCGCGAAGGCAGAGGGCAACTTCATGCCTAACAGTATATAAGGGGATTGAAAACCTTCCGGCGAATACACGTCCTCGCTCCACTACTTTAAAGACATGGAAATCCTCTGCAACCCTTCCATTACCCAGTCCGGCTCTCATGCCATCGTGGAAGCACCGCATTATATTAGCCATCTTAGGGGGAATAAGCCTACTGATTGGTGGCAGGATCAGTATGCTCCCCAGCTTTTCATTTTAGGGGGGCGTTTCGAAATTGAAGGGGTGGTAAATATTTCGTAACTCATAATGATTTGTATTTGAAAAACGATCTACAAGAGGGGTTCTGAAAGTTTATTGATCGCGGACCAAAAGCAGATGAATATTCGCGAGCCAGAAGGGGGGGGGGGGGGGGGGGGGGCACTAAAATAGGCTGCAAGCTCGATTTTAGATACTCCTAGCATCGCAGTTTGTTATGTAATAAAATTAATAACTGTAATAGTTGGGTGGTAGAATACCCGAGGAATAAAAAACAAGCACGAATTTCAACAATAAATTTGCAACTGATAGTGACTAGTGAAGTTACTTGCTTAACTAGGGTACGGGGCCGTATAAATGGCTACTTGTGGTTTGTTTTGTTACACAAAAAATATCCCAATGTATACATATATATATATATAAAACTAAACGCCAACAAAACTTAGTTTAGTCAACTTAGTGTACTGTATATATATATGTGTAAATTCTAGAAGCTGTATATTGAACTTGTTTCAAGGACCTTACGAAAGATTTTGATCATAGTGCTCATACGGGGAATGCCACGATAATTATTACAACTGAACTTGCCTCTTTAACCTTGTATAAAAGTACGGTTCTACCATCGCTATTATTCGCTACCTTCAACAATTGATAAAAATTAGCCCTGCGTCACTCTAATATTCGATTTGCGTAAGTCATTTTTGACCAATTCGATTTTCCTCGTCAAAACCCATCTATGTAATGTTGCGCACCAGCCTGTTGAAATAGTTTTATTAGATGGATAATGAAACGCTCTACTGAGAGAAGAAATCGTTTTGCCTAAGTCATGGATGTGAAATACTCAATTTTGCTACCTTTTCAATGTTAACCACAGGGAAATATATATTTCCTTTCCAGTTCAGTGATGTTAATTGAACAATGCATATTGTCATGCACTTATGCTGGTGTTGTTATACGGCTACGCAATCATGACGTTTTCATATACGATATTATAATGTCATACGCATTCGTTGGAGGTTGTCTCCTGCAGACACGGCCGACGAAGCCTGCCGTTGAGTTGTGTGCCGTTATTAGTTGTTGGTGTGTCTTGTCATCATATAGCGATTGAAATGAGTGCTTCACTTCGGAGGAACCTTAATGCGCATGCAGTTATTGCGAGAATATAAAGATTCAGGTTGGTCTGAGGTCTATTTAATATTTACAAAATTTCAGCAGTCTACGTACTACGGTACCAACTAAAAATGAGTTTAGTGAAAGACGTACAAGTACCTCGTCTATTTATCTACATTCGATATTAGGAAATACCTTATTCTAGCATAATTCCAATTAATCTGAGTTACAAGTATGGCTGTGCTCCGCAAATGAAAAGAAAATTGTAAACGGGCATTTATATAATTCAGGGCACACTAACACTTCGACATGCTGGCTAAATATTACCACGAACTTTCTATTATTTCATTCTTATAGTTGACATGCCTGAAACCCAAACTGTGTCGGATCTAGACCCAGACTTTGTTTTTTGTGAAAAGAAATTATTTAATAGAATCATTGTTGCTATGCTTTGAATCTTTTCTCTCATTATCTGTTTCAGACGTTGGCTAAAAGGAAAGGCGTGAAACGGACGCGCCCCTTTAGTAGTTGCAAAAAGAATCTTCTTGCTGGATTAAATTACAAAAGCCGAAAGAGACAGCAGGAAAAGTGCGGCTGCCGTGCAAATCCATATATTGTCAGAAGTCCAGATTACGGCAATGTTTGAGTCTGACAGAAGGTGAAAGACAGTGGGTTTTCGAAAAATTTTGGAAAATGGAATCGTGGTCTGGAAAACGTTTCTATGTCAGGGTTTTATTATCGAAGGTAAACGAGATTTAGAAACACTGATTTTATGTCACGATTTTCGCATATTATTCACATTTTTACTGTTTCGTAGGTTCCCACCAAGCAAGCGAAAATTGCTGAAAATATGTCGAGAAGTAAGTCATCTTTTGAATACCGTTTATGATTACAAAAATGAATATGCATTCTGGTGTGCGAAAAACTGTTTTCGGCTACAATTGGCATTAGCCAACGAACTGTGTAGTCGTGGCTGTAAAGTCTGGCACCATTCATAAAGTTTTTGGACCCGCATCGTCCACGAAAAGGTATGTAGCAAAGAGAGCAATTAATGCACAATGTAATATTCATTGAATAATTACTGAAACATTCATTTTTTGAAAGTACAATTGCTTTTATCCAAAAGCAAGATTCCGTGCACTACCTACATTGCCATCACAATATTGGCGTTCTATAAATACCTTGAGAATAAAAATATCCATATCCCGGAACGACTGTTTCAAACCTCCATCGTTTATATTCTGAAGAAGCAGCAAATGCTGAAAGACGGGGTATTAGCATCGCGAAGTTCAGGGACATATTCAACACAGCAAATTTTTCTACGTTTCGGCCTAGGAAGGACCAAAGTGATATTTGTTTGGAATCTTCGCATGTAAATATCGACGACGGGAAGTATAGAGCTCATGTAATATCAAAAGATGTGGCAAGAGCTGAAAAAATGCCGACAAAGAATCAGCTAATGAGAGCAGATCCGTTTGAACTATGGACTTACAGGCAGCCCTGATTCTTCCCATAAAACCCACGCCAGTTCGATGTTTCATAAAACCGAACTTCATATGCATAATTTTACTTTTTATAATTTGCAAACAAAATAGGGATTCTGCTATCCATGGGAAGAGTACGAGGGCGATCTAAGTAGTGAATTGCTTTGCTACAGTTCTCTCATTTTCATCAATGAAAGAACTAGTGATATGGGTTGAGAACTTGTGGGTACCAAAACCGTAAAGAAATCGTCGCAAATGCATATTTAGATTTGACACGGAAACATAAGATTAAAATAGCGCAGAAATTTCTGACGACTGGACACACTCGGAGGAAAGTGGATTTAATGCATTCCGTGATTGAGATAAAAGTTGTGGCCGACGTTATTACGTCACGTAATCATGCAGTGCGCAAGGTCTCGGCCATTTCCATACCAGGTCAAGCCAGTACAACATCAGGATTTTAAGAAACTGACTCTTGAAAAGAGTGCTGCCAACATACGCACGGCGCTTTTATGACGAAATTCCACACTATTCATAATAAATATATATTTTCATGAAACAAAAAAAAGTTATGTTAGTTGGTGCTGAGGAGTTAATTTACAAAGGGCTTGTTTTTCTTTCTGTTTTCCAATAAATTCTCCAGATAAAAGTTGTGGGGAAATAAATAATCGAATCGTATTTTAATGTCGCCTGAAACAGCGTTTTCCAAATGTCTGGTTGCCTGCTAGATTGTATTGTTGAGTTGCAAAATTGCGTATGTCAAAAATTCTAGCTTAGCGCTTATGAATTCAAATTTACACTACAGCATAGGAGAGTGGACACTTGTGATACCGCTTTCCGAGATCAACTATTATATTGGTTGGCTTTTATTTAAGGATGCATTGCTATTTTATTCTTTATATCCAATATTTATGGTCTCACTTTCGGTGGGTGTGCAGGGCGCGTTATTTTTGGTAATATATATTTTGAAAATAATAAATAATGTTATCAGAACAGATACGTTGTTTTGGGGATTAGACGTCGTAGATACTAGAAATTACATACGCTTTCCGAATGTTTGGGTATAGGGCTTACGGATATAGTCAAGTTGCGAAATTGGGTCTCTGTATTATTTCCGGAAAACGAGCACGCGCATTTGGTGCCGTACCATTTCTTTATCAGCTGGATCCTGGGCTCACGACTGGTGACAAAACAAACCAACACCTTCTTATGACAATTCAGCTATACGGTTCCTAACCTTTTTTCTACTTTCGCGAATTTTTAAATAGAAATTTTCCCCCATAAAGGCGACAATTCAAATTCAACACATTGAATAGCTTGAAACTGTGCAGCAAAGAAACACGCGGCCAAAGCCAGAGAAAAACCATATATGTTATGAATACGTACATATATATACCCATGGGCTTTAAATAAAGTGACGGTATTCTACCACGACACAGCTGCCTAACTCATTTTACGAAATAATCCATGATGAAATAAACCTTTTATTGTATTTGGTACATGGTCCAAATATGGTAGCACCATGCCAACACTTTCACAACAACATGATAACATAATTATGATGCAAGAAGAAAAAATTAAGTCAAAATGATTGTGTACATGATAACATTTAGGAACTGCATTTGATGAACCTAGATAAAAAGGCGAAAAAAAAATTAAGTGTGTAGACTGTAGAAAATGTACCAGCCACAGAAATCCTTATATTTCCCAGGATGGATATCAGGACAATGGTGATATAAATTGCACAGAAATATGCAAACATGCTATAAATGGCAAGCATACGAATAAAGCATAGATGAAACTATCCAGATTTGAAAAGAAGGATGGCTACCTGACCCAAATAAAAATATATGAAATGTTTAGTTTCATGTGTGACATAACTTCCAAAATTTCTACCAACAATGCAATGCCACGTGGGATTGTATTTCTTGTCGAATTCCTTCTTTATAAATGCAGCTATGTCTTTTTCAATGTTAAATTTTTCAATCGCCTGTGGAATTGAAGAATCAGAATTTTTTAGAAAGAGTTTAAATGGTTTATATCCCAATTTGACCTGATGCTGGTAATAAGGTAATAGATTGTGAAATAGAGTCAAATTTACATACAAGAAGCAGTAACAGTTTAGTGTAAAATGAACAGAACAATTAATATCTACTGCCGATATTCTAGCGAGTCAACTTCCTGTTGCAACATATACCAAAGATGATCACATATCGAGCATTTTATGAAGACTCGACTGACATGGCAAAATTAAAAGAATCACCTGAGTTGTACACTCAATGGCATCATTCTGCATTTCTTCACACATATCTGCATTTTTAATCACAGCTTTTTTGTCTCCCATTTTGACCTGAATTATAAGACATACATGAAGCAAAAGCATATAATATAAATACAACCAAAGTTGCAGAAATAAATTTAAAAGATGATTGCTATACTAATGCACCCAAAGCAAATAGTTTATCAAAGATACAAGTGCCAGTCACTGACAATAAATAGATCAGATGGTTCTTGCTTATCAGATCACAAAAGCACTCAATTATAATCTGAAATGAATTACTCTAGTTACGAGTATACCACATATATGAATCGCCTGGAAATTAAAATCAAGAATCAATTAGCACAGGGTTTATACAGATTTTGTATAGCTTCCATCCAGTCACTCTCACCCCACCAGTATATTGTGCTCTTAACATCATAATATCAACTGCTGTTTAACACCCCATTAATTCTTGATTAGTATACAGACAAATTGTACATCCTACTACAAATGAAATATTTAATACAGTAATAAGTCATGTGGTTGTGGCTGTATATACAGTAGAGCAAAATGCAGGCATCCCATGAGAATACCAAATGATTCAATTAATTTAGGATTAATTATACTGGCAATGAGACAGCTTAATCATCTGTCAGTTATAGAAACAATCAACTGGTTAACCATTTCAAGGTTCCAGTCAACAGGATAATCTGATGGAGTAAAAACAAACCATGTCACATGATCAATCTATGATTACAGATAATCACCACACAACCACAGGGTAAAATTTGGTTCAAAAATCAAATTATTAGGTAGGCAGCTGTTCTCTAACTTTTGTGTATTATGAATTTAAAATAAAATGATTGCTTGAAGTAGTGCCATTGTATGAAAGAATGGGAAAAGGAAGTCAGATTACCGATGCCAACCGAGTACGGTAGTCTAATACCGGTAGATTATTGGAGCCAACAGACAAGACAAAAACTGCCAAAAGTTGGACACATCGGGTGATGGGTCAGTCAGACCCTGATTCCTCCGACTCCATTTACCCACTTACACAGATTGTTTACAGACCTTTCGCTCCACAGGCTTACTAGGCAGCTAGATGGCATATGAAAATTTAAGTTAGACTACCGGTACCTCAGTCGCCAGGGTACCGTACCGGTACCGGTACGGTTTAAAAATAGTAATGGTCTATATAGGCCTACTGATATGATACACAAATATGAACAGTACCGTATAGATTTATTTATGTATTTAGTCACAACAGTAACGACATACCGTACCGGTATGCAGATATGGTACGGTCAGACGGTACGGTACCGGTACCCTGCAAATTAGAACAAACATAACACTGTAACATCCGAACCTATGGTATATATGTATATCGGTAAAGATCATCAGTTGCATCACTCACCAATTAAGCGTTGCTCCAATCAAATTCAAAGCAATTCAGACAATACTGATATCCCTCTCTTGCACAGTCAGATAGTCCACTATTCTGTATTCGTCAATCGAAGTAAGCACAAGCATTCTACCGCAGCAACACACGCACATGCTGCATACCATGCATGCCGATATTCTATTGGTTGAAAAATTAAATACGTACAAGTACCTCAATTTCATTGGTTGACATTCACTAATGTGAATAGCCTACAACAAGCCACCTTAATAACGACGATTGAAGCACAGACCACAGCCTTCTAATCAGACAATATATATTATATAACATTTATGTTCGAATTGTTGGACACGTAGTGGACATAACGTTCGTTTCAATATTATGTTGTTCTTGTTGTTTGACACACCTAGTGGAAATATTAAAAAACCCTTTTCTCTTTGAATACTGGACCAATTGCTTTGAAATTTTCAGTGGTTGAAGATAAAATTTTCAGGCTATTACTTTTATTCATTTTAAATATTTCTGTTAGCTCTGTGAGATTTGTTTTTGTTTGCTATGACGTCATTAAGCCTTCTGCGCATATCTGACGCCATTTTGTGTCCTACTGTACTGCTTCGCTTGGTGTGAATATTTTTGTAGACTGTGATCTGACGGAACGGTAAACCGTACTGTACTGCGAACAGACGTGTCCATATATTTGGGCGTAGCTCTCTTGTTTTTTATACCGCTTCACGTTCTGAAATCTACGATTTGAAATGTACGACGTAGTTAGGTCGGATCTCCGCTGTATGTTACCCAGTCTCAGTCGTTTTGTCTGTGTCCATCTGTGACGCCTGAACGGCTGGAATAGACAAACTATTTGAAATTTCTCAAATGGGTTATCCTGTCAATCACGTAATGTGCGTATTACCGAAAGTCTGAGTTAATGTTTCGTTCTCACTGCGGAAACGAAAAAACGCCGATTTTCGGGGAATGTCTAATTTTATCTCCATTTTCTCGTCAACTAAGTCGAAAATTAAAATTCCCAGTAGACTTTCGAACAAACCGTCTTTCACTTCGATTATTCATAAAGTGGGGAAGTAGAAATTCTTTTAAAAATTTTTTTTAATATTAGCCACAGACAAGGATGCCAGCGAGACGCGCAGCTCCCAAAACGAACTGGCAGGGTTGGGCATTTCAATCGAATAGTTAATTATTCTGAGCTGACTTAATTAATTGTTAATTATTGGGAGCTGACTTTGATGGGGGGATCTGACTTTGATGACCTTTTGGTCGTATCGCTCCTTCCAGTCTATACTGAATTAACTTGCATATTTTGTATATATTTTATTGTACCATTGTTTGTTGACGCGGAGTATTAGCGGAGATCCTGGGCGTCTGCCCGCCAACACTCGTGCTGGCCAGATCTACCCAGTAGTTATATATATATGTACCAGGGTTGGTATTTCGCGACTAAATTAAAAATTTGGGGTTGTGTTTTTCCAATTTTTCTCTAAACAATCTGGGGATTGAAAAAATCAGAAAAAGTACACGCATGAGCTGAAAATTCGAAAAAAACAAAACACACACATAGGCCTATATATATATATATAGATTTAGAATGATACACAGATTATAAGTAATCCGAAGCTCAGCCTATTTTTATTGTGAAATAGGTTCTCGAAATATAAACTACTAATTCATCCGATCATAAAAGGCATTCCTTCAATACACGGCAAAAACTAAAAGCCATACTCGACCAAAGAGCAACAAAATCAGCAATCCGTGGATCGCACTTCCCACAGTTTATGCCTAAGTTATATGTCTGTGGAAGCACAATGCACTAGATAAGAAGCAAAATCAAAATGTACCACCTAGTCGCGCCATAACACGAACAACTTCCAAATGTAGGATGTGACCGAGACCATCCACCACGGGCAAGGCCCGATGATATACATAGCCTACGTGGATCCTGCAGTATTGGCGTTGTGTCCAGTCCCGAACCAAGACACGTCCCCATTTGCCCCACATTATTCCCGAATCCCAATGGCAAAAACAGCGAAATCAAAAAATAGTTTTCACCAAAACCGCCATACTCCAGAGTGCCCCATCCTCACACCCACCTTAATTAAAGCTTTTCAATTGAATTCGTTTACAGCAGGGGTTTCCAAACCGCGGCCCGCGGGCCAAATCCGGCCCGCATAACAATTTAAAATGGCCCACCGAGCTTAAGTGAAATAGTGTTCAACAGACTTTGTTTCTACTTTTTTGTGATCTATGGACACTGCCAATTGTTATGTCACACCCGTCTCTCAATTATGCGTATTAGGTATTAGAATAACATAGGGCAGTAATTCAGATAATAACCATATAAGAAAGCTTGAGATGTCAAATAACAAACATAAACTACACTCTGGAAACAGATTTTATTTAAATCTTAAATAAAGAAATGGCGGCGTTCGTATTTCTGTATTGGAAAAAATCAAAATTCAGCGATTTGTCTTCTTTGTCAGCAAACCATCCCAATTCTGAAGAAATATGTCATGAAGCATTGTTATGAGTTAACAAACATGTTTTAAAAAAATGTCATGACTTGACTAAATCATCGCGCACTACGCTCTTCCGGCCCGCGAACACCCTTCCGATTCTAATTTTGGCCCGCGGCCAATAAAGTTTGGGAACCCCTGGTTTACAGCCTTGCTTATACTTCTAACCTAACTTTATAAATCGAGTGCGCTATTCTTTTACTTGATAATCACATTTGTTCTACGTATTTTGTAATGTAATGAATTTCACTCCATTATTTTACGGATGACTATCCGGATATCAGAAAGCAAAATACCTCTCGGTTAACCGGATAATCCAACCCTTAATTTACACCCGTACACCTTCGCCCCCACGTACAAATTGCACTTGTAGACATTGGCACCCACGGATGTTTTCACCCATGACATTTGTTGGTTGGTTAAAAACTATAGCTACTCAGAATGTATCCACTGTTAAATTATTATTGACGTATTTTATAAAAATAAACTTCATATAAATGAGTGCAATTGTCAAACTCTAAAAGATTGTTTTTAATTCTAGACTTGCGATGCCAATACCGTCGAGAATTGTGTGTCGTTTATTTTTTAGATCACAACTTGGGCGCTTTTGTTGGGACTTTTTGCCTGTCTTCACACATACACTGATATTTCTGTGTTGATTGTTTTTGTCAGGGATTTATCAACCTAAATTTCTTTCACAAGGACATAGGGAAAGAGACTTTATGTTCGGCTAAAATTAATTCATTTTATAATATGTATTCAAATGACTTTGGTAGATTCGTTGGGTATCTGAATTCCGTCAAATTCAGAATACGAACTATTTATAATTTTGTAATAATTTTATATATTTATCACCCCCTAAGCAAACTAAGATATTCGAACAATAAATTCTGCCCGGTGTAATCGGGGAGGCGACATGGAACGTGATCCTATTGCTCATCACTATGAGTTGACCGTCCAGCCTCTTTGTAAATGATGCACACATGAAACAGAATTGGAAATATGTATTCGAACACACAAGTTGACAGTGCTAAATCGTTATATAATAACGGATAGTACCATCAGTCTCGTCGCTATGAACAAATTATGAGTGCCCAGCAAACAATATAACTCGATTGTCAACTCGAAATCAATAATAAAGATTGCATTGGGAAGACCTAGAATTTTCATTTCAAAGCAAATAAATATACGACATAATAGGCACTTAAAACCAACCAAATTCAAATATTTTCGTAGATTCAGTAGGCCTATTTTTTGAGCATGCATAATATATTCATTGTTATTTGTTACACAATAACAATTATATAGAATTTCTAAGTTGAATGTATAATTCCAATAATGGTCAGGTGATTTTATGCAATAAAGCAGAGTTAGTATCGACCGATGAGTGAAATGTAAACCTGGCCCCTCATCCCGATAAGGATGCCCACAGTCACCACTTGCACGCGATGGCAGCATTATAATGCTCGTTACATGTTGAACGTTCCAGCTTAGTGAATGACAAAAATTTACTGATAAACATGAGGTCGTGTTCAGCAAATTGTCAAAAACAATCTATTCTTATTTGACTCTTCTAGTACCATTGGTCAATTTAGGAATACTCCCAATTCTCGTTCAAAAATCAAATAAGACGTGAATATATAGATAAAGCAAAGAGAATAGAAAAGATTGGCAATTTTTATATATGCAAATTAACATAGTAATAGTTGTACACAGAAAATAAAACTCTTGATCACGTAATGACGAAAACCGGGCAAAAACAATAAATAATAAAATTATATTGCAATGAATTTTACAGATATAAATAATGACGAAAGCTAGGAAACAATGCTTAATGAAGAGTGGTGATATCCTTTTGAAAGTTATAAGGCAAATCTGATATACCAGTACGGCTTATGGGCATGTCTATCGTACATTATTAAATCTCTTCTCAAAGATACTTTTTTCAATGACGCCTAATGCGCATAAAAGCAACTCGGAACTTAGAGAGTCAGTAGAAAGTATACGTGTACAGAGAAATATCCAGACTGCCATCAATTTATAATTTCCAGAAAAAGATTGTGAACTTTTTACGGATTAAAAAACGAAGTAAAATATTGTTAATCCTATATTAAATTTTAGAAACTGGCAGTGAATTTCTAAGTCTTCCATTGCACTCACGCATTCACTAATTTTATAAAACAGAAGTGGTTTTATGAACACAATATTAATCGGAAAATAATGAAAACAAATAAAAATTATTTTAATATCCGATCAAAGACAGTGACAGATACAAGGCACAAAAACAGTTGCAATATAAGCAGCAGTTACATATATTAGAGAATCAATTTATCAGATGCTGGAGAGAAGACTGGTAGTTCTTGAGGTGTGTCTCCGAGATATATACCGCTCTCGGTGCTCGCGCCAGTCAATTGAACACGATCTGCATTACGGTCCCAGTTTGTTCCAGGAATGAATCCTTTTCCTTTCCGCCTGAAATATATTGATATGAATGTGAGATTTTTGGCAACGTGTGACCACTGTTGAATATTTGAGAAAATTTTACAGACTAGGCGTTATTTGATTTCGGAATTGAGTCCTAGTCGGATTCGATTCTCCACGTGATTCAGGACGTAATAATAAAAAAAAAGGACCCCATATGCAGGATACCCATTATTCGTCTATTTGGATGTCTTTCATAGGCGATATTTTCCTAATACCGACATATCATACTATTAAATTTAAAAAAAAGCATAAGTTTCCACCAATTATGTTGGAATCTCTCAATTCATTAAAACAAAATGTTTTGTTCGTTTAACTGCATCAATTTCTTCTGCTTTCAACATAACTGAAAAAGTATTATTTTTACCTTTTTATGACAACAACAATTGCCGCTACCACGGCACAAAGTACGATTAACGCGATGACCAGGCCTACAATAAGTCCAGTTTTACTCTTTGCCCCTGTACCCGGTGCGTGTGAAGGTTCTAAAAGAGAAAAATGTAGTTTTAGGTAGTTCAAAGAATTCAAGTAAAAATAAACCCTTTAGCATCTATGCATTATACAAATGAAATCAATTGAACTTGGTGTAAAAAAGAGAATTAATGAATTTAGGTTCACAGATATTAAAAATTTGGCATCAAGCTTGACCGAATGCTTATGGATCTGTAATCCGATAGCACTATCATAAGCTTATCTATATACATACTAGACCTGGTATTTGGATGAACGGAAATAATTATTTCTTACCCTTTATTGATTTTGTTGTGCTTTCACCTTTGTTCATGGCTGTAGTTTTCAGATCATCTATTCGTGGAACAGGACTGATTGAAGCTGTCATCGTCGTAGACGACCTCGAAGAAGGTTTTCTTGTAGTTGCTTTCTTTAGCACTGTAGTTGCTTTGACAGTACTAAAAGTTGTGGACAACGCTGATGTGGTCGGTGTAGGAGTCGTGTACGCTGCTCTAACCTCTTCGTCACACGATTCAGGCCCAATGACAGCCCATCTTGAATCTTCTTGACATTCATACTGAAAAATAATATAATTGTACGAATTCTGTTCAATCATGTGTTTTAAAAAATTGTCCAAATTGTCTCTTTAATATATTCTCTTTTTAAACACAAAAAGCTGAAAAACTCCAACCAAAGGATTACAACGAAGATGCTTGAATCGTTTTGTAAAATAAGATATAGCTAATTAATAAGAGGCTATACTCACTTGAAAAGCGATTCCTGAAATTTCGGGACATGTTACATTTATTAACGATCCTACTTTATTTCCACACGATGGTTTTCCCAACACTGCTTCGCTTGGTGTTGATGATTTCAATAAAATACTGTAACAGTTTCGTACTAAAAAGATATTAATGAAGCGTTTAAGCCAAGTGGGATGTTATTGAATGCATATTAATCGTGTGTTTTTATCAAGTTCGCAGTGAAAAGTTAGCTAATTTAGTTTTGTTCATTTGGCGTTACGAAAATTATGTTGCATCCACTCAGGCCGAAGTGAAAAAACAAAAACATTTAGAGACCGCCTAAATGTGAAAGATGCAGAAACTATTTAATGAAACGCGTTTAGCGTTGTTTGAATGAAAACTTGAAGTATCTGGGTACAGCGCATTAGTTGGCAGTTGCAATTCTGCAAATTTTCTGGCAGAACATATTTATGCAATGCCAGCCATGGTTATTCGTAACGAGGTAAATTTCAGTATTGCTATCATCCACAAATTGCCGGTTACGACAAGACTTTGTTTATAAAAACAAAATTACATTCAGTGAGGGCGCTTACCAACCACATTTACTCTGAAAGTGCAAGTCGCTCTATTTCCACTTCCATCCATTGCATTGTATGAAAATGTATAAAAACCTTCTTTCAACTTGACAGGGGGTTCCATATTGTACTGGAAATATGTAGAAAAATGATCATTGCGGTCAAAATAATATGGTGACCGTACATTTGAACCCACGTACATTTGAACCCATGTGTATATCCACGGGTTCAATCTATATGCGGGTGCTAAAACCCATTGGTTAGGGTTAGTATGGGTTCAACTATCCGTAAAACAAAAAAAAATTCATAGGCACAATAGCATACAGGTGCAATTGCCATGGGTTCAAATGTACGTGGGTTCAAATGTAATGGAACCAAATAATATATATACTGTTTTCGAAAGAAAAAATTTGAAAAATATACTTACAAAACTTCTTAATGTGACCGGTTGTCCTAAATTATCGGTGGGGTTTGGAACAGTAAAATTAAGTTCAGCCTCATCGCTGCATTCATCTGTCTGTATTTTGATATCATCAGGACAGGTGTCTCCAAAATCAGGCGCCTCGTTGTCATCTGAAATTACAGAAATAAGTCAAACAATCACAAACACATACGCACCAACTATGATGTGTATTGAACATCAGAGTAACATCTTGCAACTGAAACGTTACAATTCTTATGGGTCCTGTTTCCCATCGATTTCCGAAACTAGAGAAAAATAGTCCAATGAATGATAGTATCTATTTTTTGTATAAAAATACTAATTAACGCACCGAAATCGGTTGAGTAATGTCTTGGATAACATAAGTTTGCTAATACGGAGTTGAAAACTTAACTTACTTGTTGAAGCCACTTGGACACATGAGTTGTTGGCAGAAATATATTCATAATGATTCTGACACACGCATTTATATGTGACGTCACTGGAAGTATGAACCGGAAGGCAGAGATGAGGACAGTTGGATTCTGCACAAGGACTTTTACCTAAAATATTTCAGATTACTATTTAACAGAAAAGTTGTTAACGTAAAACAACCATCAACGACTAAACGAGATTATGACAACTGAATCATAGCAAAACGGTTTGCCATTTACTGCCCCACTGACATTCTAGTGCGCCTACTGCACGAAGATAACATGGTATTTTCAGTAGATGTTGGCATTTCAATAGTCACCCGCCAATGTATGACCTTGCTTTGATCAAATTTGCATAAAAATGTTCGGATTTAAAAAAAAATTACATAAATTTGTAAGAATGATATTTCTTTTTTTCCAAATTTAGTTGTCAAATGTTATAAGTTATATAATAGGTAGCTTTGTGCGCCCGGAAATGGGTCAGATGAACGAATACAGTCTCATATATTAACTAATCCAACAAATATCCATCTGAACAAAACTAAAATGCGAAAAACATATATCATGATGAAAATGTTCCATTACACAATTATTCCAAGTCACCGCGTATAATTGGAAATTTAGATCAATACTTTTTCTGCGCGCACGGCGTACAATGCATTACAATAACGTGACGACAGAATTTTCATTCACAAAGCGGCCAGTCCTTCGTATTAGGATGCGTGTGTGCCAGCCAAAGTGACTTTCGTTCCGTTTTCAGGACAATCAGTCAACTGTGTGGTACACAACACGCAATAAAACAACGTTTTTACCTATCACAAGTTGCTCTCTTTTCTAAGCTAATAACTGAAACATAACGTTACCAAATTAGAAATAGTATCGTATCACAAACGAAAAAACGGAGCAGCTGTTATGTTATCTGGCACAGCAAAACTAGCTGTTTTAACGTGATTTTAACCCAAAACGACCCGGAGCGTCAGTCCTTACTTGTAATTTACGAAACCACAAATATTAATTGCTTTATACCCCATAGGTTTTGAAACTGCTATGACCAACTAGCTGAGGCAATGCGATGATAACAACCGGACTACTACAAGCCGGTAACAACGAATTGAAGATAAACTTACCGTTGTGAAACGTACTGCTGTCATACACATATAAGGCGGAAAGTTGATAAAACATTTGGGGCCCGAACTGACGAACTTCATCTGTTGTTCCTGTATTGTTCTTCGACCTCATCACATCATGAACACTCACACGAACGAGATTTTTGCTTCCCATATCGGATACATAGAGATAATTTTGGTAATATGCTATCCCGGTAGGGAAGGGACGTTTCTGTAGAAATGAAAAATTTGTATTTTACCAATTTAAAGATTAAAAACTTGCATAATAATGGAACGAGATAGTGAAAAGAAGACATATGTTCAACAAAACATGTGGAAAGCTAACTATAGTCCACATAAGTTTAGTTTGTTCCACCGCGTGCTAACAAGATTAGCGTAGCGTCAAATATAAGGAATTAAAGAAACGTGACGTAAGTTTCTAAATGTAAATTTTGCAAATGACGTTGCGTCCAATTAAGAATTTGTATTTAAATTAGATAATTTCCTGAAATACCCTGAATAAGGCAGATTAAGATTATGTCAAGTTGCATCAGAAAGTTTCATATTAGTATGGTAAAGACAAAATTCGATTTATAGTGTCTAAAACATTGGACATAAAACAATCATTTGCTTTTCCAAGTCGAATTATCTTGCTATGTTAGGTATATATTAAAATTACACGGAAACGTGATATGAGAAACCTACAATACCGGGCCAGTCAGTGGTTATATCATATACCTCTACGCTCTACAGTACCTTTGTTGACGGCATTTTGTATTTTCCATTGGTTTGGTCGTTCAGATTTAGCCAACCAATGGCATTTTCTTTTATTTCTGTCCAGTAAAGCACATTTCCTGAAATAGAACACGATTAAAAATGGAGTTGGAAATATATATGAGGAACTGTACCCATATAATAGGATGAATGAAAAATGTATGAAATGAATATATGCAGGTGAACGCATTATCACGCACCAACCTCAAGCTTTGTGAGACATTATTGTGATAACACAATCACAAAAATGTATTTGTGTTTCACTGTGTAGTATTTTAGCCTCGTTTTATAATACTTAATACAACATACCTTCTATGTCGAGGGACAAACCATGAGGTGTCGATTTCGATTGCACTATAACTTTTTTATCACTTCCATCCAACCGCGAGCTTGATATAACCCCGGATTGCAAGCCGGAAAAGGATAACTGCCCCCAATCAGACCAATAAAGGAACCTGAAATATATATCGATTTAAATTTGTACCTAACTTTATACCTAAAGGGATAGTCAGTTCTTTATGCAGGATTTATGAGTGATAAAAGTTAAATTTTCCACTTGTGATGAGATTCTAGCCTGGTTTTTAGCATTCATCCAAACGTTACAGTTGTTCGATTTGTCGGCATGTGCTCACGACGTACGTTACCATATACACCCTGTATAACTGATCGGAAGATTAAAGGTTGCATTACAGCCAAGAAATAATAAGTATCATTCGGAGCTATATGCATGTAACATTATGTCGCTAGGTCGGTTTCCATTGGCACAAAATATTGTATTTTTATTGTGCTCACGTTACATTGACCAAAGAAAAATATCTAAATAAAACACCCATCAAAAAATACTTGTTCACGCCCACCGGAAATAGGAAGTGACATAATTTCTGTTCTTAGTAAGATATCGATCTATAATCATGAACGAGACGATCTAAAATTGCCTTGTCACAACTACTAATTTTGTGAATGAACAGTGACGTGTAATTTCACACACACGTTACTACGAAAAATGTCTGTGTTTTTTAACGTCTCATTTTACACTGAATGAAATTTCATTTGTATCTTCACAAACAGACGTTAGTTTCCCTTCATTTTTCTATATTTGTTGAAATAAGAATCGGTAGATCACCCATCTCATAAAACGTAGGGGGGACGAGCAAGCTTGAGACATATCATGAAGCGAAACTAAAGTTTTGCAGGTTCAGACTAACACCCCTAAAACGCCTCTCTCACGCCCATACCAGAAACCAACCCGATGTAGTATGAGCTATCATTTTATATTTAGCTACTTCTGTTTCATATTCTTGTCAAATTTAAGAGCATGAGCGTTTTTATTTAAAAATACAAGTTTATTTATAACATGAAGCATACAGATTGTACAGTTTCTGTTAGTTTTTGGTAAAGTTGTATTCGGAAAATTGAAAAACGCCTCTCAAACGCCCAAAATAATGCCAACTTTCAGGATATGACTCAAAAAATCATGGAATGACATTACATTTTCAGTCCCAAGCCCGCCTACTTCGCATTCCCACACACCCAAGGAACGCCAATAAATTTGTTCTGATACCAAGTAAAAGCATGTTGTTTTATCAATACCATGTGATCTCGAACCACTCGATACTTATCTCCCCAATATGAAATACTATGCATTCCTGATGTCACTTTCTTCAGAAAGTGACATCAGGAATGCATTTGTTATATCCGAAACTAGAAAGTTATTAAAACTTTGTTTTATTAACAATAATATCTAGATGAAATAGACGAAGATGAGTGTCGTGAGAGCCTGCTTTTGCAGTTAAATGCAAAGCATGGCTTCGTGTCCAATAAGTTAAAATTAGCATTCAGCGTTGAATATTAGTGACAACATCACGCCAAGTTAAATCAAAACGTTCTATCAGATAAAAATTATCTTACGTCCAGACAAGGCCAAATTGGCGTATAGTAAACAAATTGCAGCTAGTATGTCTATCAACAGTGATGAAACAATATTAAACTCCTACCCTCGCTTCGTGTCAATAGTCATAGCCCACACTCTATGTAAATCTTGTACGTGAAGCATATGTGGATACGAACCATCTAGCTTCGATACATACATTGCGTCTCTTTCTGAGTCGACCCAATACATATTTTGAGAGTCCACATCAAGCGCAACAGAATACACTAGATTGAAAATTGAGAAAACATTTACATTATTATTGTGCTGTTATTAAAATCGATTAGCAACCAAATAGGTTTTCTCAGAACTAATTTCTGCGAGTGGAGTATACCGTACGGTATACGTTTATCGCCGTGCAGAATATATCACCATATATAACTCGCATAGGAATATTAATATTACAACTAATTCATCAAAAAAATTCATTTGCCTCGAAACTTTGAACGAAAAAATGGAGCAAAGTATTTATTATATTCCTGGGATACAATGTAAGTTCCTAGTCAAACTAAAATAATAAAAAAATGATAAATATAAAATATTTAATTGCTTTAATTTATATAGTCAATCGAAGATTATTACTGTAAACGTTTTTTCTTATATATATTTGCATATGCCCGATTAAATCATTTAAATATTACCATTGACATTTCGGATACTTGTTCGCGATTTCTCCGATTCCGCCTATTTTGTCTGACTTACAGATTCGAAATACCACGATTTATAAAAAGACTCGATAAAACGACGGATATCTTAATACCAGAAGAAGTAGGGTTTGCAGTAATCCTATTTTAAATCCAACAGTTTTCTGTTTTCAAACTTATTATAACGTTTCAATGAAGTATTTCTACATTGTGGTTTACAAAATTCTCGTATGTTCGGGCTCAGGATATCATATTATACAACCCACCTTGGGACTCATTGACAAGGACCGTCTGGTATCGACCAAATAAATCAGCTCGTGATACAGTTCTTGTTCTCTCGTCGGCCCAGTACACTAACTTGGTATTAGGATCGTAAGCTACAGAAGTAGGCATTCTTAGGTTTTGCACTTCAACTTCCTGTGGTGCTATTGGACTTCCCATATTCATCTATAATTTCAAAAAAAAGATGGAATACTTTTACCGATACAAAAGTTACATTAAAACATAGTATAGCAAAATGACACCAAACTACCTTAACTACGCACTAGTCTTCAAAAAAGTGGAAAATGACTTCGGTCAGTTGTCGCTGCATAGACTTAAGGAATAAAACGTTGTGCCATAAGTATTGTATAGACTTTGATGCATGGTATCAAATTTTCTTTAATGTAGGCTAATCAGTTTTCGAATTTTTATTTCATACCCGTTTATATGCATAATTTCCAATTCTACCTACAATTGTAATGTGATTGAAATTATGCATTGGAACATAAGGTCGTTGCAATAACATATGATGATGTCCTTTATAATATAATGATGTGGACCAATCTGAAATTTAGTAAAGTAATTTCCAACCTGGTATATTTTTGAATGTTTTCCATCCAACATAAGCACAAAATTATCAAAAATCATACTGGCACGACAACTTCTACCATCAGATTGTATTCTGAATCCTGTCCTGCATTCACACGAATATTGGTTTATTCCGTATCTGGCGACACAAATGTGCTGACATGGACTTTTTGTACATTCGTCTGTAATATAGATATAATGCAAGAGATAGTAAATAACATCGAATGTTACATATTGGCTTAAGTAGAAACACAAAAAGCAATAATACATCGTTACAATTAGTATTCAGTCCTATGAAAAAATTGAAAAGAATTATCCAGCATACGAGTTTTATCTTCTTCCGAAAAGGGTTGTTCATATTTGCTGAAAACTGTGACTCCTCTGGGTATTTGCGAATAGTCAAAATCATATGATTGTACGATCTCGTTTGTATTTTTGTCGATAAGAAACATCGATTTGCGTAGATCGTCAGTTACGTACAAATTATTCTGCAAGAAAAGAGTCCATTTTTGTATACTTTAATAAGAAATGAGAGAACAAAAAAATCAGATGCTCAAAGTTTTTCCATTTCTTACTTTGTAAGATGCCAAGCCAAAAAAGTATGATGAATTTGTGGAATAAACTTCATGAATGGTTTCAATATCACGCCTTGTTTTTAACCCGAAATATCTGATGCGACTTATTCCTCCTCTTTCTTTTAGGCGCTCTGTCCAGTAAAATCTAAAAAATCAATTGTAGATCCATAAGTTAAAGATCAGAGCAAGTCCATTGCACTAAAATTCGAACGCAATCTTGATGGTAAATTTGATGGAAAAGTATTAACCTGCACCTAAAATGACTACGGGAATTCATTTTGAAGTAATTAGAAAAATCTCATTTTATCAAATTCAATAATAGCCATAAAAATCTTATTCCATTATTACAAATTTAATATGAGATATTGTTGCATCAGATTTACAAGTTGTGAGAAAATAGTTGTTCATGTCATTTTCAGGAAAGCCCAGGCACGTTTTAACGTACACTTTAGACTACGTTGTATTTAGGCCAAGATAAATGGTTTCTATTTTTAACAAAAAAAAATTTTGTGTAACAAGAAACTATGCATAAAGACGGAGTGCATTGGCTCCATTTATAATTAGTAAGCGATGTAAAAGCAATAAAATATGCAAGCTAAATGCGAACCACATATACATAATTTAACGTCGAATCGGAGATATGAAATATTTCATTGAGACTAAACTCAATTGTAAAATTCGGTGAATATAGATTTATTTATATATATATATTGATAATGAATGATACATCAAATTCCAACAAAGTTATAATTTCAGAAGAAATAAATTATAAGTAAATTATAATTTATTCCGCACAGACTGCTATGCTTACCTATGATTGACAAAGTCAATGGCAACATCGCTAATAGTTTGTACTTCAGGAAAGGTATGTAAAAGTTGATGTGAATATCCTTCTAAACTACTCCTCCATATACGGCAGTCGTCTTCACGCTTTTCGGTCCAATAAATATACCTAGAAAAATGTATTACTTTAAAAATTGATTGGTAATTAATTAAATACGTTTTGTATCATCATTTGTGATAAAAAAAAGTTAATCACGGTGAAGTATAAACAATATGGAATCGCCAATCTGGTAATTAAATATTGAGCTAGCTTAATTTTTCTGAGATTTCTAACTAATTTCGTTTATTTCTTGGCTTTAATCTCATTCAACTTGGAGAGCAATTTATGCAGCGATATGATTGAAAAGTTTCTGTCATTCAGCTCATTATTGCCGCATACTAATATAAACCACGACTCAAATCACCAGGATGAGAAGAACCAACAGGCTGTTGTTTTAACCTTACCTATCAGGCGGGTCAACCGCCACTTTAGCCGGTATTTCGCTGTCTATCGAAAACAAATTTCTGTAGTGGCTGAAGTTTCGATTTGCCACCATTATCCATTTGAAATTTGAATCAGTCCAGTAAACATTTCCTGATACCCAATCTACTGAAAGGCTGTCGATTCCCCAAGCCATTCCTTGGAAAACCTTCTTGTGTTCTTTCGTCTGAAATTATTCGCGATGTACATATAGATTAATGTTATTTCGCGGTTGGATGGCTGATTCTACATGACAACACATCGTCTGAGATACAGATGGACCATTAGCTGATAGTTGGGAAGAAACACAAATCACGACCATCTTACATTGTTAATGAAGTGATTAATAAAGCAAAATCTTTCGATTTTGAATGATGCTGAATTTCGCGTTTAGTGAGTACTGCGTTGTGTTATCTTCATTTGTGCTGCAAAACTTTAATTGTAGATGTCGGTGCTATTGGCATGCTAAACAGCACGTGACTTCAGTTTGCATTTATTGACTACATTACTACGCTTTAATATCTTCCTATTAAAGTGTATGTCTGTCATAGTACAATCGTGTGCTTTCATTGACCTTACCGGAAACTGGATCAATTTGGCTGGCATAACACGTCATATGGAGAACACGGCAATGCGTAATCACACTACGTTCAGGAGAAACTTTCCTACATTTTCTAGAGGCGTTTACAATTTTGTACAAATAGTTTGATGTCGAAAAAATACATCATCCTTATTGAAAGCATACTTCTACATTCTCACCTTTAGGTCATAAACACCGATGAAATTTCCAGCATGGTCACTGTAGTAGAGTCTCTTTGCATGATAATCTGCGGCTATAGCCCATATTTCACCATTCCAGAGACTTTGAAAAAGTAATTTTTTGTTGAGCTCTGTGCTGTCGTTCGAATTTTGATTCGGGTCGGTGAAATAGGCATAAGTCTAAGTAAAATGAGTTCAATGTTAATGTTAACGTATATCTATAGAACGCAAAATATTCCTAATTCATATTCCTAATATTCAAAAAACATTCGATAAAGGGGTTTGAAAAGCTACATTAAAAGATCAATTATGAAATGTTACCATTTCGAATGGACTATAAACGGGAAAAGATAGATACAATATATGAAGCGAAAGTGGTTTAATTGGGTTGTTATTGAAACAACATTATAAATAACAAAAAATACCTTGTGCAAAAAGAATATTCGCCTTTTCATTGCCCAAAATATTAAATCACGATCGAAATCTTCAGAGGTGTCATTCTGAACAGAAAAATAACATTGCGATATGTGATAAGAGAAGTGAAAATTGATCAATTAACTAGTTATTCTACACGTGACACGGCAAGATTTAAAGGCTAGTCAAGATTTAAAATGGGAGGAACCCGCCATATTTAACAAAAGACACAAAGATGAACCTTTCCATATGAGGGAGTGTAACAGAAATAGATATTATAGAAAGATGTATATTATGATATACTAACAATAACGCCAATCCACCCAAAGTGGTAGCATGACTAAACATACGTCTATAAATTTGTCCTTGTTAGGATTTGTTTGATCTAATTAGTCTATTATAAACATACTCACATTTGCTTCAGCTGATTCAAAAATCGCACCTGTGGTAAAGGAACATAAATTTTCATTAAAATATGGCGTCACTTTTATTCAATCGAGTAAGATTGACTGGCTGCAGATATTTTTCGTGTTCGGTTTCTGAGGCGAACTTTTTACAAAATAGTTACATGATGAATATAAATATATATACACGATGGATCAATTAACATAATGTTGAAAATTGAATGGAATCTTGCCTGGCCCTTTGTAACCCTTTCCAACTTGACCCAGGACAACCTTCGATGGTATTTATTGAAATATTTCTATAAAAAATTTTTGTGTTGATAGAGAATCATGAAATTAAAACTCACCAATAAAGAAAAGTAACACAGCGGAAGCAATGTACCAGCGAAAACTTGCCACCATTCTGGTCTGCAATATCTTGCAAGTTGTTATTTGAGTCTTTAAAACTTTACTGTGATATATCTAGCCTAGTTTTGATCGAATATTCGAACTAACTTGTCCTAGAATTAAATGCGTGAAGTAGCAAATAGGTATATCTAAATTCCAACAATTACAAAATTAGATATTGCTAACCTGATCATTTTTATAAGTCAAATAACTATCCTACCAACTATCTTGTACTACAAATACCTCTACTATCTGTACTAACGCTGCCGAGTATGCATTTGTGACTTATGACAAAAAGTCATTATGTCCTTTATAAATATAGTCTAATTTATGACGTCACAGTCGATGAATGAAATCGCCTGGGCCAACAGCGACGCTATCATTCTTACTGGACACGCCCTCTGTCCACCCTAGTCTGCAACTTTATTGACCAGCACATAATTTGAACTGTATAAAGTTTGTTGATCAATAAGAATGTGAATCACTGTTTCTCAGCAAAATTTTTCCGCTCATATATCACGATGAAATTCTTCAACTAATGTATTAAAAGCAATGCGTCTTGATTCTACCTGATAAATCAATACCAGTGACAACGCAGTTACAATAAATTCACGCCTGGTTCTAACAATTCATTCAGAAATAAAATAGCGCGACTTCGCTTATCAGTGAACTATCCGTACAAGTTGCACATCTGAAAAACAATATTCGGTCTTTTCAAAACGTCAAAGAAATACGTACACCGATTTTTCTGCTGTTTGAATAACTTTCAAAGATACTTACTTCGGTGCTGTGTTTTGGATTTAAACCCGAATGCTTTTCTAATATGTTCAGCAAAACCCAGATTATATTGAGTTCGAATGAATATCGATGAATGAGTAACTAACCAACAACTTGACTTTTGACGAGCTGACTTTTCAGCAAAAACTGCAGTAGCAGTTGCCTTTATATAAAATAGTGAACTATTGGCAAATCAAGTATTTATGATGATATTACCGCTGCACCTTCCTCCACGCTTCATTTTTCCAAATTTGTTGTGATACAGAATCGTTCCTGTTACGTATAGTTGCGCATTAATCTGCTTTCATAAATCCTAGTCAGTATCCAGCACCTATTTTGTTTATGCATCTGCACATTATGTCACGCGCCCACACACGGAATCGTTTGAGTCATGATGTAATATTGGGCCTTGAATAACGCTGCCGGTGATGCGCTTCTCTTTCCGGCCTCAAGAATAGTCTGTAACCGTATATGTTTCAAACGAGCCTTCTGTTTATCTCAATGCGTTGATGTACGACACTTAACTAAGGGAGTACAAGCAAGATCATTGTATGTAAATGGTTTTTATTCTATTCCTGCACATATCCTGGGTTAAAAAATAAATTATATATATTAGCAAGACATATTTCAAGGAGTTTTGTTGTCGAACTAAGATATTGATTTGCACAAAGCCGCAGAATCGCATTCAACGAGTCAGGCGCGTCGCGCTGTATCACTCGCTCGCTAATCCATGATTCCGATGCTTTCCAAGCGAACGGTATGCATGATTTGGCGGTATTAAAATTGGTGTCGGTCTGTGCCAACGGTATGTTAGTCGTTGGTGTCGACTGAAGTTTATAGTAGGCTATATGCAGATTTATGGAATATCTATGACATTGATTATGGCGCCATAATGCATTTAAAAACTAACATCGAAAATACAAAATATAATATTGTACAGAAGTTCTAAATTTGTATACTGAATTTATTAAGAACGGATGTCCCTGACTCTCACTTGTTTTAAGCTATTTATCATCCAAATGATGACGTTCATCCATATGCACATTCCGTGTTTAATAATATAATAAAAGTGTAGAAGTCCATCTTGGTATATACGTACAGAGTTACAAGGCAGTTTACGATGCAATTAAATTAAGTGATTCAATAAACCGTCAGTTGCGAGTCCAGTGACACGTTATTTATGCGTCTGAATCACAAAAATATCAATTTCTCATGTTCTGAGATATATCTGCTCTTTAAGTTGACACTCAGAACATTTTACATACGTTGATGATACATACAAATTATTGGAACACAGGCAATGAGAGTGTGTACGAAAAATACAGGGGAATGGCTGCAACTGCGCGTCCCAAGTTAATTGCTACTGTGAAATATACTCACTTTAGATTGACATGAGTTGATTAGAAGAAATGGAAAATATTGCTTGCTCAAGACGACTGGTAAGAGCGATCGAACTATTTTGCAGGAATCCCTGAAGTTGTGCTTTGAGCGCATCCGCTTGAAGCCGGGATGACAGAATTCACAAAAAAAGAGGTTAAGATCCAGTCGTACGTTTAACAGAATGACAGTGACAACCTGGGAACATTTTAAAACTAACACTAGCGTGCTATACCAATGTCAGATGTATTCACGGGATATATAGTTGCATAGCAAAGATATAGCGTTGGTCAAGTTATATCAAATTTAATGAGACACATCAAGTAAACACTTTTTACAATTCAAGGCATGCCAAACCGAGAAACGGCTACAACAACAATGTTGGCCATACATGCCTTGGCTGCAACATGGAAGCCAGCGAAATGCAATAGCGTGCGACTGAATCACATGAGCGACCGATCGTCTAGCTCAGTTGTTCTTCTTAACCTTTGCGAACTCGTCGAACCCGTGCGTTGTTCTGCAAGCTCCCGTCAAACCCCATCTTATAATACGATTCGTATTGATCGATTCAAATAAGTAGCGCATTCAGAACTTTATAAACGGTGCAAGTTTATATAGAACGCGTGGTGTATGCTTAGAAACAACAGCCATTGTTGGGTCACTTTGGTGCTCCTGCGCCATATTGAAGTCTCGTCCAGAACAAACAGTAACAAATTTAAGCTAAGCTCTGCAAGCAAGTATTTATTTATCACTTGGATGAAATTAAAAAATGCTCTCATTTCATTATTCATTTATGTACATTTGGTTCATATCTTCTTACTTCACGGTGAAACTAGTTACATTTTATAAGAAGACCATGAATAAATAATGTTTCGATCACGTAAAATTAGCTTAAAAACCCCAAGGTTTATCATAACAACCTAACATATTTCGTGCCCATAAACGGAAGGCATATAAAAGCCCCATCATAGAGAAGTACACCCAAGCGTACGACATCTGTGACGATATGAATTTTCCACGAAGTGTACTGGAATCGAAAGGTGTAATAGTCGTTGAAAGGTCCACTAAAACTAGTGGCTACCCGAATCCCGAAGCTAAGCCATTTTATGAGTTGTTTAAACATGTAACTTTTGTATATCTTATACAAACTATAATTATTTTAGCATAATTAGTAGGATTGTTAATAGAAAGGTTTCATCATATACAACTGTTTCAAGGGACCTTCGCCGAACCCCTGAAGCAGCTCCACCAAACCCAGGCTAAGAAACACTTGGCTAGCTCGTATAGCCAACAGACTTGACAACCAAGCTTCGAGACCAACCAGACGGTTATAATTGCCGGATTTTTTTTAAAGAACGGCAATTTCACACGGTCGAGTTGGTAATGTTCGTACAGAATTCAGTTTAGACGCTAACGGTCGTGTATTTGAATCTTTGGGCACTCATAACAAGTGTGGGGGGTAGGCTGAAATGAGTGTAACCAAAATGACCAGAAGCCACCAGATGCATCGAAATATATTTGTGTGAGACCAAATTATTGGGCGCTCCCGTAGCATGTGAACCGAGATGGCGGACTCTTGAACTTAGTATGTTTACCCGGTGTGTGTGAGTGGTATGGTAATATATGGCGCTTTAAACAATTTGAGTCTTTTGCGCCAGACAACTTAAATCAAAATTTTGTATATGCCTATAGTACTCTCTTGGTAGATTTCACAAAATCAACAAGAGCTAGGGTCGCGTAAGATAGCTTTGAGTTGAAATTCAATGCCATAATCGCGGCATTTCATCTTTAGTATGCGTCTTTCATTTCTATATGCACGACAGTTCATTAGAAAATGTTCTACTGTCTCTGGATCATTACAGAAATCGCAAAGTCTATTATTATGGCATCCTATTTTATGGAGGTGCACATTTAAACGGCAATGTCCCGTCTGGAGTCGAAATATAATTTTGTCCACTATTCGTGGTGACCAAGTGGAATTCTTGATGCTGTCTTCAATTGATGGGAAAATTGTCTTGTAATGAAACGCTTGGTCACTGTGTATAAAATGTTGATCATTTATTAGCGCAGAATTGTCGAATTTGTGATTTGATTTTGTTTTGTGATTGGGATAATCTTTTGTCCACATCGACTTTCGCCGCTGATACCTTTGCTATTTTGTCGGCGACTTCGTTACCCGGAATGCCAACATGTCCTGGAGCCCATAGTAGTGTGATTTTGCATCCTTGTTCCTGTAACTCAAAAAGACAAGTCTGAATATTTGAAGATATATTACTAATTTGATCCGAGGTATTATTTATAGCGTGTATAGCAGACATACAATCCGATATGATAAGTATATTCCCTTTATAGTTATTTTTTGACCATGTAAGGGCACTATATATTGCAAAAACCTCGCAATCAAACGATGAACAGTCTTTGTCTAGCCTAAAACCCATACGAGAATTATTATATGGAACATAAACCGCAGCACCGCATTTGTCATCAATTTTTGATCCATCGGTATAGATATGCACGTGTGATTGATAGGATTCATTTATATAATCCAAACTTATAGCTTTTGTTTGGTCGGGCGTATACCAAGGAAAAAGTATATTCGATAATGCATCGTCAATATTAATTTCGTCCAAATACCATGGGGGAATTTCTTCGGCTTTAAAGCAGTTTAGCCTTATATAAGAGGCATAATTGTAGTCGTCGTATACTCAATGGCATATCATTACAACAAACTTGTAAAGCAATTTTGGGCGTACTCATCATGCCACCTGCAGCGATGCGTAGACATTGAGATTGGATAATTTCGATTTTTCTTATGGCATTCATTGATGCTGAAAAATAGGCTTCCATACCATATTCAATAATGGGTCGAACTAGGGATCTGTACAATGACAAAAGGGGTGATTTGTTAGCTCCCCAGCTAGTTCCAATAAGCTAACGCAGCAGATTAATCCGTTTACTACATTTTTGTACAACATATTCGATATGTCTCTTATAATTTAAGCGCCTATCGAAATAGACTCCGAGGTATCTTACTTCATTCCTGACTGGTAGTATTACACCGTTTATGTGTAGTTGTATTGGTGGTAATTTCTCTTTCGGGTGAAGAGCACAACTATTGATTTTGTGACCGAGATCTTAAAACCCCATTGATTGCACCAGGACTGAATACAATCCAACGATCCAACAATGTTTACCCGGTAAAGGATAGTAATATTATAATACATCGAACAACGTACTAAGTATTTAATGATCACATGTGCGGAGGCGTAGATTAGTAACCAGTGGTGGAAAATTGACGATTCGGTTTTTAAGATATAGTACTGAATAATTGAAGCATCTGATGGGAGAAAAGTGAATCTTACATAAATAAAATATTACGCAACCGCTTTTTTAAAACAAAAATATTTTGTCTAAAATTATAACTAAACAGCATAAATGATCTGTCGTCACAGCTCAAGACAGTTGGGATTAAATCAATAATGTCATATACATAGAGCTATTAGTGCACTTGAAAAGCTCGAATCTATAAAAACTTTAATTCATTGAGTTACCATTTTAAACTTGAAAAATTTGCTGTTGATATTTATTTAAGACATGAAAATGAAAAAGAGAATGTGAGGTAAAAATAATATGAAAATTCCTGGCATTTGGTAAAAATCGACAAGACTATGTAACAAGGCAACAATAGTTATTCGCCAACGTTGATCTGATCTTACAATTGATGTTGCTATGGTAGTATGCATATGCAGAATACCAATTAGCTAATCACAATGATTCTACACCAACGGACGAAACACCAGGCGTCGCCGGTTGAGCATAGCCAGATTTTCTTCGATAAGTCCATGTTTTCATGTTAATTAACGTATAAATTGTCGCTAAGGCGTACATGCCTGCCAACACAGACCCTATCACCACTACAGCCAAGTTTTGTCCAGAATTACGCAAAATTCTGTCGTTAGGACACTCGCCTGTGTCTACCACCTCCGAGCTGCTACCCGATTCACATATCCATACGAACCATTCGTAGCCTGCGGAAAAACAAACGCAAGCGATATAGAGGATGGTAAAAATGGCGTTTAAAGCAGCGTCCAATTTAAAGGGAATTATTTCCGACCTTGAAAACATGTAAAATATGAATGTGAGAAGAGTCAGCAACCAACTTGGTAGTGTGAGAGCAGAATAAAACAAAACTTGGTCGTTAATTTCAGGAGCCTCGTTGCTTGTTGACATGACTGAAATATAAAAAATAGATTTTCAATAACCAGCAGCCGAGGGTTAGAAAAGTATTCTGATTACCTTAAAAGCCAAGGAGCGAGAAAGGGAGAGTTTTACACATTTCAGATAATGTACACACCTCCAACACGCCATTCTCAGAACAGCGCTGAAACGACTGAGCTTAAATTCTCAACTTTGTTGTACAAAAATAAAATTCAGCACAAATATGAATAAATATAAACGTTATTAGTCTGTTCGCCGGAAAAATATGAAAACTATCCTCACTGACTTCAATAATTAAGGTAAAACTCATCATTGGTTCATGTCAATGTTTCATGTATTAATTAGTTCGCAATTATTTCATTCCTCAGCTTTTGATAATGTGATACCATTCGTACTTCCGACCATCTTTATCACGGTTCAAATTGGTGTTTATTTGTAATAAATTCAAAAGTGTTTAATTAACTATATAACTTGACGTACAAATTCAAATCGATAATCGTATTGCTGTGGAGTGGTTTGGACTGTGTGCTGAAATTTATTATTGCTAAGTGAACGACGATTTTAAATCATATGATGCAGTGCAGACAAACGTGAAAATTCGTATTGAGCTTGGTGAAGTATATTCATTACTCCTTAATTTAAATATGCTCAATTTTATGAGGTTCCTTTTTTATTCTTATACAATTTATAACACCATCTTATATCTAATTGAAAATGTAAAACTATAAGCCTGTAACTATATTTTTCTACTTAATTTTTCTGCTTACGCATGCATGTATACAAATTAACTATCCATCAGAAGTATTTAGTTATTTCCAATAACTAATATATATAGATATACGAAAATTATCGGTAAGCATTTTTGCGTGAACCTGAAAATGCTTTTCATTTGATGTAATATAATTTTGGCTTCGATTTAGAGTTTATAAGAGCACGTAGCGTCAACGCAAAACAACAGACAATGAATTAGCCAGTGGCGCAGATTCGAGTTCTTACAATTTTAACGGCAATCTTGCAACTCAATTGGGAATTCGATTTTATACAGAAACAACATATTCACTAGGTTTCAAATTTTAGCATCGCAATTACTGCACACCGTAAAATATTTCGGTAGCCCTGGGCGGTGAACAGCAAGCAACATAATTATATTCATACTTTTACAACAAGAACAGGGCAAACATGCAGAGTGAGGAATTTGCTTTTTGTGTAATTAAAAGTAAAAGAAATTGAATGGGTTTCAGTTGATATATTTGATGATGGGAATAGTCAAAGTGAATCAGCGTCTCTGGCTTTTCACAAATCGTATATAGTAGCCATTCCTCGTTGGGAGTTAGCGTAAAATACCAAACATCACTTACCGTCCCCAATGTAAACGATACCCCAGCAAAATACACCGATAACGATTAGTGACAGCTTGAGAATTCCTTCTACAGACTTCACATATTCGTGGTTGAGTCTTGGTGGACAACAATTGTCCATTTCTTCAGCATATAACACAAATTTCTAAACCCAACTAGAATACGACGGGTTTGATGAACAATTTTCCACTTCAGACCGTTTCGTGAACGGCCATTTGACACGCTCGAGCTATTTTAGTAAATACTGTTCTGACAAATGTCAATACACCACTAACAGACTAACGAAAGAAGAGATTATCGGTATGTATATAAGTGACATCACTGCAAACATGGGTTAACTTCCTAATTCGTTCGAATAGCCTGCCGGATCTCTATCCATTCAATGTCACAACAACGCTTATGGAAGTTACATCCCGGCTACAGTACTAGTTGTCGAGAATTGTGGAAATGCCCTCCGGTTATGTATATTTGTGTGGCAAATTAGAGGTGGAATAAATTTGCGGGGATGGTCAAAGTCTACCTGTACAATTTAAACAAGTTTGATTCGCACTAAAAATAGTATTAATACAGGCACGCCAAAAATTGTGTTGGAGAGATGAACTATTTTCAAGCACCTAATTCCCCCTCCCCATTATGCATAGAAAGCATTGCATTTAATATTCACTCTTTAACGGAACATTGGCCCGCGACTCGTAGAAACATCGGAGTGGTGTGGAGTTCTCGTATTGCTTTCCATAAGTTATAGAGTGATGTATAACGACTGTTCCTTCTACCAGTATCCATTTGAAACAGTGATTTATTTTTGCATTGACTGTAGAATATGCACTGGTAGCCGCATAGGCTACCTATTTGTTTTAAATACTAGACGCATTTTCAGAAATTTAACGAGAAGCAAAAGCGAGACATCAATTCTCTTTTCTAACATGAATGCTTCTCAAATTCCCTTTGAACTCATGGAGAGGATATTCACTTGACTTGGCATTTGTAAGCTAACCTGTCCGTCTAGTACAGTGGTTCCCAACCTTTTTTATATCGCGGCACACCTATAACAAATCATGAACATTTCTACTTCCGACTCCAAACTGAATTTCATTACCACAATTATTATCGATAAAACACTAAATTGGTTTAAAGTTGATAAAAACCGCTTTTTCCACGTTATGAATTTCGTTCAAGGCCCGAAGATATATTGATGACAATAGCATTTACTATGTCGAAACGCTTATTCGATTTTTTAGACCACACGAACTATTCGAAAAAGGTACCCGTTTCTGTGTTCGAGATTTAAAATAATCGTCAATTCTACCACGCTTTCATGTGAAGAAGTAGTGCAATTTACTAAATTTAATGAAGGTTTTATCAAGATTTTTTTTACACCAGTATTTGGAATACCACGTGTTTCTCCAGATTACTGGCGTGATTACAGATTGCAAGGGAGGGCAAAATAGAATATTTTTATCAAATCGAATATATTTAACGACTTTTCGAATAACCGGTATTTTTTAGTATATATACAACAGACATCCAGAACGCTAGACATTCTAATGTTGGTGAGCTATTTCCGCCTGTCCTCTTTTTTGGAGTTTCAGAAGTATGTGCACCAAGATTGCGCACAGCCTCAACATAGTAAGTGTACCAGGTTATGTGCCATATTGGTGCACATACTTCCGGAGCGCCCGTTTCTACAAGAACCAGTTATTACACAACGGCGAACGTTGAAGTTTGGCTTTATATTCCTGGGAGAACTATGCGTTTATATCGTGACATATGTTAAAGACAGAAACATTTCGCACAATTATTTAGGATAGGATTTACATATTTATCCCGGGGGAGAGGAAAGCCGATAAGACGGCTTATCCATATAGCGAACCACGGCCTCTCGTCCGGTTACCATTCCAAGTCGGGTATGGGATTAGTTTTTACTGTATTGTTTGTTTTCGGAAGTATGGACTTGGTGGTGGAGGAAGCCGTAACCGACCAGCGGTTACGTGAACCACCCAACGACGGCGAGGAGTCCAGCAATCCTCTCGCACATAACCATCCCTGCATGGGATTCGAACCTGCGAACCCACGCAGAGTAATTAGAGGTGCGGTGGCGAGCGTATTCCTAACGCTTAGCCCGTTGAGCCACACCGCCGCGCCTTGAGCCACACCACCGTTACCTTGTTTCACATTTTCAATTTTAAGAAGCGGTGTTGGTCCGCTTTATGCAAAACTCAAAATTGGAACAATACCGACTCCTCAAATTTGTCGTTTCTTTTTGTTAGCAAGAGCAGCGGGGGAATTGGAATCGCTTGAAATAAATTAAAAAATGAAATCTCTTCGCGACACACCGAAATCATTTCGCAGCACACTGGCACGGTGGTTGGGAACCACTGCTCTCAAGCAACAATAGCCAGTATTTTTGCTTGCATTTATTTATAAATATAAAAAGAATGCATAGCTGTCACAATTCATCAATTTTTCTGTGAATTAATGCATTTAGTCAACGCGGCCTCTGCAAAATCATTTCCATCATCTTTTGCATCCTGTCTTAGGAAACAACAATGATCATACTTCAGTGCGATCAGCATTTGGTCGAATGTCAAACTTTAAATCCTGAATGAATTGCAACAGCACCAAAAGTCATATTAGAATATTCGACCGACTTGAAACCCATATTTCTTATGGCTTCTGCAAATGTTTCCTGATCTGGAAACTGTCTAATGCTTTCTACTAGATATTGGTATGATTTCCAATCTCCTGCTATAACTTCCCCCATTACAGGAATAACTTGAAATGAATAAGCATCATATAATCTAAATGAGTAAAGAAAAAATTAGCTTATGATCGACAATAGAACTATAAAACAATATTTTCCTTAAAAAAAAACATCCAATATTTTTCCTCGGACATCTGAAGCTTTCCCTCATCTTTTACAATTTACCCATAAGCCAATGTTTGTTCAAGTACAAGTTAACGGATCATTTATATCTGTATGCAGATCATTTATAACTTGCATGGAGAGGGAGGGTAGAAACAGGATGGTTGAGTTGACAATTGCCACTTATAAATGCGTTTGGTAGTAGCAGTAGTTCTCTCAATCTGCATTCAATGCAATACTAGAGGTGTACATCTAGATCAGAGCTGGAGGAATACTATGAATGTTTATGCCACTGATATCATAATCAAGATAATATTCAGTAGCTCATCTCATGCAGAATGATTATCTTTTTGATTTGAAAGTTTTTCCTAGTTGGTATTGGTATAGTATATATGTAAAAGTTGAAGGAATTCTCTGCCACATAGCAAGACAAGCTGTCATATCCATTGTCAGATTGAAGATTTATTTTTCTATTGAGCATCAGTGGTGCTCAAAAATTTCTTATCTCAGTGCTTCAACTTCTAATATTAATTTGATGGTGGGGCTTTTGGATTTATTTCGGAAGAATGACAACCTATATTACAATAAAATATCTCAAAAAAACTGCTGAGAATTTGAATTTCGCAAAGGTTAATAACCCTGCTTCAATCATAATGGAAAACACTTAGAAATATGTCAAAACAATGAACTAAAAACATGAAAAAGCACATCATGTCAAGCCTCAGGAACAAGATTGCAAAATAAAAATTCATTTGGTCCAACAATGGTCAATAATCACTATCCACGGTAGAAATTTGGCATTAGGAACGACTTCAATAGGATTGACATTTTACTTACCTGCGAAGTATTGTATGGTTTACTCGGCTAAATTCTAAACATTGAAAACGTCCACCAGGTTTTAAGACTCTGTATGCCTCTTCAAGTACCTGGAGATGATATGAGTTTTCCTTTAAAGAGGGCTTCACATGCTCTATCAAAATGACATATGATTTAAAAACTTTCTGCTAGAAACATCATACAAAACTAAGGTGCATTACATTTTGTATCAAAAATAACACATGCATGAATCAGTGATATAAGTTCTTTCTTTGTGGATTTTTTCAAACTTACTCTGAATTTACGAAAGCTTCTGGTTAACAAATGAGATCAAAATTTTAGCTTTGAAATTGAATAAAATCAAATATTATACTGCATTAAAAGTATTTCTTATGTTCAATGTTTTATACAAATCCAAATTGGATTATTGTCAAGAATCTATCAACTAATATATTCAATCTTTACCTTTTGTATATGTGTACAGTTTCGAATGCCGAATGCGATAGTGTATGCATCAAAAAGATTATCTTCAAATGGCAATTTCTCAGCATCACCACAAACCCAAGACAACTTTTCCGTGTCAATGTCCAAATCTCCAGCTCGCTTCTTCCCGACGTCAAGCATTGCTTGATTTATATCACAAACTGTAACTTTTCGATTGCTAGAATTTTGCAAACCAGTTCCAGAATTGTACTTCAAAAATCTAAAGGCAATGTCACCTAAGATAAGGATGAAAGATTTAGGGTGAAGATTAAAAGGCGATCAGCCATCTCTAGCCTATTGCATTGTACTCATTGCAAGATGAAAACTTGAGTAAATAGCCACAGGTCACAACCATTGATCAATTATGTTGGGTAGCATGCTCATATCATAGCATTACAGCATGGAAATAAGTTTGCAATATAATCTAATATTGTACACATACAAATAAATGCAAAAAATATATAATGTGCATAATAATTGCTGGATAACCACAAATGCAGTCCCGATGTGCAACATTTTCGATCACTGCATGATCCTTTTATAATGGAAGGAGTTATCCAAACAAACACCATATTATAATTTCTGTATCACATAATTGAAATTTTGATTAAACAACAACTACCATTTTATACCATTTAGTTTACTGATTAGAACTTCATACTGAAATTCTAGCTATCCAAAATAATTGAAACATGATACCTGTACCACCAGCTACATCTAGTAGAGAAACATTATGACCAGGGTTAAGATATCTCATGAACGCATCTTTCCATATCCTATGCAATCCAAAACTCATGGCATCATTCATATCATCATAAGATTTAGCAACATTTGCAAACACATCATGAACTGCAATATAAGTCAATTTATAAACATCTAATAGTGGTATCAATATTCCAGGCTTTTCGTAAACAGTGATAAGAAAACCAACAGACCAAGTTTAGCTGTTTTGGTACTTGAAGTAAATATTTAAATATTGCTGCAATCATCACATAAATGTATGCAATACTTGCAACTATGAAAAATGGAAAATATATATATACAGATATATGTCAGTATGTTGTTGCAGACTTTAAAACAACATTATGTTTTAAATATTGGATAATACAGAAGTAATTCAAATATAACATTGCGCTTAAATTAAAAAATTTGAACGAACAATTATTCTTTTAACAGTTTAACCCAGGGGTCGGGAACCTTTTTGGTCAAGAGAGCCATAAAATATACATATTTTCAATTGCATTTCCGTGCGAGCCATATAACATTTCTTCAATTAATCAGACCTGAAATGTTTACTCGAAAGTCAACACATACAATGTCAATATACATTTAATGTGATTTCTGATGCTGCATGTAGGCGCTGCGGGCCTTGAACGGTTGCTCACCTGCAGCCCAATGTGGAAATCTACGATACTCATCACCCTTTTTCGTTTAGACATCTCCGTAGTGTTTTTAAAACTATATCGCTTTGTGATGTCACAATATATGTTCCAGAATCCCCTTGTTTGTCACAATGCCTCTCTAGTATATATCTTACATAACATAGACATGTGCTGGACGCGTGTTTTAAAACGTATTGGGAATTTCCTGCCAAATTCGGCTATAAAAGAGTTTGGGATCTCGTAACAATAGTAAGCTTAGTCTTAGAATATTAGATTTTTCTGGGAGCCATATGCCGTCACCAAAAGAGCCATATATGGCTCGCGAGCCATGGGTTCCCGACCCCTGGTTTAACCCATCAACATTCTGATATTGGAATTTCATGTTCAGGATACAATTTGATATAACGTTTAGTATAACACACTCATACAGTCATATGCTCAGGTACACAAATCACCTCTTTCTGCTTTTTCTTCTTCTGGAACTTGCTGATATCCAAAATGAGTGTACTTCTCTGAAATAGGGCGTAGTATTGAAAGTATTCTTCTGTTCGGTTCTTTTCGAAACAAATTGCTTGTAATCATTGTCTGACTAAGCAGCTAATGATTCAGATATTTATTTCGTAGTGCATGAAATATTGTACAGACAAAATTAAACAAACATAATCAAAATATAAAATAAACAAACATAAAATACAGCAATTCCTTCCGCAATTGTGATTCAACAATCAGACAGTAAAACCTACCCTACTCCAGTACTGGTACTTAATACAAGTTGTATGGAATTTTAGTCCAGTCAGCTAGTTGATCTCACTAACTGAATTCGGCTTGAATTGAAATATACCGGTACCGGTACCGTACGGTACCGGTATATCGTACCGTATGACACTAAAAATTATCCCCAGACTGCTGGACTGCCAAATTATTCTACCCTACACCCAACTTACAGCCCTACCAGCCTACTTTACAGTGTTAATTTGCGACTTTATTGCATAAAAGTTGATGCGTTTGATTGCTTATACAAAGTAAATGCAACTTTGCAAGCTGTGTCGAAACCACCTCTGTGAAGCTAGCAGCAAAACACGAAATTGTGACTGACAGAATCGCAGAAAATACCCACGCGTAAAATTAAATGTTCCTAATGATTTTTAAAAGAAAGTGTATATTTTGATTAGTTTCACAATAGCAATTAAAGCAAAACAATCATTAACTACACTCCTCGTATTGTTAATATATAGTAAACAAGCTAAAGCGACTGTTACAATTTTAAATTTGTTACGTCCGTGCCTTTATTAAAATTTAGATTACACGATATGTTTGGCAATATATATGGTCAAGCCAAAACGTACTGCTACTGTTCTGTTATAGAAAAATCGAATTTATAGGGTATCTGCTTTTCTCCAAATGTGTCGTGGTGCTGCCTTTATTGGCGGTTTTTCGATTAGTTAGTCTTTTTTTAAACACTATTTTCTTGTTAAATTTAGTGTAATTATTTAGTTTAAAGATTTTTCATCTATTTTCGTGCCAATATTTTATTTTGATCAGCATTTTCAATTTTCATATTTACCTATAAGTGAACACTATATGCGCGTGGAACCTATATTCAATGTGTAAAAATATTCTGGCTGAAAATGCTGCTAGCTTCACAGTGGTTGGCTACACTGGCTAACGTCAAACAACCCGAACGAAAATAGGTGCAAGGAGTCTGAATCCGAGAATATCTGCTACATTAATAGTTGGTTCAAGAATCGTTCAGAGTGGAGCGCGATAGCTTATTGCCCTTATTCTACGTTCTCTATTATTGGACACGTAGTGGACATAGCGATCGTTTCAATATTATGTTGTTGTTGTTGTTGTTGTTCTTTGACACGTTTTTAAAAAGTCGCTTTTCTCTTTGATTACTGGACCAATTGCTTTAAATTTTCAGTGGTTGAAGATAAAATTTTTCCCCAGAAGGCTATTACTTTCATTCATTTTAAATATTTCTGTTAGCTCTGTGAGATTTGTTTTTGTTTGCTATGACGTCATTAAACGTTCTGCGGACATCGGACGCCGTTTTGTGTCCTACTGTACTGCTTCGCTTGGTGTGAATATATTTGTAGACTGTGATCTGACGGTACGGTAAACCGTACTGTACTGCGAACAGACAATTAGTACTGTAATTTATTCATTGTGTCATTTTTTGTTCGAAGTTGTTTTTTATTATGACAAAATAAACGATTGATTAATAGACTTAACTTGTTCAGTGTGAGAGAGAGAACTAATGTATAGTTATGTCATAATTATTAACGTTATAAGTTTAATACGTCAATTTATCCTCTAACGTTAGCTGTACTGCCGTCAAATAATTCAAAATGCCAAGTTTAATAAGTTAATTTATCCTCTAACGTTAGCTGTACTGACGTTAAACTATTCAAAATGCCAAAAAAAAAACATTTTGCAATGATCTTAATATTAATTGTATTGATACGAGCTGAATATTACCGAGTCTCGATATCAAACCAAGGTTTTTCCAATCAGCACTGTCCCGGATTTTTGTTTCATACATATTGATAACCACTCATTCGAATCACGCCTCGCTACACCAATACCCCTTATTGGTGAAGTAGGCCCACATAAAGAATCCATGCCTGCCATTTCCATCTTTTCTGCGTGTCCGGGACCCACGCCCCGTTACGTCGAAAAATAAGCAAATATTCGACAGGTCGTACATACGACTCCACCGACCTAAGGAATGTTTAATTTCCATAAAAATCAATGATGTATTAATTTTGTTGAAGTTCCTGACAACGAGGCGACCCATTGAATTTCAAGATAAACCAACTATGGCAGGAATGGGATGTATAGATTCAGCCCCGACTGGACTACTCTGAAACTCCCCGTGTAATCCTGGAAATCTCAATGAATTCATTTTTGCATATTCGTTAGAGAGGTCAGGTCGCATGTCAGTAACTCGTTATGGATTTTGAACCAGGAAAGTGAATTTGTCTTTTTGAAGGGCGTCGTGGTGTATTGTTTCCAAAGCATATTCATGAAATGTGATGACAAACGGTTTCACTTGCGCCAAAAATTCGATTATCTCCTTCGCCGTGGTTTTAGCTCGGACGGTTATAAGCCCACGCTTGAAAATAGAGAGGGTGTAAAATGAACATCTCTCCAAATAAGGAGTTGATTGATGCGAAGTTAAGTGAATAAGCGAAGTTAATGCGACTCATCTCATCGGCTGAGTGACAATTCATTCTCCTTGTATCACGGGACGTCATTCCCATGTCAGCACGGTCTGGACGTTTATAGATACATTGAAATTCAGTGATTTTATCAAACATCATTCCCGACGTCGGGATTAGGAAAATGGTTTAAATCTCGAGATCCCAGCCCAAGTAGGAATAGCTAAAAAAAATCAAATATGTTCTGCCAATGGATACAAATATTTGCAAATGGTTTAGTATACAAAATCATTCTGTGGGCCGCACAGAATGTGTCCGCGTGTCACATCGGCCAGCGTGCCACGGTTTATTAATATGTAATTGACAACATCTGGTGTTCATTGAGGAGTGAAGACGATGAAAGTCTGGTCGCTTTGAGGTTCATTGGATTTTTTCATTATACCATTGAATAATTTCCGCTTGTATTTGTCAAGTTCGCTGCTGCTGGATAATTAGTACAGTATTTGTTTATTCCTCACTGTGAAATGCTATTTTCGGTTTATTTCTCACATTCGATATATACAGTGGGTATTTTAAATACAGTGAAAAACTAATCACTGTTCTGAAATTAACAACAAATAACCACCATAACAACTCAGTGATGAATGGATGGAAAATAATTCATTAAAAACTTTTTGAGTTATAATCGGTGTGGAAAAATTCCGCTGATCAAAACTTGTACCGATTAAGACAATAAAAAACAGTGGTTAAATATTGAACGTTGCATGTAAACTATATTAAGTTGGATACAATATCACCTATTATGAGGTTTCAAGTGAAAACCTTTTACAAAGGGAACCCCTGTGGGTACTTTTTGTTGATAAGTCAAATAATCTGACTGGAAGAAATTCAAAAGCAATGCTTCCTCTTCATAGATTCTTTCATCGAAGAACTTCCATGATATAATTGCATATCCAATGAAGCAAACTGGATTGCAAGCCAAAACCTGCAGAAAATGATGAAAATAATATTCATAAAACGAGAAACATGATAACAAGTAAAACATGAAATCCAAATTAATGAACTACATTTACTCTGTTGAATGCACATAACAGAAGCAAAATTCGAGACATATTTGAATACGGTAAATTTGAGTTATATTTTTTCATAAATTTTGGGAGTGAATCGTTAGAGGATTCATGCAGAAGATAATAAAAGTCACCCTAAAATCAATTAAGCTCATCCATTGCCTACTGCTATCACACTGAGCAAGTTCTTGCTGCAAAACATTCACTTAAATGTGCTGGTAAGATTCTCAGATGGTAACTCTACAATGGTTATGGTACATAGTGTCTAAAACCTACTTCATAGAAACGACTTCAATGAAGAAAGCCTGCAGCACTTTGGGCGTGCATGAAAAATTGGAACATACCTGCGTGGCAATACTCCAACAAAACCATCCTGCATAAGAGGGATGACGACATATAGAATAAATTCCAGAAGTAACAAGTTCATGTTCTCTTCTTTTTTGATACTGAATCAGGTGTGTAAAATTTATTCCTGTAAAATTGGTATTTATTATTCACAATTTTGATGAACACAATACAGCAGTGGTTTCCAACTGGGAGGCCACGGCAGCTGGTGGGGGGCCACAATACTAGGCGCTAAATTGATATCAATGCATTATTCCCCCAGCCATAAATTGTTGTGAACCACTTCAAAAGAACTTAGCAAGGCAAAATTTTACCTGCAGTATACATAGCTGCTTTACGAAATACTTCACCAAACAAGCATAAACCGATTCCAAGTATTTGAATTGAAGTACAAAGTTTGATGGCTGAAAAAATAAAAATGTTCGCTAGTAATAAGACTCTTATTGGACCTCCTGAAGTATGCGCACCAAGATGGCACACAACCTGAACTCAGGTTGTGTACCATCTTGGTGCGCATACTTCAGGAGCACCCTCTTATTTGAATATTATATGTCATGGATTTTTTCATTTTAGAAATTTTCACACAAATTTGATGTCACTGATCACTTTTGAAATAACAACTACTCACAGAATGCCCTTGAACCTAATTTCCACAAACCTTCAGAACATATCCTACAATATGACAGAGGTTTATCAAGCTACTTACATGGATAAAGCCAGCACCAGGCTACATATTCAATTACACAAAGTAGATGTGCTAAGTTGTATGCGAAACTGTGGTTGATTAAAAATGAATCTAATGTTAGAGTTGATGGATTGAATAGAGCAGTGGCAAGATATTCCGAGATGTGAAAAAATGCAACAATGCATAGATACAGTCCGAATGCCAGAAATTGCTGTGGTCCATGAAAAATTAATGCAAGCCCAAGTAGAAAAACTCCGCCAATTCCATATGATCGCCAGAATATCTGTAAAACATGACATTTGCAAATTTCAATGTAAGAAATAAAATTTGAAATGTAACCTAGTGTATTTGCATAAAAATCTTATTGTGCACCAGTCTTATCAAAGGTATAATTTTAATAACTTATCCTAAAACAACCATTGGCAATATTATCCATACTTAAGACTTAACAAAAGTATCAAATTTTATTAGATTTTTATGAGTGATCACAACATGTTAGTTCACTTACCGAAAAGTTACTCTTCAAAACAAATATGATAATGTAGAGATGAGAAGATATCAGCAGAAAAAAATAAATACATGTTGCAATGAAATGTCCATTTGTGCTACGTGGGATATACAGCCCACTCCATAATAAGCATGCAATAAAAGTGGTTAATGAAGCCTTTGCTTCAAATATCATTTTGACAGAGTATTTTTAGCAATGCTAGCATAATACCTGTGCAGTTTTTATTAGAACAAAAT